TATAATAAAAATTTTAAAGTATATCTACTTTGAAAGCCATGAATGATTCAAAGATCTTGTGAATTTGAAAACTTTTATAATAGTAAAAAGAATGCTATTTGATCCATTTGAGAGATGAAAATGATTTTGTTCATGGTAATAAAAAATTATTAATAGTATTCATGATGAAATAGATTCATATAAATATTTATGAATTGACATAAAAATCTTAAAATGAAACTATAAAAGCATGATTATATTTGAAATCTGCTTATTAATGTAAACTCTTATATTGAGTTAAAATATAAAAGTTTTAGAACTTTTATTGAAATATTAAAATATTAATGAATTATTTTTCACTAAATGTAGATTTGGATGCCTTTTACTTAAAAAAAAACCATTAAATAGTAAAAAGATAAATGAAATGGTAACTTAATTAAGTATATATGATATCTTGATAATTGAATGAGATATTTTTTAATAAAAGAATGCATAGTTGCACATGATGATGGTGATAAGAATTAAAAGAAATAAAAATTGTCACCATAGTGTTGTAAGATTTTAGTATAATTTTATGAGCGAATTATACAAGCTAATAAGTTTAAACACTTATTAAAGTAAAGTTATAAAAAGGTCCTTAAAAATTTTAAAATGACTAAAATCGTTTGGTTTATTCATTGAGTTTATCCAATTATACTAAAAATATAATTGTATTAAAAATGTATAAAAGTATAAAAATAGAATGGTTGAATTAATAAATATAAAGTTGTGGCCATAACCAAAACCACCTATTTCTTAAAATGATAAGAATGAGACAATAATGTCTGAAGCATATAAATAATATGCAAAATAAAAAGTTTGGATATATTAGCATGAAATAATTATATTAGAGATTTAATTTTAAGTGGGGATAATTAATATAAAAGAAAATTAAATTCCAAAATATTGGGTTAGTAGTACTACAAGTAGAATGAATTTAAACATTATTATTAGATATTAATAATGAGAACTCAATTTTGAATTTATAACCTCTAATTACAAGGTTTAATGGGTAAAAATAAATTATTGTTATGTGTCTGTTAAAATCTAGTAAAATCCATTCAAATTATTCATTGCTTGGGAATGATGAGTTTTTATACTCTTAATGGAGTTTTAAATGTTTAAAGTAATGGAAACATAATGAAAATTCTATCTATATAAATATAAAGTAGTGTTACTTTAACAAAAAGAATTGAGGTCTCTTTTGTAAATATTTATGAATAAGATAAGCACATGACTATAATAGTGCTAAAAACGATTATAAACCTCTAACAAAAAAAATAAATATTATGTGTATTATATCTTCAATTCTAACATTAGGAGTTGATGTTTAATCTGCGGATACCATCAACTTCATTAAAATTCTAAGATATATATGCTAATTAAAGGTTTAAATCAAGAGATACCTTATTGTATTCATAATATCTATTTGTGTAAAAGGTAAAAATTAAACACTAACATTCTAAACTAGTGAGAAATTATTGGTAATTTAGAATGTGATGCATCCTACATTGGATAAAAAGATTTAATTATTGATGAATAAAATTAAATTTATATTAATTTATTAATATTTTAAATAATTATGTTTGAACATAAATAATTATCATATGAAACTATTTGAATATAAATAGATTATTATTCATAAAGGCCATAATTATACAAAAGGTCATAACCATCTAAATAGAAATTTATGTTTGTTCATTCATCATAAATAAATCTTTTAGTATAACAATTTTCATTATTTTTAATTGGAGAGTTTGAAGCTTCGTTGTATCTTAAAGGCATAATTGCCTTTAAAAAAAATTTTCTTTACGCTTCAAAACTAAAATTTTTTTATATTATTTCTCTTTTCTTATATATTTTCCTAACAGTTTATGCTATAATTTAGCTCCAAGGCTTTAACATGATCTTCCTTGGTACAAGAAGCAGACACATATATGTTTATTTGCCAAGAGCAATGGTGTTGGTCGAAAGCCACTATCACAATAGCAATGTTACGGGCCGAGACTCAACCTTCAAGCCTGTGTGGCTCTAGGATCCAGGCATTGTACACAGTCGATGTGAGATTTCTAGCTTTACTTTAGGATCGTGATATCCTCCCCCACTCCAACAAGGGCTCATCGTTCTTGGTGGCACATCGTTAGTATCCCCAGAACTGACTCTGATATCATTTGTCACAGGTCAAGTGTCACGGACCTAAGGAAGAGTCATGAATCCCACATCGAATATAAAAGGAGGGTCACTAGGGTATAAAATGGTCCACACCATCTCTTTCTTGTGAGACACCTTTTATAGGACAAAACCTTGAGGCTAAGGGGGTTAGAGCGGACAATACCTCATAAGGGTGTGAACCGTGGTAAGAAAGCTGATCTGGGATGCCAGATGAGTGCATGCCTAGGTCATGAGCCACGTAGGTTGAAGCTTAAGTCTTGACCCGTGACAAGTGATATCAGAGCTAGCCCTAAACCGTTTGATCCACGCCAAGCGCCTTAAGGGAGGTAGGTAGGGTGGCCAACCTACGTCATGAGGTTGTGTGGGTAAGAATGTCACGGACCTAAGGAGAAATTCTGAATTTCATATCGAATATAAAATGAGGGTAATTGGGATATAAAAGGGTTCACACCATCTCTTCTTTGTGAGGTACCTTTTGTAGGATAAAACCGTAAAATCAAAGGGGTTAGAGGGGACAATACCTCATAAGGGTGTAAACCGTGACAAAAAGACTGATATGAGACGTCAGATGAGTGCATGCCTGGGTTCTAGAGCCACGTGGGTCGGAGCTTAAATCTTGACCCGTGACACCAAGACTCAGCCTCTAGGCCCGCACAGCTCCAAGACCGAGGCATGCAATCATCCGATCTCTTAGATTGGCTTAACGATCACGATTCACATCTTTATGATGTATTATTCACTTTAACCTCTTCTTATCATCACAATTTTATTTCACAAAAGGTACCTCATAAAAAAAAGAATATGTGAACCTTTATAATTCAAAATCAACTCTAATACACAATCAATATAAAATTCCAGACTTCACTTCAAGATCATGACAAGCCGCCTATGACCCATCTGATTTTAGTCAGCCATAAACTAATGAAAAAAAGAATGAAAAGAGAGCATAAATTAAACATAAATTAAGGGCAGCCACTGTCACAATTAAACACAAATTAAGGGCAGCCACTGTCACAAATGTATCGAAATCGAAAACGAAAGTTATTATCTAGGCCCAACCTTGTTCATTGCAAACTGCTATGATCTCTGGAAGTTTACAGAGCTTCCCTTCTATGCTGTATATTCCCTCTACCATAACCATAATCTTCTTCCATGGTCTATGACTCCTAGGTTGTCCTTCTGCAATTTGTTCTCTTAAGACTTCCTCCAAATAACGGGGCGCAGTGAACCAAGCAGTAAAAAGACATGAGTAGAAAAACCTCCAATACAATTCTCAAAGAAACAAAGAACATAAGGGAACCAATAAACTGAACAGCGATCCCCTATGTGGCCACATCATAGAACAAAGACATTCTACGTACATATCAGTGAACAAAATCCCTGAAGCAATCTCTTTCAACAAAAAAAGTCATTATTCCTTCGCCCATTATCCCTTTGCATTAATATGCTACACTACCAAATATAAGACCCAAAACCATTTACAAGAAACCCGATAACCCAGATAACGACAATCACTTGAGAATGAATTATTCTAGCAACAAAACATCAAAACTTACTATTATGTTGGAAAACACGAATGGTTGCTCCAGATCCTCATGCACCATTGACAATGGAATTGTGGTTAAAAAAGTCACTAACAATCAAGCACCCTGTTAAAGAAATTTAGAATATAATAAAAATTTACTTGTACAAATACCATGCCTTTCAAAACAAAAATGATTAGTGAACTATACAAACCTTCCCAATTAATACTAGAAGTATAGCAGAACTTGTCACATAATCCATACCGAAAACTATATCAGCAGGTTTTCCAACAAACCTAGCAACATGCATGATACCAAAATCGGGTTAACAAGTTCAGCTAGACTATCACAAAAGCTAAAGAATCGGAACAAGTACATTTGTCCGCCACCATCCACCTGGTTACTACAGGTACTCAGGTGAAATTCTCTTTAACGACTCAATTGCACAGGGTGTGCAGTATTCATCTGCTGCAGCAAAACTGAGGTAGTTGTACGATCGTACGTTAAGACATCTACTCATATTTGCAGTCGGTCTGCATTAAAAGAAAATATCAGTTACATCAACGCCGGCTTCAAAACTAAATCATTACTACTTTTAAACCATCAAATTGTGAATTATAAATCTTACTTTAAGGTCTAATTGTTGTCATTAGAGAAGCGTTCAATCACATCAGACCAAACATCAGGAGCACTAGCAATCGGTCTCCCAAAACAATCCTGCCGGTTCAAACATTACAGTCTAGCTCTAATCCAATTTCATTTCCACTCGTACAAAACGTTAGCTTTTTTATTTTGAGCTAAGAGATGAGAAAATGGGAAATTTAAAGCAGATTGCTGCATAACCTGCTTATGAGTAACAGTTAGTATTGAAAACATGATTTTGAGCTAAAAGAAAAGAGAAAATGGGAAATTTAAAGCAGTTAAATATGGAATTTCTATAATTTAATTAATTTATTTTTATATATATTTGGGTAAATAAAAGGTCTTTGGCTTTTTTTTTTTTTTTTTACAGCGAAGAATCCATTCGCATGTTGAAAAGATTACAAATTTAGAGGTATTAGTGCATTTAATATCTTCTTCAACTATTTAAATAATAAAGTAAAAAAATTTAAGAGCAGATTATAAAATTAAAAAATATTTCTTTTGGTTTTTTTGCTTTTCCTTGTTGCATAAATGTTGAAATAACAAAAAAAGGTTAAAATTATTTCTTTATTTCTCTTTTATTCGGGAAAAAAGGCCATAAAAATTTATTGCTTTTTTAAAGAAGAAAATTTTTTTTTTAAAAAAATCCACCAAGAGAGAATAAAAAAAACGCCTAAAATTCCGACCTTTGCAAAACCCCTCAAATAGGGCCAATCTTCGCGTAAACCCTACATCAAAATCCCAGCTTTGAATCCAATGGCCGATACCAAAAGCCTCAAAGAACCTGCATTGCCCGTCAAACGAAAGCCTGACGTCACCTCCCAAGACCAAGAAAACGTCCCTAAATCCCCAAAGCTCCAAGCCAACGACGAAACAATCCAGGCCAAAGAAGGAAATTACTCGTCCGAGAATCACGCTCTCGAACCTTCCGGAAACAACGAAGAACCTGGAATCGACTCCGAAGACGAAGAAGACGATGATGATGACTATGAAGATAGCGACGATGAGCATGACGAGGAGGAGGAGAATGGTAATGCGGCAGTTGACCGGAAAGGGAAGGGGATTTTGATAGAGGAGAAAAAAGATAACAGCGACGATGACGCGACTGATTCCAGTGATGGCGGGAACAAATCAGAGGGTGAGAGTGATTTATCAGATGATCCATTGGCGGAGGTTGACTTGGATAATATTTTACCGTCAAGGACACGGCGGCGAGTGGTGCCGCCAGGGGTTTATATTGCGAAAGATGTCGGAAACAATGGTGACGGCGGTGATAGCGATGACAGTGACGCTTAATTTTGGGAGGAGATTGTATTTCAGCGGTATATCTGTGCTTTAATTTAGAGGTTAGTAGAATTTAGTGACTAGTGTTACCTAATTTTATGAGTTTATATGCTAATTTTTGTTTTGTAACTCAAAATTTTAAGTATGCTGGAATGTCTAAGTTCAAATTCAAGAGCTTTTTCATTTGTTTGTTTATTTTCCTGTTTCAATTGTTTTTGAAATGCCTTAAGATAAGTAGAAAACAGAGCAGGGATTGCAAAGGGGGTGAAATAAGGTCAAGTGAGGCAAAATTGAGGTCTTGGCAAATGTGGGGTTTGTGAAATTTGATCACTTAAGGTGTGTGAAGAAGGTGATGATGAGAACTGTTAGGAAAATTATAGTACCTCTGCAATGGACCATAATATATAAATGAATAAGTCCCTTTCCCCATTTAAGCTGAAGAAGACATCCTTCAATTTTTGGAAGGAAAAGTAACAATTTTATGGGAAACAAGTATGGCTTTTGTACTTTTCATTCTGGAGAGCATTACTTGTAATTCTAATTCTGCAATTCTTACTCTGAGCTTGAAACTAATCAGCTCAGTTTGTTCAAGTGTTCAACTATGTTGTTTTCCGTGCTATTATTAGGGTGAAATGTGTGGTAGAGTAGTTGTAATAATATGGTTAACAGTTAATAGTTTTTAAGTTTTCTTATAAGTTTTAACTAGTTAGCAATGCATATATTAGGGTAGTTGTAAATATGTGCCAAGTGCCATGTTAGCGATGTCATTTTTTTTTTTTTGTTTTGCGACTGTTGAGATGTTCTTCATCTTGTTTAGTTGTATTTTGTATGTTACTTCTGATTGTGCCTACCCTTGTCCTCAGATTATTGACTGATTAAATACAGCTCATCTTTTATTTTCTTAATTGAAAAGTATGCTTGGTAATGTTTCCCCCTCGAGATAGTTTCCTTGTCCTGAGTTCAAACTTTGCGTTTGAAGACTTGAGGCATTGGACTTGTGGCCTATTCAGGTTTGTAATAGATATCATTTTGCATGGAAATGGTGCCAAATTTTTAGTTAAGCTCCCACAAAGTTCATAGTACTTCTCTATTGATACATGGTTTAATTGGAAATTGGAATTGTTACTTGATGGAAACAATTGGTCAAGGTATCCCTCCTTTTTCTCTTGTCACTTGATCTGCACCAAGAAAAATACTTCATTTGTTTACATAACAATTTCTGTGGTCTGACTTTATCCTACTGGAATGTCATGAGCTAAGTTGATTGAACCAGTTTTTAGTTAGAGTTACATCCATACTAGGCACCAAAGGATCAGGCCTTTGAGTGATACCTTAGTTATATGTGAACTTACCCACCTACTTCAAGTTGCTTCTTGATTTGTTACCATCGAATGTGAATTGTGATGATAAAAACAACCTATTCATAAATATAATGCTTGAAACTCCATTTTTGTATTGACATTCATAATTCTCCTTCAGCAAATTGAATTGTGGATATACTAGGTATCATAGTAGTAGGAACGTTTTTCCTTTTAGAGTCATAGAACTAATTTTGTTTGATAGAACCACTCTGTGTGGCATTGCAATGTTTCTTCATCTCCCTCAACTCCATATGAAACTTCCTGTTCATGTCAAAGGGTAGACTCTTCTTGGCTGATCTTATGGCAAGAAAACTCTATGCAAGGTTGTCTGAATGGCAATCTTTGTCCATTCCAGCATTACTTTTGGCGCTAGACTTTACATGTGTTATTTGTCGGTTTGAATATTAGGCTCCGTTTCTGTAAAATGATAACTTCAGGAAAAAATTCAGTTGGTTGAGTGAACTCATAAAAAGTTAATTTTCCCATGTCTGGCATTCAATGGAAAATACCCAAAATTTTCATGATTTATAAGAAAAGTACAAACAAAAAGAATTTCATAGATGCCCAAAGCAAAAACCAAAACACAAACTAATATTCAATTTATATGTTAGTCGGAGAAGCAAATTAGTTGTTCATCCACTTGGCTGTTACAATTGACTACAAACATATTATTGGGCATCAAAATAGGCGTTAGATAAGTCGGCAGTTGTTGGGTATGCAGTTTGATAGATTGATAGGATAAGCAGAAGAGAGAGAGAGAGAGAGATAGAGGTGGTGGCTTTTGGTGTGAAGCATGACTGTTAAAAATATTATTGTCAAACGCTACATGTGGCAGATCAGATGTCCGCTTTCAGAGACTGATTTATCAAACAATTTTGCAATATGCAGATAAAACCTTTGTCACCAATCCATGTGCTTTTTAAATTCACATTATGCATTTTATATAATTAAAAAGCATAAATAGGAACTCATCTGTCTTATTAGAAGGAAATGCTTGCATTACTCGGTTTTGAAAGCAAGGTGTAGAAGTTTTCTGAAAGAGTGCAAAACCATTCGCTTCTTTTTCTGGCCGGCCATATGGGCATGCCAGTGGTCCACCCAGTCACCCAATTATTATATGCTTACATTAGGGTCCACTGTTAGTCTTTGGCCCTACTTCCATAGCCTAGATAGATAGTCTATTGAGCAAAATACAGATCAACCCTTGGCCTTGCAAATATAGTCTGCCCATCATAGGTCCGCTCTTTCAATTCTATTATTTTATTATACAAAAAGAGCCACGGAGACTAGCCAGCTGACATGAGATTGAGAACAATTGATATGCAACGCCATATGGTAGGTTTGGTTAGCCTTTTCTTACTCTCTTTTAAAAAGTAGAGAAGTTGACATCAACCGACCATTTTGTGGTCCTTTACCTTCTTCTCCTCCTCCTTTTTGCCTTCTAGTATTTGCTGAGACCTCCACGACGACCCCTTATCGTCTTTGGACCACCAGAGACAATTAAAGAGACGTCTTATGTTTCAAAACTCTCATTCAAGCCACAGCCTCCATCGCCATCGGCCTTTTCTAACAATGATACGTTGCCTTAACATTTTGGACCACAAACAGTCCATCATCATGCGTTATCATCATACCGCATGCCCTTTGATCTTTCCTTCCTAAACCCCATACAACTCTACAGCATGAAATCATGCTCCTAATTTCGTCCAACAGTTAATGCAATAATTCCAACACCCCCTCAAAGTTCACTTCATTGAAAAATCAGTCCACTCTCTTATTTGGTGATGATAATTTGGGAATTGGTTTCAGGTTTTTGCATTGGTCGGATAAACTTTGTTTTGGGCTTTGAACTATGTGTACTTCGTCACATGGTTTCAATTCTAGCAAATGATGGGGGGGAGGAGCATATGAAGATGGAAATGATCATATATATCACCATTTTCAAAAGAATATCTTTCTTTCCTTTTTCTTGGCTTTCACTTTCAATCATGTTCTTCTCCTTGTAATTATATGCAAGTGGCGCAATAATTATAGCATTTCATTAGCCAAAACTTTTTGGCCTAACCACTCCCTCTTCCAATTACAAATTTCAATCCTTTCATTGGATTATTTGTCGTGCTTCAATTAACGTCATCGTTTGTTGTTGAATTGTTGAGGGTAGTAGCCCTAATGTCAGACAAAATTTTGCCAGCCTATAAACCCCTTTATTTATTCATTCTTTATTTAATCCAAAAGCATGTTTGCTGCACATGTTGCTACTATTTCACCTGATTTCTTAATCTTATCGCTTTTTATTAGTACCATCTTTTTCATGTTAAAAACCCTGAATTTTTTAAAGTAGATAAAGTCATAAGATTTACCTGGAAAGCTGGTTATCTACTCGTACAAGAAATGAAAAGCATTGCTTGATTCTCTGCTTTTGAAGGAATCAATATTCAATTTCTGGAATCTAATTGAAAAATTATAAACACACCAAACCCACCTTGTTCTTTTTGGATGGTAATAACAATTGAAAGGCAAAGGAAAAAAAAATGGTTAGAATTTTCACATAAGAGTTAAAGAATAACTACCACATTCAAAATTATCTACCTTTAACCCATTCATATATTTCTTTATGCGTAGTTAAATAACCCAGAAAGTACATAAAACCCATTCATGTTTGATGTTTCCTTTTTAGAGGTTCGACCTTTTTTATTTCCTACCAAAAGCAAAAACCGTTTGAAGCTTCAAAGGAGGCTTGGCCATGCTCAACTGGTTCAACATAGCTTGTACAGCTCTGGTGAGTTGTGACTCATGTTAGGCCATTCAATAATTTTAAGTTGAAGCAAAAGAATCATGTTTGTTGGTACCGAGCTCGATTTAGAGAGTAAAGAACTAAAATCAAAGGAAATCGGAAATTAATTAAAAACAAAATCAAAGCAATTTTCAGTGTTTGCGCTTTAATACTTAAATGAATACTAAAAAAAGAAAAATCTAAAAAAAAGTATAGAGAATTGATTATTCACACCTGAAATGAGAAGAAGTATTTATACATTAGAAGAAGGTGTCAGATCTTGATGATCTGAGCTCTTGGAATTAGATTTACAATTTACGAAATCGATCTTAACTGATGTGATGAAAGAACATCCAGCAAAAAATGACAAGTTATATTTACATGTTATTAAGTGGGATATGGAATTGATCAAATTGACGTGAATTTTAAGAAGTAAAATCGGTTTGCTACATTAACTCTGATCTGATGATCAAAATTACCCTGAATTGACAATAGATAACTCTTTTATTGAAAAAACCTATCATATCCTTTCGATCATAAAATGGCTCAAGCAATTTTCTAAATTCTAATACTGCTTACTGTTAAAGAAAATTGGTACCCCACCATAACATGGCTTTTGAATCCAAATCTCTTTTTCTTTTTTTCTCTGCCTCTTCTTTATAGCCTAATAGGTAAAAGTTAGAGAAAAGGTTGCTGCAATACCACTGAACATCTTCAAGTTAGAGAAAAGAGTGCTGCAATACCACTGAACATCTTCCGCGTGGCACGGTCAGGGTGGGCACAGCAATATTTGACTCGATATGCATATTTGATTATTTTCAACACTTCAAGGCATGTTATGTCACGCCAAAGAAAACCAACAAATCAAACACAGCTACAAGACTTCTAGCATAGTGGATTTCTCTAGTGCTTTCTCCCTCTGCAATGTTGAACAGATGAAAAAATTTTCCTGATGAAGGATTGCCTGTCAAATCTTCTCTTGTTGCCAGCGCCATTACTGATCCGAGGGATATATAGTTTATCAGTAACAGAGAAATTATTTTCTGTTTTGATGTGTATATATATATATCCTGCCGAAGAACATTATGAGCCCTTATTAGTGCTTGGGTTTTCTTAGAGGTCACCAAAATGTCTCAAAATGGGGAGTATGGAATCAAAGGTAAGAAGGAAAATTCAATCACTAAATCCAATTATGTTAGAATTATATACAAAAGGAATCCTAAGGTTTTACTTTCTACCAACATCTCTTTAAATCCACTTTTTGCAAAATGATGACAGATGCCTTTTCTTGAAGGCTAATCATCTTCCATATTGCATGTAGAAAATGCACCGTATATCTTATATCTGAACAGGCACAGGGCCATGGGGTTTGATGAAATTTTGTTTCTAAACTGCAACTTCTTTTTACCAGTTGGGTTTGGTGAATTCCTAGCTGATCAGAGGATGCTCCATGTACTCAAATGAAGATATGTTTCAATCATGATTTTACAGTGCGATCTTCCACAGGGAAACTACTAAAATTGTAAATGGAATATTAACTTGCCAGTATAGCCAAGGGTGCCAATCTGCCAAGAAATGAAATGGTGTGGGAGCAACAAATGGGACAGTACCACTGCTGTAACATAACTGGTCTATTATTTTATAGAAAATGCCAAAACTTATTAGTCAGCCAAAGATCTGAAAATTGGAATCCACAGCTTAAGTTAGGGCTTTAGATAACCTTCAAGTTTTATCTTACATATTCTCACACTTGCATCAGAAAATGTTCAAAACACTATGCTCTTTCAGTATTAATTTCAGTACCTGTTTGAGTTGTTATCGTTTCTCTTGGCTATGACTGTGACATAGCCATCCATTTGTTTCTGGTAAGGATGACCAGGGAACGGTAAAACAAAAGAAAAGAGAATTCTAGCAAGGAGATTTTACACGTTTTAATCCCTGAGAAGGGGCGTCAAAATAGCAGTCCTTACATGCTCCAATTTCATTAGTATGGATACTTTTTTTTTTTTTATTTTACGGAAATTGGAATGATTGTGAAATGTTCTTTATTTTGTTGTCAATGTGGGACCTAATGTTCATTTCCACAAAAGAAAAGGATTACAAAGTTCCTTTTTCATGGTTTTTCGCGGTTTGACTTAAGCCTAGCTTTTGTTCCTAAGAGGATATTGGAGGAAAAGAAAAGAATTGATAATTGAGCCTATGACATTTAGTCAAAGTAATAAATGATTGGATTAAACCACAACTAAACCATGGAAATTTGAATTTGGCCATTAAAAAAAAAAAAGAAACATGGAAATTTGACAAGTCTTTGCTTGAATCATTTTTATAACTTTATATGTTGTGAAATTTTTACAATGGTGAACTCTTCATTACTGTCCATGCCTGGAACAGCAGAGACATTCTTTCTATGCTAAGAATCACTTCTCAATTTTTGTTAAAATTTTAAATTGTGCTATGTTTATATTTTTTTATCATTTTTGTGATATATGTAGTATTATATTTTAAATTATAAAATATTTTTTATTTTTTTTAATTATCATATTAATTTCACGGAAAATTATGATTATTAAAAAATTTTTCTTTAGAAAGGCAAAAGAATTTATCCTTTAGCCATGTATATTTTCATAAACCTAACAAGTTATCGACCATTGTTTAATCTTCAATTTGATGAGTGAAGATGGCATTGCTTAGGGTCAAAATTAAAAGGAAGTTTGAGAAATGTGGATAAAAGCTTTTGTTTTCAAAAGCAAACAACAGATCTCATAGCCCTAATAAAGTTGTTTTCAAGGTCAAGCTTTGAAGAATCATTGCATTATTATCAAATTAAGTTTTCATTAAATGTTTAAGTAAGATGTCAACAAAAAATTAGGCAAACTCAACAAAAGTCCCATCCAAAATACTAACATTTTTTTTTTTTTTTTTGCATGTACTTTAATCCTAGCAGAATCATCAGAAATACATCAATGTTGCAGGGTATACAATTACGTTAAAACCAACATAAACATCCCTTGTAAGGGGTGATTCAAGGTTTGGCCATCGATTGATGATCTTCTGACTAAACCCAACCAGTTTTTTTTTTTTTTAGTTCTTGCCTTAAAATTTATATGCAGGGTCCTCCGTAGCTATAAATGAATCCAACTACCAATCCAATGTTAGGCGTATCAAAGGCATTGACTGTATCAATATGGTAACATCAAAGAAGAGAAAAACAGACAACAATTCTTTAATTTAATGAAGGAGAAGTACATGCATTTAAAGCTGAGTCTTAGATTTTGTCAAATTCCATTTTTTCCCCTCTCCTTTCTACTCAGTTTCCTAATCATTAAAGAGAAACCCATGATTCAGTTTATCCACAAAGGTGAAGAAGTAATGCAGACAAAGTAAATTTACTGATACAATCAAGGTGGTTTCCAGAACTAAACTAAACCCAACGTCGCCAGTTACAACAGCTACTTAAGTCGCTATACATCTCTGTGTAATATCACTCTTGGCTTCTACTATGCCCCCACCCACATGGAGGTGTCTTCGACTGAGCTAGCGACTACGCACACTCGCGCGAGTGAAAGGACAATATCCTTATCTGCAGAATGGCGTTTTCGTTATTAGCTTGAAAAGCAGGGTTGTTTTTCTGACAGCCCATTACTGGTCGCTTTTAGGAACACTCGAAAAAACTAGAGATAAGGACACATGCATGCTAAGTTTTTGGACGGTTACGATTCTCTTAATTTTCTCATCAAAATAATATCAACCGCCTGATCATTAGCAGACAGCCATAATTGAGAAAAACTTTAACCACGGTTCGAACAACCAACCTTGGTTACTTCAGTTGAGCTCTGTCTCAACTTCAGCTTCTATTGTGAGTTGAACTTGAGCACTTTCCAACTGGTTTTTTAAGGGAAAATAAAAGGAAAGGGAGAGTTTTATTTTCATTTTGTTTTTCTCTCTCTTTCTTGTTTGCTATTATTATTTTTGGATTTCGATTCAGATAACAGTTTTGCACTTATAGAAGTTAAAGATTCTTCAGATCTATGAAATTTTCGATGATTTTTTTTCATGGGTTTTCGTTTACTTTTTTTTTTTTTTAAACTGTAATGTAATTGTAGTTCTTTGATTTTTGAAGATGATCGTTGAAAAGAACCCATCTTCTCCCTTCATTTTCACCCCAAAAAATCTCTTTTTTTTCTCTCGAGAGAATTCGAGTTCCTTTTCACTCTCTTTCAATTCGGTTCCTGAAAGAGATGTGAAAGCCTTTGAAGAAAAAGCTTGCTCTTTTTCTTTTTCCACTATGTGTCTTATTTAAAATCTTCAGATCTGGTCTCATTCTTGTTGATTTTATCAGGATCTCTGCCTTTCCAAGTAGTAAAGTCTTGGTTTTTTTTCTTTCTTTTCCTTGGTTTTCTCGGGAAAAAGGAAAAAAAGAAAACTGTGTATGTTCTGGGGAAATAGAAAAACATTAAAGATGAATTATTTCCCGGATGAAGTTTTAGAGCACGTGTTTGATTTCATTTCATCTCACAAAGACCGGAATTCAGTGTCTTTAGTTTGCAAATCATGGTACAAAATCGAAAGATATAGCAGGCAGAGGGTTTTCATTGGAAACTGTTATTCCATCAGTCCAGAGAGGTTGATAGCTAGATTTCCAGGTTTGAAGTCACTGACTTTGAAAGGGATGCCGCATTTTGCTGACTTTAATTTGGTGCCACATGATTGGGGAGGTTTTGTTTATCCTTGGATCAAAGCCTTGGCTAAGAGTAGAATTGGATTGGAAGAGCTTAGACTTAAGAGGATGGTGGTGTCAGATGAGAGCCTTGAGCTACTTTCGAAGTCCTTCCTGAATTTTAAGTCTTTGGTTCTTGTTAGCTGTGAAGGCTTCACTACAGATGGTCTTGCTGCTATTGCTGCCAATTGTAGGTAAGACATTTTTATGATTTTTTTCTATTTGGGTTTTGCTATAATTTGCTTGTTTATGAGATGTTTAGTGGTTATTTGATTTTTTTGGCTTTGTCGTTATGATTTGTTCAAGACGTTCAGTTGTTTAAGTGGTCTATTTACTTTATGATTGATTTTGTGTTGTAGTGATGCTAGTTACTGATTGCAACTTTGCAACTGTTCATAAATGTTTAAGCTTGAAATTGTATTTTGATGGATGAGCAATTGTGTGGGAAGTAACGACGTTAATGGTGGGTATCTTTGATAGGTAGCCAGTTAAGATTTCATATTTGACGAGCATGTAGAAAAATATTACATTCGTAACTAAAAAATACGAGAATCACTTAATCAAGTTTTATGTTCCATTGACGAGTCACGTGTATTTGTTGTTTGTGTTATTGGATTTGGTACGATGCAGCTTTTTGTTCACCTTTTTGTTAGCCACTTGAATTATTGATTTGTCTGCGGGCAGCTTAACCGGCAAAGGTTTCTCTTTTGTAATCCGTACTAGTAATTTCTTAGCTGCAGGTCGTGCTAATTCAAGAAATCCTACTTCTGAATTTTGATGGTTGATTGAATATATCTACATTTGATTTATCTAACCCCTTACCGATCCCTACTATAGGTGGATTAATATTGCTTTAAGTTTTCACGAAATTCTGACTGGCTTTTGGTCTTTGCTAAATAAGATAGTGAAGCATTTAATGGTGGGGCTTTTAATTCATTTGCTCCCTTTGCTATTATTTGATTCTAGGTTTCTTAGGGAGCTGGATTTGCAAGAAAATGAAGTTGACGATCATAGAGGCCATTGGCTTAGTAGCTTTCCTGAAAGCTGTACATCTCTTGTCTCCCTGAATTTTGCATGCCTCAAAGGAGAAATAAACTTAGGAGCTATTGAAAGGCTTGTGGCTAGATCTCCCAACCTCAAGAGTTTGAGGCTAAACCGTGCTGTTCCTTTTGATACCCTTCAAAAACTATTGATGCAAGCACCTCAACTGGTGGACTTGGGTACTGGGAATTTTGTACATGATCCATCTTCTGAGGCCTATAACAAATTGAAATCTGCCATTCAAAGGTGCAAATCAATCAGGAGTTTATCAGGGTTTTTGGAAGTTGCTCCTCATTGCATGTCAGCTATTTATCCAATTTGTGCAAACCTGACCTTCTTGAACTTGAGCTATGCTCCAGGCCTTCATGGTAATGACCTCACAAAGTTGATTCAGCACTGCAGGAAACTTCAGCGTCTATGGGTATAATCTTTACTTATTTGCAATCCCATTGTAGGTGTCCATCTAAATTAAATTGAATAACAATAATCAGTATACATTTTGCAGATACTGGATTGTATTGGAGATAAAGGACTAGGAGTTGTGGCTTCAACATGTAAAGAACTGCAGGAATTGAGGGTTTTTCCATCTGATCTTATCGGGGCTGGAAATGCTGCTGTGACAGAGGAAGGTTTGGTCCATATATCTGCAGGCTGTCCTAAACTCAATTCATTGTTGTACTTCTGTCAGCAGATGACCAATGCTGCCCTCATAACTGTAGCAAAGAACTGCCCGAATTTTATCCGCTTCAGATTGTGCATCCTTGACCCCCAAAAACCTGATCCTGTGACCAATCAGGCATTGGATGAGGGTTTTGGTGCGATTGTTCAGTCTTGCAAGGGTCTCAAGCGGTTATCACTTTCTGGCCTTCTGACTGATCAGGTTTTTCTTTACATAGGAATGTATGCTGAGCAGCTTGAAATGTTGTCCATTGCTTTTGCTGGTGACAGTGACAAAGGAATGCTTTATGTGTTGAATGGTTGCAAGAAACTTCGCAAGCTAGAGATCAGGGACTGCCCCTTTGGTAATGAAGCACTTCTAGAGGACGTGGGAAAGTATGAAACAATGCGATCCCTTTGGATGTCCTCCTGCGAAGTTACCCTTGGAGGCTGCAAGACTCTTGCAGAGAAGATGCCAAGCTTGAGCGTGGAGATCATAAATGAGATCGAACAGATGGAATTTAGCCTTGATGATATGCAGAAGGTAGAAAAGATGTATCTATATCGAACATTGGTTGGGCATAGGAAAGATGCACCAGAATTTGTATGGATTTTGTAGGTGCATTATTTTGGCTCTGCCATGTATTTTCTGCTTATTTAAGTAGTTGTACTTTGTTAGGACAGCTGATTTTTATGGATTCTTAGCTTCTTGGTGATTTAGCTGTATGCTACTGTTGTTTAATTTACAAGAGATTTCCTATCTGTAATCCTTGTTATCATAAATAGATCTGTTCTAGTATTTGCCAGGATCAACCAATGTGAAATTTGTCATTATTTCCAACAACGAATTTGGGTTTCATTTGGATCAGGTAACATAAGCCTTTATTGGTGTGACCTGTGGGTTGAGTTGAAGCAAATTTTGTCTAGAAGCAGTTCGAACCTTTGAAGGGCTGTTGGATGAAGAAAGCTCTGCAAATTTATGTAAGTGCCAGGGCCCTATAGGAGATGGCCATGTGCTAAGCCTCAATCATGATTATGACCTGCTGGTTTCATGGAATTGTATAACATTAGTGAGGATGACTTCATCATCTTCGGATGGAGGCAAGGCGGTTATGGCCTGAATGGACTTGAATCATTTCAAATAGTAGTCCGCTCTTTCAAATCTGAGCTATCATCCTCCAGTTGAAAATAACTAATAAATGGTTCTCAGTCAAGCTCGACAGCAACTATGGCAAGATTTTTCTAACAATTTTAACGTGAAGATTCGTACTCAATTTAAGATATATTATTTATTTTAATTTAAAAATTTTATAATTTTATCTTATAAAAAATATTTTTATAAAATAGATCTTATTAATTTTTAATATTTTTATTGTTATTCTCATAAAGTTCAACACAAAATAAGATTCATCGAACACAAAATATACAAATTCATCAAATCACACCAAATATCATGTAAGTTTAACACAAAACACACACATTATAGATAGAATCATACAGACATTGAGATTTTATGAGTAAACTTGACATAAAGTACATACAGATCACAAGAACTTAACATAAAATACATACAGATCACAAGATTCACATAAATCACAAGACTAGTACCTTTAAAGGATATTATTCACTTTGACTCAAAATCTCATGATTTTTTAATATTATCTGCACCTAATCTACGAGATATTGTCTTATAGTTTCTATTTATATATCATAATAGATTTTTAAAATCTCTCGATGTGAGATTATTGTGTCATATATTGTTTAAGTCTTGTTTGACTGATGATTTACTCTAATATCATTTATAGAGTCTCGTTCGACTGGTAACCTACTCTGATGCCGTTTATGGAGACATGCACCTTAACCTAAAATTTTATGATTTTGTCTCACATACTTAGAAGTTTGGATTTAAATTTTTACATATATATATCATAACAGAAATTTATATTATTTTGATATGAGATTGAAGCATCATAAACTTTTTTCGTTAAAGCTTGACATCTAAGCACATAGATCCACCCATCAAGCATAAACGTCGGGTAAGCCCAACGCAAAGCACACATAAATCGTAGGATCACACCAGATATTAAGATTCTAAAAGTAATATTAGACATTGAGATTCTAAAAATAGCTCCTACTATGTAACACATTCTTGAAGTGACTCCCACCGTGTGACTGTTAGTTCTTACAGAATTTTAAAAGTGGCTCACTTTGTATAACATTTAATTTTTATAAGATTTTAAAGATAACTCATACCGTATAATACTTAACATCTGTTTGATTAATGATTACTTTAATATCGTTTGTGAAAACTTACACTCAACTTGCGAAATATTATCCGTTTTTATCCAAAAATCTCATAATTTTGTCCTAAAAAAATATTTTATAAATTTTAAGTTTAAACTTCTACTTGTAAATTGTAATATATCTTTATAATTTTTTATCGTAAGATTGGTATGTCACACTTAATCGTTGTTTTCCTAGCGGTTTTCATTTTCAAAGCAGCAGAACCCAAAATTTTCTTTTCCAAAACTCATGAACAGCTGCAGACGTTAACATGGGTGCAGCAGCGTGTCAGCAGAGAAAACTTCCGTTACATAATTTGATTGCTCAATGACAAAGAAAGAATTGCTCAAGCTGAACCTTGGTCAAACCTCAAAATACTATTTTTATGGGAGTGTTTGAGTAAACAAGTTCCTCCGTTAAAATTTATAAATTTACTGCTGAAGTTTGGCAGGATTAGGGGAATTATGTTAACTGCCCCGATCTTCAGTAGCCTCCAAGCCATTGATGGTTGCAATAAGAACACAAAAAAAAAAAAAAAATGAAGAAGGATAGCTGGACTTTGAAAAGCAGAGCATAAACATTTCAAACCTTCCTTCATGATTCTCTAGGTTGCTTATTCGCAGCAGGAGTTTAATAATAATTTCGAAAGCCATTGTCAATGGAGATAAAAAAGCGTTAGAAAGGGGACTATGAATCATGAGAAACATCAGCATGATGAAAGCCCAAGCAAAAGATACAAATAATTGATACACAAGGAGAACCGAGAGATGTATTTATAATGCAAACTTCTGTTTACAAAGTTTGAGTAGATAAACCATTAAATCGGATAGGCATGGAATCCATACAAGCATACGACTATTTATAGAACAGTAACAACCGCCATAAAACTACAATGTAGAACTCATTATAAGCAGCATTTCTCCCCCACATTCTTCATGGATTGTCATAAGAAGCAGCAGCACTCCTCCAACATGCAGCAGCAACATAGAGCAGCCAAACTGCATACAAACATAATGCATTATGCCATCAGTAAAAAAACATATGATAACAAGCAAAGCATCTAAAACATGTATATTATCCAATTGATGGCCTATCAATGATAACCAAAAAGTGGCCAATAGACACTGGTTCTGCAAGTTCAGTTGTTAATCAAAGCCTAACACCACTTGATACCGTAACTGAAAGGATTAAACGAACACCATTACTTGTCACAAGGAATGCCCATTTTACGTTATTATAGCCTAATGAGCTAATGGCCCAAGGTTGTCACAAGGAAACTATATTGTTATCCATAACTACTTGTGACTCTAAATGAATTTCTACATGCCAAATATTCTAATCCCATGTTACAATCTAGAAACTCACATACACAACCAGATTCCTTCTTAAAAATACAAAACTAATTCAATAATAAAGTGGAAAAGGCCACATAAACTTGACGTATGTAAAGCTTCAGAAGCATAAAATCAGGAATGCCCTTAAACTTGCAAATACAATCTGACAGCTAAGCACATGTTCGAGAAGGAATTGCAAATTAAATGTGCCCATTAGGAGTCTTCTAGCATAGGCTCTAACTGAAACATCCAATAACTTTCCACAAAATGTCAATAGTGGTATTACATTAAAAAAAAAAAAAAAAACTCCTAGGCAACAACACTATCAAAGAGAGGATTTTTGTCCTTAACAAGAATGCCTGGGTAGCATTTCTAAAGCACATCTTAAACAACTGTCCAAATCATGATGGCAAAGTATATCCTCCATAATTCTCATTTTGAACCTTCATCGATTCAAGGTCTTTGGTCAACACCTCTAGACAGATAATCTAGTTTCTACTACATAAAATTGATCCATATTGAACAGGCAATATGGATAACAGGCTTCACTCGAGAAATATAAATCTCACTTACATTAACACATCTATGCTGCTTATCCAATCTAACAATTAAATGCCATTAAGGATGCATCTATCAATTTAAACATGAAATATAAGAGACAGGAGAAGCTAATAATCAAATAAAAGAAATATACTCAAGCAACATACACAAAGCTGTACCAAATCCTATGACCTTCCAAGAGAGCACTGATGTATAATTGAAATGAAACAATTTATATATATAAAAAAAAAAAAGAGGATAAATGACATAGTTGATAGGTTATACTGAGATCAACTCAGGCTAGGAGAATCCAACTGTTACTGTAATGCTAAATCAAATTCCTTGAATCAAAAAATAAGGAGACCTTCATCACAATACCTTTTTCCTTTATTCCTTTCTCTTTTAAAGTTTTCCCTTTTAACTTTCTAGTTTCTTTTGGGTTTGATCACAGAATTCTTTAAGCACATTCAGTTCCATAATCCAATACCAAAACTAAAAGCTAGAACCTTCCAATTATAAATTCTACATATTAAGCAACAAAACTCAGATCTTTAAGCACCAAACCATTCCACCAATAACAAAAGATAATAAGGAAATGAAACAAAAATTCATACCAGCCTTGTAGGAAAGAGAAGCAGCCAGCATCAGATTGGTTCTGGTAATGGTAATGCTCATAGTGGTGGCAGTGTTGATACTGAGGATGACCTGGAGGTGGTGGAGGCTGAGGTGGTGGATACCCTTCTGCAAAATACCCTTGGTACCCTTCGTACGGCTGGCGTGGCGGCTGAGGATAAGCTGGATATCCTGGTGGCGGCGGTGGATAGCCTTCGTACGGTGGCAGAGGCGGCACTGGTGGCGCTGAAGGGAACCCTGGCGGGGGTGGTGCTGAATAAGGTGAGGCGTACCCTGTTGTTGAAATAAAATTCGAGGAAACAGAATCAAATGATCAAATCACGAAATTAAGAAGTGGAAGATATTGAAGGATTGGAGGTTTGTATTATTACCAGGAGGAGGATAAGGGTCTTCAGGAGCTCTCTGGTAACTCATCTTGATGATTTTTTTGTTTGTAGGTTTTCCTTTCTGTCCCTGGAGATGTTGTATCTTCCAATCCAAAATGGTACAGTGTGATATTTAGAAGGACAAATCCTCTTGGGTCCAGCCTGTCTCCAATCATTTCCTGCCACATCACCATAATGGAGTAGTCAGAAATTTTATTTTAAGAAATCATTTTTTTGACTAATTTCCATCCGAAAGAGTTTGTTATGTATGCTTGAATAATATATTAAAAATTAGTTGTTGTCTCAACTCTCATGATGTCAAAATGTTCTGGCGTTTTAAAATTCTGAAATCCAGCTCCTAAGCCAGATAACAAAGAGATTCGAAAAGGAAATTTCGAGTTGTTACTATATACTGGAAAACCATTGTTTTGGAACTTTCATCTTCGAAGATCACAAATACCCAACAATCCTCTGATTGAAAAAACCAATGAGCATAGTCACAAGTCATTTGTTGATGTGGATCTTTACAAGCTATTTTCTGTTGCAGGCTTGTATCAGCGGAAAAAATTTCAACATGAATAAAAAAACAACAAAACTTCCGTAAAGATTAAACGCCCCCTAACGAGTAAGCAAACCAAATGAAGGGACATGGCTAAGCAACCGAGATGGATAATTTCATTCAACGTGTCTCCCCCTGCCTCAAGCCAAAGTTTTCGCTTTCACACCCCCACCCCAATGAAAAATATCGATTTTCTTCTGCCTCTACTAGAACTAGAAGACTAGAACGGCTTTAAGGAACCAATACACGCACCTCGGCTATCTTTTTTCATATATAACCAACGCTTTGATCTTCTAAAGGCTGCAATATTCATAGCTAAAAATTGAAGCAAAAACCACGCAAAGAAGCCCAGTGTGTATTGAATTCTCTGTTACCAAAATGAATAGCAGCAGCAGCAGCAAAGAATCACAGGCTATTACCCTGTATCTCCCCTCCCACTCGAGAAGATACAAGCCCTTTCCATCAAACAAGCGCACTAGGAAAACAGCCACAGATGCAATCTGCAGCTGCTGCATTATCATCATTATCATCATCATTGCCTCCCCCTCCTCCACAACCGTCTGATCAGAATTCTGAGAAATGGGGGAGTCATATCATGGGAGCACCAGCTATTCCCGCATGCCATCCAGACAACATGAAGGCAGCCTTGTGGGGTGCTGGTGACCAGGCTCAATACTTCCATCATCCATATCTCCAATACTCCCCTGTAGAAAAATCAAACAATAGCCTCATAGAATCCGTGCTTCAAGTTTTCAATTCCTGGAGTCACAAAGCTGAGATCATGGCCAGCAATATCTGGCACAATCGTATGTTCAAAATCTCTCAGATTCCCTGTAATCTAGTTTTAATTTCCCTGTTACCATATTATTGTTCTTCTTAAAAGTTAAAACTGGATCGTCCGTATCTGGAGCTGCCTGGGGGAAGATGAACCTGACGGCAAAAACACTAACAGGAGGTGGATTCGAGTCTCTTTACAAGCAAACATTTGCGACTTATTCAAATAAGAAGCTGAAGAAGTCATTCGCCCGCTATTTATCCACTTCAACTGGACCAATTGCTGGAACTCTATCTATCCAATATTCATGTAGCTTTCTGCAGTGATCGCCCCTTGTCCTTCGCTGCCCCTCCAGGCCAGGAAACCTGGAGCCATTACAAGGTAAATAAACTGATTCAACATGTTATTAGTTAGCTTCATAATAAACCTTTTATCAATTGTATAATCCTTTCTTCCCCGTATGTTATATTGATAGAAGTGGGACTACTTCAGTGGCTTGGAAAATTCAAGGTTATGGTACCTTTGAGCAAAGTTGGCATCATCAACCCTATAATCATTTGGGAGAATCCGTCAGAGAAATATATTCAGATTGTTACGGTGGATGGACATTATTTCTGGTACATGGGTTTTGTTAATTATGAGAAAGCATCCAAGCATCTAAGAGTGTTCCCAATTTTGTAGCGTCTGAGATTGCAGTACAACAACCTGCACCTGTTGCATAAAGGGGATTATATTTACAGGTTTCTTCTTTTGTTTTCTATTTTTCTTGGATTTCATCATCTGTTCTTCGGATCCTCTTTTCTGCGTTTGCGATAGACAATGGACAAAAAAGGCAAAACATAAAAAGGGTTTTGCGTTGACAGACAAAAATACTTGCCACTATACTACAACTACTTGATGTTGGATCCCCCGTTTCCTTAACAAGACATTGGCTGCTGAAATTTCAGTCTCTCAAAATGAAAGGTGACTGTAGTAGTCATGCACATAGATGGGTGGAGTCAGTAGAGTAACAAAGTTTGACTAATAATAACATGCCAATGCATAAAAATGCAAGTATGTTTTTTTTTTTTTTATCATTCAAAGGAGACAGAACTCTATATTAAAGCAGAGGGAAAAAGGCTGGAGTTTGAACCCTAACTTTAATGTTTTCTTTTAAGATTATTTTGACCATTAGATCAAACAACTGAAGACAAAATGTTAATATGTTATTAATTGATTTGTGACTAATCAGATTTCCAAAGTCCAACTCTTATTTTCAAGTGAAAAAGGAAAAAAAAACCTTAATATTTTCTTTAGTGAAATCAATAATTAAAAAAATATATAAAACTTCATTAAAATCAAATAATACCAAAAAAATATTTAAACATTTTTATATTTTTTAACCATTAGTTTCAATAAATTCAAAAGACGAAATAATTTTTATTTTCTTTTTTTCACTTGAAATCAATGATTAAAAAATATTAAACTATTTACTATTATACTGATATAAATTCATCCTTCCGAAAATTATATGAGTTTCTGGTTGGTTGGTGAATTGGAATACTTCAAGTTCAAATGGCACTGCTGTCATTTACCATATATTCGACTGCTAAGAAACAAAAGGCTACAATTTGGATTCTACAGCTACAGCCAGAGGGGTTCTTCTTCAAGCTACCATTTCAAGCATAGAAGCCTTTCTTTTGTGCGAGTCTAAGATTTGGAAACGGACATCTCATCCCTAACATGACTCTGAGTCACTTCATGACATCTCAAGCAGTATACATACACAATTCACAAGATTAAATGGAAAAGATAAATTAATATTAAGTTTCAAAAATGTCACCCTATTACATATCAGTTCTTCCACCTCTCCTATAGCACTACCTGTTTCAATCAAGTCTAGGCCTATCAAGTACAAATCAGTTGATTCATCTTGAACTAAACTCATTTAATACCCATCTAATTAGAAAATTCCGACAACAAATGTTCTAAAAAAACAAGAAGAAACACCTATTTTTAACTGCAAACATAGCATTCAGTGCAGACACGCTCTTCATTAGGTTTCTCTCAGCTACAATACTTAGTGCTTCTTCTTGCTTGCTTTTAAAGCGCTGGATTTTGATGGGGTAACAATCATGTAGATAAACAGAACCACAATCAATATCACAGAGATTTGAGACCCATACTTAGCCAGCAACCTCTGCAGACAGAGAAGGTTCACATTAATTTGATGGGGTAGGAACAAAAGGACAGCTTATGGACTCTGTAAATCAAACTAAAAAAAGGAGTTAAGAACTAGAAGGTTCATCAAGGATCCATTTATTTTTAATTGTTACACAAGAAGCAATACTCAACAACTACAAAATCATCCAAAGAGCAAAGATATTCCAAAAATGGATGTGCATATTTTCTATTCCTGAAACGAATCTGGCAATCTCTGCATGCATGCCAAATTTTTTCCATCCAGAATCTAGAAGCATGATTATTTTAACAAATATAGCAAGAATCATTCATACCTTAGCCTTCAATATTTAGTCACGACCAATGCGAGTTACACAAAAGACAAAAACAAACAAGTTTTAGTAACATGGAAATAAGGAAGCAGATATTGAATAGATTTGATTCTTTGCTTATTGTTATTCCAACCAAAACTTACCCGCTCAAACTTCTTCTCAGGAGGTCTTTCTGCAAGGACATCCAACGGCAAGATTGGAGTTGAATATGCCTCCTAAAGCACACAGCAAATTAGAGCATCAAAGCTTGTTCATCCTTTTTTCCTTCCCCTTAAATTTTAAGACAGGAAAATAGATTCTGTTATGAATCTCAAACCTGTAGAGCAGCCTTTGTGGGAATGCGGAAAGTAATAACTGCTGGGGCACTATAGAACATTCCTTGTCTTTTGGCCTCTAATTCAAATGAATGTGATACAAGACCACCGCTGCAGATCATAAAGTTTTCACAATTTAGTTAATAAATGATCCAGAAAGACCAAATTAAATGGAATAACAGGAAGGAAATACTCACGCATCAAGTCTCTCCCATGACTGTGAAGTATTACCACTGATGACATCAAATGCATCTTGGGGCCAGCTATCATCAACGAGACTCACATCATATGCTGTCCTGATTTTTTTTTTTTTTTTCAGAAAGATTGTTCCTCAAGTAAGGTAATATCCCCACAACACATAATGCATGAAAAATCTAAAAAAAAAAAAAAAAATACTTCACATGCGAATTAACAGGAACATGGCAAAAGGGGAAAATAGACAATGCCCTGCGTTCATATTATCACTTAAGAAGTTTCTGAAATCTTCATCAATATTATTCAAGCATTATATTTGATCATATAGCAACATCAACCTCAATTAAAATTTGATGGTCAACGGGCTTACATAAGGCCTTCACATGAATTGACGGTAAGAAAATTGCAAATTCATTAAATAGGCAAAATTTTAGAGCACAAAAACTCATAAAAAGCAAAAAAAAAAAAAAAAAAGCATGCCAAAGTAAGTGTTGCAAAATTCTCTATTCATGAAGGTTAAAAAGGAATGCAATTTTTTTATAATTTTTGTTCGATTTATTAAAATTATCGGACTTGCAATATCATCTCGTTTCTCTCAGATCCAAATAACTAAAAATTAAACGAAATTCTCTTTAATTTCACTTATTCTCTATTCATTTTTTTTCTAAATTGAACCATCAGCAAAAACAAAATAAAAAATTGATCTTTCCTCACTGTCAGACAAGCAAATCAGCTGCTTATCGTTCAAAGCCTAAAGAGACACCGTGAGCTACATAGGATAATAAGGATAGCTCGAATTCATACTCAAAGTTGACGATCAATTCAAGATTTAGAATTTCCACCTCGATGGAGAAATCAGAGTTAGATCTAAATTAAAGGGATTAGAAAAAAAATTAGAGAAAAAAGGAAAGAGAACGCACGAGAAGCCTTGGTTGTAGATGTCGATGGAGACAGAGACGCGTTCGGCGCCGGATTTGAGTCTGGTGAGCGATGCCTTCTTGTGAGCGACGATGAAGGGGGCATCGCCTGTGGCGGCGGCGGCTGATATCAAGAGAAGAGCAACCAATGCCTTCATCAGTGGATTTCCGATTAGCGTCGCCATGAGTCTGCCGGAGCTGATTATTTTCTTTTTCCCTTGAATAAGAAGTGGCAGTGGAAATGGTTGAAGAGACGATCAGACGAGAATAGGGCTCGTAACATTGAGCTGACCCGGGACTGCAAATCTTATTGGCCCGGTATATGATGCGGTGCCGTTTCAGACTTTTTGACATAAGCAAAAAAGAAATCCTATTTTTGAGCAATTGATAATGAGCTTAGCATGCAATATTTTTAAAATATAATATTTAATATATTTTTATTATAATTATTTACTTTATTTTTAACATGCAAACTTGAAAAAGTAATGGGCTTGATATTTTTATTTCACTTGTTGCTTTCTTTTTTTTTACTAATTAACTTTCAATTTTGATAAAGTTGAAACTTGAATATTAGAAATTAGAAGTTAAAAGAACATAAATTCATAAGAAAATTAAAATTTGAGAAACAATATAATCCATATAATATGTAGTGAGGAAATGAAAATTAGCAAAAAAAAAAAAAAAAGGAAAGGAAAGAGATGAACATTAATGTGGCTTTGTCTCATTGCTTAATCGAGTTTCACAATTAATAAATAAAAAAAATTAACAAGCAAAGGGAATATTTTTATATAGGAAAAAGGTAAGGTACTTTGAAAACAGCTTTGTTTCCATATGCATGAAGCATGCAAACAATAAAGATGAGAGGATAAGAGAAATTGAAAATCTTATTCCTGAACAAATATTGTCATTTTCCAAATTAATTTCCCATTGATTTTGTCGCTTGCACGGATTCTGTTTCAATATGTTAACTATTAAGCATTGGATATGAAATGACATACTGACATGATCGAGCCATATCCTCATCAGCTGAGGCCAATGCCATTTTGTTTTCTATCAGTAACCAAGATTCTGGAAAAATAATGCTTAACTAAACTGATTCAATAAATTCATCATCCATGCACGCACTTTTTTCTCATCAGTAGTGCAGTTAAAATTCACATATGATCGGCATCGATTAACCCCAAATATATATATCTAAATTGGAGTGAATCACAGCACATTATTCTTGACACAAGGCTAGTTAAAATGACGGTTTCAGCGTTTCCTGCATGCGATCCGCGACTAGATTGTTCAAAGGAAGAAGAGAAAGGACAAGCATGAAAGAGAAGAGCCTGTCAGCTTAGCCAACGATGATTGCCTGCAGGGAGCCAAAAAGGGCTTCCAGCTGCTAGAATTAAATGACCTTGGTGAAACTGTTTGTGAGGCCGGTGCAGGCAAATCATCCTTGGCTACCAACAAGACTCTTTATCTTCATGGAAGACCTCGCTTCCTCATCATATGCATGTATGCATGCATGCATGCATGCTTCATTTTTATACCGAACAATATTTCCTTGTTTCTTTTTGCTCCATGTATCCAAATGCTTACCCGTACGTTAAAAGGTAAAGAAGACAAGGCCTAACATGAAAGAAAAGAGCCTGTCAAGCTGGCCAAGATGACTGCCCGAGACCCAACAAAGGTTTTAGAAAGATACAATAATACAATCAATATCTGAAACCTCTTGGAAGGAGCAGGCAAGTCATCCTTGGCTACCTAACAGAATTCTTATCTTCATGTTAGACCTTTCTTCCTCTCAAAGCTCAAATGCGATGCCAACACACAACATTTTTGAAGTCTGTATTTATAGCAAATGAAATTAAGGATCATAGAGATCAGATTCGTATTGCCACGCATAATTTTTATCCCTTTTCATCAATTTGCCTCATCCATTGGTTTTCTTTTAATATGTGCTGTTTCTTTCTGCAAATCTCACTTCCCATAATGGAATATATTCGCTTCAAATGTAGGGACCTCCTGTTTTCAGAGATAGACTCTCCACAAAGATTAGGGAAAGGTCTTGAAGTTTCTGACTATTCCACTGCCCACCCTGGCACTTTGACCCGGCAACTTGCAGCTAATCTTAGCCCCTTGAACAGATTTAAGGCTACGCGGTTGTAGCAGAATATAGATATGCATACCAGTGCCCTTCTTCCCTTGGTTTCATATATGTTGCCATGTACATTTGTTGGGCTTAGATTTTGGCTCAAACCTCTTTTTGATGCAAATTTTTTTCTACACCTTTAAGTTTAGGGGTTTAGATCTATTGAGTTTATCAGGTGAAAATTAATGAACTCAAGCCATGTGACCCTTGGCTAATATCTTCAATCTATATCGTGTGATTACCTAAACTCCAAAAACATTAATACAAATCAAAAGGTTTTCATTCAGTTTGCGACCTCAATCTTGATCAGAAATCATTTGATATACTCACAATCAAATCAGATCACTTTTAAATCATGGTTTTCAGGAGATTCGTTTGAGAGAAATCAAGGTAAATATTTTTGAGCAACTCTTTTAACCAGGCCTTTACTTCTCTCTCATTTTCCATCTACTTCATGTATGAGGCTTTGTGACCACTTATTTTCTAGTGAATTCTATGTAATTCTGAATGCTTTGAAATTATAGATGGTTTTGACTTCGCTCAAAGGGAAGCAAGCACAAAATCTAGTAAAGGCAAATTGGTCAAGAGATTTTCTGAATGCTGATAGAAACCCTAACTAATTTCATGTACCTTTTCCTCTCCTTCATTTCATGGGGCATACGATTCTAATGACAACACACGTCCAATTTGAGATGCCCAAACTAATCAAACCAAAAAAAAAAAAAAAAGTCAATGCCGTTGGCACCAAGCAAATGCTTTTGTTCTGATTGTACATGCATGCCCCTGCTCACAAAGCCAAGTAGTAGTATAAATTCTTCCTCCTTTAAGCATCTTCGAGTGTCCATATCAATAATTGGAAGATACTATACTAGCGACCACCTCTCCTTCTCCCTTATGGCCCTCATTGTTTCATTCCTTAGTACATTTGATTTCAACCTTGGAGACACATGTAAGTTAATAGGATTGAATTTTATATATATATATATATATATGAATTTATATTTAATATATTATCAGTATATAAATTTTATACGTTATCTGTAAATAAGATAATATTATTTTATTAATAAAATAAATCATATCATATCACTTTATTAATAATTAAATTTTTTAAAAATATTAATTTTATATATTTATTTTAAGAATTAATTTTTGCTCATTAATAAAATAATATCATCTGATTTACTGACAGTATATAAAATTTATACACCGATAATATATCAAACATAACTTTTTTATATATATTCATTTATTTAATGGAAATTTTTAAAATTTATTACCAACATTTTGAAACTCGTGGACAATCTGCAAAGTTTTCAACAAAGACGAGGATTTACCATGATTAAAGTTATAATAAATCTTTGACTTTATACTAGTGTATCAGACTGGATTTTAGAGATTAGGACAATGCCAAACTCTTCCCAATTACGGATTTACCCAAATGTTCTGTTTGTTTTCCATGAGAAACTAGAAAACCATGCAACTGAAGCCTTTATACCAACAACTTTGGGCCTCAAGAAGCCTTCAAAGAGTTTGGGCCTTTGCCTTAGCTAGAAAGTACCCACTTTAGCCTTCAAGAAGCCGCCGACAAAGAGGTCCTGATCCAAAACTCAATCAGAGCCCAAGCTCATCTGCCATTAAAGTAAGCAAGCAGGGTAGCACATGGTCTTTTCAGGCCAGCTAAGCAGAAAAAGTGATGATATTTCTCCCAAGTGGACCCCCACTTGTCACCCCAACTTTTCCAGTACTCTTTGCAGCTCTGCAGTGCCTATCATGTGCTTCATAAATATCAACTCCATGTAATCTTTTATTAAACTCTTTCTTCAGACATTGAAAGATATTCTGAACTTAGCTCTACTTGTCTCACTTTCACTTACGTGATCTCAAACTTCTTATCTTTTCCTTTTTTATAAATTCCAAGATCTCAACTTTTTAAAAGTATGATGTCAGATTTACCCAAAACTTCATGTTAATTTTGATGATGGACAAGATTTGCAAATCAAAGCCAAGAAGATCTGTGCTGTTTCTGTGTGACTTTTGCAACTCAAAGCCCGCAGTTTTTTACTGCAGAGCTGACTCTGCAAAGCTCTGTTTGTTCTGTGACCAACAAGTCCACTCTGCCAATGCTCTGTCTATTAAGCATATTCGTTCGCAGATCTGTGACGGTTGCAAAACCAAACCAGCTTCTTTTGTTTGCTCAAATGATAATCTTATGCTCTGCCAAGACTGTGATTGGAATTCACATAACAGTAACTGCTCTGTTTCAGCTCTGCACGAGCGTTCCCCTGTTGAAGGGTTCTCAGGTCGTCCTTCAGTGATTGAACTAGCTTCTATTTTTGGAATTGACTTAAAACCAAATGATTTGATGAATTTAATTCCAGAGTTTTCTATATACGAGCAAGAATTGATGAATCTGGAAGATTTTATGGTCCCAAATGAGAATTCTTCCGTTTCCTCAGCTTTGCTTAGCTCTGTTAAGGTTAACCATGAGGTGTACAGACAACTGGTTGAGATGGCGAAGAGAGATTTGGTGAGAATAAGAGGCGATGCAGCTGAATTGGGGCCAGGGACACCCCCTAATGGAAGTTTTGAGCAGGGGAATTTATTGAGTTTTGAAGTGGAAAATGGGGATGACGAAGAACTGCTGCACCGACAAACTCCCTTTATCTCTTTGCTAATGTTGCACAACAATGAGCTCTTAAGAAAACATGCTTTTGTTGCTAATGAAGGAGAGCTTATGTGGGACTGTAAGTCTTCTTATCAAGCTTCCCAGGTATGTATCAAATATATTTTTCCCTAATTTAAATTACTTACTTTTTTTAGTAATTAAATATTCAAGTTAGGGGAAGTGGGATTTGAACTTTGAACTTGGACTTCCCTTTTAGAGTAAAGATGCTTTCTGTACATTATATTTTGTGCAAGTTGTTAGAAGAATAAATCCGGACTTCATTGTATTTGTATGCTGTAGCCTTCCTATGCTGTGTTTCATCCGTTTTTCTTTTAACTGAATTTTGTAGGTATTTGAGGTCATGCTTTATCTTGTTGGCTTAACAATCTTATTTAAATGTCATTGGTCCTTGTATTAAATATTTTAAAGTTGCAAAGTGGATATTCATGGTGAATCAATGCCTCTACGGCTGAATTTCATTGCTCAGCCTCAGCAGCAAATGGCTTCACATTGCGAATTAATAAATGCTTATATAATCAGACCACTTTCCATGGTCAATATTGAAACTTTACCCCAATCTCACTTGCATCAGCTGTAGCATCTTCATGCCTAATGTACTTATGAACATTCATTTGCAGCTTCACATTTGTGTTAAAGCATGTTTAACGTGCGTGGCTATCAAAATTATCCTTTATTGTTTGTTTTGAGGTGATTTTAAGTTGTTCAAAATAATTGTGCTAACTAGGGTTTAAATTTGGGTCAAATTTCTGAGATTCAACCAAAATTCTTTACCAAAAAAACTCATGCTTAATATTCACGTGACATTTTAGATATGGGATTTTCAATCGGGAAGGTCAAGAGATTGTGAAGAATCTGGTCCAGAAGATGCTGGGTGCATAAATAGCATAAACAATCATGCTTTTGTGATTAAGAACTATGATGGCCATGCTAAGGGAAGTTCCTTGTCGAAAACAAGTGTCTTTGAAGACTTGTACGAGATGAGCCACTCCATGAGATGTCAAGATGCCTTGTCTAGAAATGTAAGTTGCTTTTAGTAATGTTAACTTCCTTGATAGAGTTCTTATGCAACAGCCACATATTGTCATTTAAAATATATATGGCTCAACCATGGAAATTTAAGCTCCTTTAACTAGTAACTTGGTCTTCAGTGTAATAGGAACACTAGTGAATAAGAGGGCTGTCTTGAAGGAGGTACTTGTTTAAAGAGTAAAAATAAAAGGAGCTTTTTCTTCCTGATTTTTTACAATGAATGCTTGGAAGGATGCATTTTTATTTCTCCTTGTGGGGTTATATCAAATTGGTGGGTTAAACTGTTCATTGACCAAGCCGTATGTGTTAATAGGATTTCTTCCATCTTTTATAAAATACTTGATTGTTGTCCCTTACTGGTGCTATTTCATAAGAAGGAAAACATACCTTGCCATGTGCTCATATGGCTACCTTCTATCTCACGGGTGTTTAATTGTTGGAAATGAAATGGCTTTATCGTGGGTGTTATGGTATGCTGAAAATTCATGTAGAAATTATTTGAGATTTGGTAGTTTCAAATTGTCAGAATTCTGGCTCAAAATTCTGTTTTCTTTTGATTGCTGAACTCAATTAAAAAAAAAAAAAATACTCAATCAAAACAAGGAGTTTGGTTGGAAAATGACAAAGAGGAAATTCTCTATTGTTTCCAGTTCCACAGTTCATATATATGACATTTTTCCTTGTGGAATTTAATGTTTATGTGTTCCTGGTTTGCAGTAAGGCGACAGCAAAGGTGTTACAGGTTATGTGCAAAACGTTTAAAAAAGATTTGGCGACACCCTTATTAACTGTTGACTTCACTGTGTCGTGGATACCTTCTGAACTCTAAATATGTAGAGATTGTAACCTTAAATTTGGCTGACTGATCCTAGTGTCCTTTTGATAAATCAGCTTTTTAATGGGTCTCACTTCAATAGACTTGACTTTATGTTTTCTATTGCTTAAACTTTGAAAGCTGGTGTATAGATAAGCTTGATTATGAAAACTGCAGAACTGCTGCAATCAACCATTCTCAAGCTACAAACCAACAACTGAAGAGAGTAATGATGTACCGTTGGTGGGGTCATCATCAGATTTCAAGGTGGCTGAACCCCTAAAATGCGATGGCACAAGATTTGTCCAGGTCATGGAGCACCATATTCTGGCTGGTAGTGACTCTATGAATGAGGGAAAAGCTAAGGTTGATGCGGAACTGTTGGCACAAAACAGAGGCAATGCCATGTTACGCTACAAGGAGAAGAAGAAACATAGAAGGTATATCAGATCTTTTAATTGAGTTTTTCTGTTTTGCCATGACTAACCTTTCTTAGTAAAGAATCTTTATCCCTTTTCCAATTGATGTGGTAAAAACATGGACAGATATGACAAGCAAATACGCTACGAGTCAAGGAAGGCCAGGGCTGATACTAGAAAGAGATTCAAAGGTCGCTTTGTGAAGGCAAGTGAAGCTCATGATGTTAAAGTTTAATGGCTGTTTTTTAATTTTTGGATAACATGCTCCCTCCCTATGCTCCCTGTCTGTAATATCTCTTGCTTAGTTTGTCTACAAGAATATTATACCCTCTATGTCAAAAGGAAAAATACGGTTTCATTGCCACGATATATGCTTTTCAAAATCTGGAATTAAAGATGTGTATGGTATTACAGAGATTTTACTTGCATGCTCATATATCCAATGGATCGTTATTAGTTATAAAAAATCTGGAGAAGCTACTTGACGGAAGATCCTTCAATGTGCAGTATTGTTGCAAAGCCGAATTGTGAACATTCTATAGGTTTCTGTAAGCCCTATGTAGAAGAGTGAGGCAGGTGATCCTGATGCATCTCAATTGAAATCCAGTACGCTGTGAACAATTTCTTTAACAACTACCGCAAATACATTCTGTAGAACAAATATGCTTTATATAGACTTGAAATACTACAATTTTTTCCTTTTTGGATTCAACAACCATGAAGAGCCTTTCCATGATTTGAGTTTTCCAGTGCAAATATTGGTGCTGCCATGGAATTGAGTTACTTGCATATTTCTACAATCTTGAAGAGAGTTGTGACTTTTACATTACAAAGATTTAGCATACTTGAAGAGCTGATTTAGGAACCCGTGAATCTAATGTGCTAATACCAATTAACAAGTTGCCCTTGGAAATCGATTTAGGCAAAAACCAAGCCATGGATCTCAAAATCCAGGCTAGTGGTTGACTATAAAATATAAGAAACTTCACTGGTTTATGCTGTAGGTACATTTGTCTTGTTTTGCCAATTAAAGTTTGAGAACACTGGATTTCTCATCTACGAACCAGCCTGTATCCTGTCCAGGATAACATGGTGCATCTGCGAAGGTGGTAATTTTGATATTTTTGGTAACACACTGCATCCAGGATTATGGCAGAACCATTGATGAACCGTGGTGGAGTTGACAGCTGATCCATCGACAACCGCTGAGCTTCTTTTATTTTTTTGTATATATTGTTGACTGTGAACCTCATATCATATTTTATTGGTTCAGAAGTAAACGCAAATCATACAAATTTTCGCATAGGAATCACCACATTAAAATGCTAGGATTTATGAATATAAAGATCACGAATGTACCCCCCAAGTGTCACATGTATGCAAAGTTATTTTCTGATATAATTGCTGGTAGCCCACGTCCCTATGTCATATGCGAGTGATGTGAATGTAGTCCATTTCAAGCGCTGCTTGGATTATTATATGTATCACTATCAATGTGAGAGTATATTTGAAGAATTAAATCAAAAAAGTGATTGGCAAATCATGGTTGAAGTTTCAGAGGAAAAATTGTTGGTAAGGAAAGGTAAACCAAACGTGTACGGTGTATGACACCAGTTGTCATTTGGACCAGCCATGAAGGTTGGTCCCCACGTGCACAATTTCAGAACCCATAACGTTAACATATCCGCACCAACAACCAAGCTGCTTCAAGATAAGTCCAGACTTCACCTTTAATGAAATTCAATCTAAAATCTAGATACTAGCTGCTAGTTCATACATAGTTGTAACATATCATAATACTTTTATCTCAGATTTTAGTGTAAATGGTATTTTAATAATATTTTAGTAATATTTTATATTAATGATATTATTTTAGTAATATTTTAATAATATTTTAAATTAATTTTATATTCATTTAGAGAATATTAGATATTGAATTAATATTGATTTAAAAAATATTAGATATTGGTTTGATATTGATTTATATATTAATTAGATGATTATAAAAATTGATTTAATCATTATTTTTTATTTTATAATAATTTACCTCTGTATAAATAAGCTTTAAGTTTCATTGTAAAATATAAGTCAATATAATAAAATTTTATCATTTTCTCCTTTTTCATGATAACAAAGCTATTTCATAATTCATTTTGAAAGTAAATCACCTTGAAATAACCAATATTTTCTTATTTCCATATTTGGTTTATTCTTTTTTCTAAACTTTATTTTTTGGTTTCGCGCTTTAAATTTTTGGGTTTCTCCTTTCATCTTTAATATTCATCTTTTATATCAATACTCACAACTTTTCATTTTTTTTTTAAGAGCTCTTATGAAATTGATATATGAGAAAACTTGATTAGGTATGAGTAAAACTCATAATATAGATATTGTTGTTGTTGCTGCTTCTCAGAAAAGTACTAGCTCTACTTTTCATAAGTTTTGTTCACGATGTGAGAGGACTAATCATCTCGTTCAAAAGTGTAAAGCTAAATATTATTAAAATAGTAGTCAAATTCATGATCTTCGTGCTAACAAGAGTATTGCGGTAACAACCACTAAACTATATATTTCTGAGACCATTATAATCTCAATCGCTGATATTTAAACTTTATTCAATCAAGTATTATCTCGATCTCATGTTTCTATCATATCTGCTGTCACATTAGGTAATGTTTGATTGTTTGATACTGTCTGTGAAAATCATATGATTGATGACCCTTTCTTGTTCAAAAGCAAGATACCTATACATAATTTTTCAATCATTAAAACAACAAATGGATATGTCTTAAAAGCTAGTCACATTAGAATATTGAAACCTCAAAACTATGTATATCTGACATTTACTTGTTACTAATCTTGCCTTAAATTTACTTTTTGTTGGCCAACTTTGTGACCTTGGTCTTGATTTGCTTTTTTCACAATGATATGGTTGTATTGTGCAGGATCCTCAAACAGGTCAGAAAGTTGAAACAATACGTAAGGTTGGAACACTGTTTAAGCTTGAAACTTTGAAAATTCTACAACATTTGCTTACTGGTCCTACTTCTTAAACAATTAACTGTTCAATTTCTTTAAATTTATGGCGTTCTAGGCTAGGACATGCATCTATTTCTCAATAAAGTCACTTGTTTCCACTAGTATCTTAAGTAATATTTTTTATGATATTTTCAATTGTTTGTCTTGTCAACTTGAAAAGCAAAATGCTTTACCTTTTAATAAAAGTGATTTTATCTCATTTACTCCTTTTGATTTAGTCCATTATGATATTTGGGGTTTAGCTCCCACTCCAACCTTAAGGGATTCACGTTACTTTGTTATATTTATTAACAATTTCTCTCATTATACTTGGATATATTTATTCAAACAAAGAACTAAACTTTTATCCATTTTTTTGTGAATTCAATAACATGATACAAATTCAATTTTTTAGAAAAATAAAAACTTTAAAGTGTGACAATGCTACTGAATATACAAAACTTGAGTTTTGTAACTTGTTAAAGGATGATAAGACTTTTCCTCATAGGTCTTGCCCATATATTTAACAATAAAATGATTGAGCAAAAAGAAAACATCATTATATTGTTGACATAGTCCGTGCCCTACTCATTTTCTCTTCTCTTCTTAAACATTTTTAAGGTGAAGCTGCTCTTACTGTTATTTATACTCTTAATCATGTTTCTACACCAGTATTAAGCACACAGTCTCCCTATGAGTGTCTATATAATAAGGTATCTAATTATCATTTTCTTAAAGTTTTTGGATATGCTTGCTTTGTTCTATTTTCTACTCATAAAAGGACTAAACTTGAACCTAGAGCTACATTGTGTTGTTTTTTGGATTATGGTATAGAACTCAAAGGGTATAGGTGTTATGATCTAATGTCTAAAAGTCTTCGCATCTCAAGACATGTAGTTTTTTAGGAACATAAAAAGTTTACTAATGTATCCTCATTACATTCATCATGTACTTTTTCATATTTTTTTATAGATTCATCTATTAATTTTTTAAATGAAAAGATAATAGGTACTTCTGACTCAAACAGTGATCCATTTTTTTACATTTTTACTATGTCTGATTTGATTAAGGCTTTTATTGATATAGTTGTCCCTTCATTATACATACCATCTTCACTTCATCGTTCCACCCGAGTAAGGAAACCCAACACTCAATTTCATAATTTTCACTATTATTATTATGCTTTAGCTACGTTACATGAACCTTATAATTTTCATAAAGCTGTCTCTAATCTTATATGGTAGTAAGTAATGGCAGAGGAATTTCAAGCTCTTGAAAAAACTCATACTTGAGATATTATTGAACGACCTTCTGATAAGTTAGTAATTGATTGTAAGTGGGTCTACAAGATCAAGACTAGATCTGATGGGTCAATGGAACATTACAAAGCTCGTCTTATTGCTTAAGGATTTACACAAGAATATGACATTGACTATGAAGAGACTTTTGTCTCAGTTGCACATCTCACATCTGTTCATCCACTATTCGTTGTTGTTGTAGCTAGAAAATGTCCAACATTTCAAATGGATGTTAAAAATGCCTTTTTAAATGGTCATCTTGTCGAGGAAGTCTATATAAAGTCATCTCTTGGTTCATTTATACCTTATAACATGCTCTATCATCTCTAACGTGCTTTATATGATCTTAAGCAAACCCCTGGAACTTAGTTTTTGAAGTATAATACCATTGTTGCACAACTTGATTTTACATCTAGTAATCGCAATTCTGCTCTTTTTACTCGAATTACTGATAATAGTACTACTTTTTCTTTTACTTTATGTGGATTACATGATCATTATAGGTAATGATACAAATGGTATTCAAGATCTAAATACTTTTCTTCATTTTAAGTTTGAGATGAATGACCTTGGTCCTTAGAGTTATTTTTTGGGCCTTAAAGTTACTAATGATTCTACTATTTTACATTTATCTCAAACAAAATATGCTTATGATCTTATTGCTCGAGCAAGTTTAACTGATAGGAAGATTACATCATCACCACTTAAATAGAATTTGACATTTTCTCCTTCTGATGGTACACTACTTCTAAACCCTTCTTTGTATCAAATTTTGGTGGGTAATCTCATATACTTGATAGTTACTCTTCCAGATATTGCCTATATTGTTCATCTAGTTAGTCAATTTTTGTCTGCTCTTCGATCTACTTATTTTGCTACTGTCCTCCAGATCCTACAATATGTCAAGGGTACTATATACCATGGTTTGCATTTTTCCTGTAGTTTCTTTTTGAACTTGCATTGTTATTGTGATGCTGATTAGGTAGGAGATTCTACTGATCATCATTCTACCACAGGCTATTGTTTCTTTCTTGGTTTTTCTCTTATTTATTGGCAAAGTAAAAAACAAACTGTGATGTCCTATTCTAGCACTGAAGCTGAGTATCGAACTCTTGCAGATGTCATGTCAAAACTTTTATGATTACGATGGCTACTTCAAAATATAAGTGTTTCTCATCACTTTAGTACTCTTATATTTTGTGACAATCAAAGTGCCATTCAGATAGCTCATAATGATGTTTTTCATGAACGTAGTAAATATATTGAAATTGACTGTCACTTCATTTGTCACCATCTGCTTGCTCAAACTCTTTGACTTATTCTTGTTACCAGTGTTGATCAAAAAGTAGATATCTTCATCAAATCACATCCACCTGGTCAATATCTTGTCCAAATTTTCAAACTCAAGTTGGCCTCTACATTACATCTTGAGTTTGTCGAGTGTCAATAATATTATGGTAATATTTTAGATTGATGATATTATTCTAATAATATTTTAGTAATATTTTAGATTTATTTGATATTGATTTAGAGAATATTAGATATAATTAGATATTGATTTAGATATCGATTAGATGATTATAGGAATTGATTTAATCATTATTTTTATTTATTGTATTTTCTATTTTGTAACAATTTACCTCTATATAAATTTGCTTTAAGCCTCGTTGTAAACTAAAAGTCAATATAATGAAGTTTTTATCATTTTCTCCTTTTTCATACAATTGAAACTATTGCAAATGATAGGATTTAATAGTTACTCTTCTGTAATTGTCTAATGTTACTCTTAAAAGTGAAGGATATTACGTATGTATGATTGAGATAGGATAACGGCGATGTGTTTCTTTGAATTTTTTTCTGATTGGAATAACCAGCTGCGTCAAAGAAACGAATAAGTATTTTTATATGGGAAGTTTTCAATTTGCACCTTTAACAATGCAATGAAGACTTCTACGTCTCGGCCTTGTGAGATATGCCTCGGTCCCGGATCTTCCTATTCCCAGATTCGTTTCTCTTTTCTCTCTCTTGATATGGAGATATCAGCATTCCATTGCATCCTCAAAGCTTCATTTCTCTTTCGCACTCTCTCTCTCTCCTCTCTCCGTATACAGTGAATTACTCCAAGATCTCTGCTATACATAGTACACCAGTATTGTTTTTACTGCTTTGATTCATTTCTCTTCCATTTCTTACATAATTCCGGATGTTGTTTTGAAAGTTAAATTTTATTTATTGAACTTGAATCTACTACTTAATGTTCATATGCATTGTTAGTTTCATTCTTGTCAAGACTTAACCTTCCTAATCAATATTCTATCACGGAATAGAAAAACAAAATACGGAGTTTCAAGATAAACTGCTTTAAAAAGAAAAGGAAAACATCAGATGTATGCATGTCTTAAGTATATGTCTCAACTCTCAATTATGTGTGCTCAAGCTTCTTTCTGTTCTTACTTGCTCAAGTCCTTATGTTCCTGAATTACCATAATTTCACTATTGGAACACTTATGGATCTGAAGTATAAATAATTTGAATGATTTTTTAGGATGTTATTTTTTAGAAGAATCCCCAGGGAAAAAGATGGGGTGCACTTATTCTGTGTACGGAGTTGGGAGGAAAAAGAAGCTGAATATCCCAGAAGTGGTGGTATTTGTTCCTTCTATGAGAATTCCAGCACAATGTGATCTTCAAAGACCGCTCAAGGGTCTTATTCCTCGTGATCTTATCGACTGATTATCTTGTCTTAGGAATCGGATTGCATTGGTTGCAGAGAACACTGGTCTAGCCTTATGATCCTCTTGTTTTTCATTTTTTTTCTGTTCCTCTTTACTTCCTATATCTGCAAGCAAAATGTTGGAAAATTTAAAGTTAATGGACCTGAAAAAGAACAAATCCTTTAACTCTAGGGTCACGTATTATCATGTAAGCTTATTGGAATTATGAATGTTCACTGTTTTTTAGCCTAGCCAATGTATTATGACGAGTCTCCTATCTAAAGCGCAATTGTGGATGTTGCAGGTGGATCTGGTATTACTGAACTGCGGCAGGCACTGGAGGAGTACTTGTCGATTCTAATTGGAATTACTAAGAAAGGTTTCAAAATCTGCTGCTCTCTTCCTCTCCCCTTTGTATCCATGTTTATCCCTGTTCCTATGATGAATAAAGGGTCTATATTACAGAACATGGTCTTGTGGACTTGGTGGAATTCAAGTGGAAAATTTTAGAAGATGGACGACAAGTAAGATTATCAGGAATTCATTATGGTTTCTTCTATTAAGTTTGTCCTCGGTATTTATGGTCTTGTGAATTCTAATTGAGTCTGCGATGTGCAGGAGACTTGTATAGCAAATGCCTGGTTTGAATTGTTATCTGTTGTTCACATGATGGCTATGCTCACATTATCTGAGGCTGACACACTTACGATCCCCAAGGATTATTCTGGTTCTGGCTTTAGGGTCGTATCTACAGGTTTATTTTTCTCACTTATATGGCTTTTCTAGGGAGCCAATTTGGCAATTTCAACTATGATTACTTAACTCTTTTCTAATCATGAACAATCTTCTGCAATAATCACCATCAGATTGTAAGAGAGATGCTGTTGATTTATCGCATACCAGCAGAAATCAAGTATATATATATTTACAGCCCTTGAAAATATTCTTTACATATTTCAAATTTTCAAGCTTCTTATTAACATCTCATCAATATTCCCAGGAAAAGTTCGTCAAAAGATTTGCAGGATGGTGTCCTAGAGGCTATTTCCATCCAAGCATTAGGCCAGGTATTCCTTACTGGGGTCTGTGGAAAAAGTTGGACTTTTTTCATTACTGACAGACTACACATAGAACACTGATTGACGCCTAAAATAACAAATGGATGAAATTTTTTAAAGCCGTGTATATAATAAGTTCCTAATCTGCATTATTCTTCTATGACAACCGTTTGCAATTTTAGAAGAGTTTATGTTTGATATCCTATCACCGTATAAATTCTATACAATGTCAGTAAATTAGACGATGTTACCTCATTAATAAATAAATATCAACCCTTAAAATAAATATACAAAAATTAATATTTTTAAAAAAACTTACTTATTAATAAGATGATATCATCTGATTCACTTTATTAATGAGATAGCATTATTCAATTCGTTGACAGTGTATAAAATTTATATGCTAACAGTACATCAAATATAAATCCATTTTAGAATATGCTAGAACTTTTCATCTATGTTCATCACTAGTAGTAAGTGTTGCAGATAAATTTTCTGTAGTTGTGAAGTGCACCTGTGTACGTTATAGGACTTTCTAGAAATAAACAATTTTTTTTTAAAATGGGAAACTAAAATCCATGCGGTGGCCAATTTTATGTTATGACTATGTAAAAATAACACTATTTTAGCAAGGTAATTAAGCCATGATACATTGATTTCTTGACATATTCGTGGAAATGGATCTTGATTCAGGGAACTGAAATACAGCTGGGTTTGGCTGTTGAAAGCCAAAGGGCTTCTTTATCAGTGAAGAGGAGGTTGGCCTGTGAACAGCTGATCTATTACAGTCAGGTTTGTAGTTATTTCTATTTCCTAATTTGAGATTGTCACTCAATTGCTGTCTGAATTTAGATTTCAGCCTTTTCATAGACGGAATTCATTGGTTAAGTTGATGCAATTAATAGATTATCTCGAACTGGATTGCCTGTTTTGCCTTGTTATTAACCTTTATAATAACTGCTTTTCTTTCTCATGGTTTAATGTGTTCCTTTTCTGTTTTAATCAGGCTTATCAATGCTTGTCTGGATGTGACTTAAGCCATGGATATGGAAAGAAACATATGTGGTTCATCAAATGGAAATTTCTTGAAGCAAAGGTTTTGAGAACAATCAATTGCAAATCCAATACTAAAACATTCTTATCCCAGCTTTTCACTCAATTTTGTATAGGAATCTAATTTTTAAGCAATCGTATCTTCAGGCAGCCGCTTACTACTACCATTGCCTAGTTCTTGACAATGGCAATGAACCGACCTGTCATATTAGTGCTGTATGCTGTTTTCTAGTTGCACAAGAACTTCTGATAGAGAGTAAGAAAGCCTGCATAAGCTTTTGCCTTGCAGCTCCAGTAACCAGGTTAGTTTCACTCATTGGAAGATCCACAATTGTGTTATGGTATCATCTCGGGTCAGTCTTCTCAAATCTATTCTTTTTTTTTTTTGGCGGAAAAGGGCTCCTCCACTTTGGGGAGCTATGAAGCATTTAAATCAGAAAATACCTGAAGTAGCATCAAGGAAATCTCAGATGTATGGCTACCTCTTTGAACAAGAGAAGTAAGCACTTTCTGACTCGTGCATTTCTGCAGCTTAGAGTTTAATTTGTTTTGTCAATAAATGATTAGGGATTTATGATAAATTTTAAAATATTGGTGATGAAGCAGGGCCCTCCAATCATTACCAGACCTACCAGATTTCCAACTATCACTGAGACCTGATGACTATGACTTACCTGGAATTGATCCAGCCTGGGATTGTGAAAAGTGGGAAAACCAGAGGCAGCCCCTAAAAGAACATCTCAAAGACTCTGAGAATGAGCTTGAAACAGAGTGAAAGAATTTTACACTCTTCTCATTATATCTCTACTCTAGCCTGGGAAACTAGTTAACATTCTTACACAAAGCTTATCTGATATCGTAAGACAGATAGTCACAAGCAATGATTGTTAAAGTTTTACTTTCATATTGATCATTGGCATTGGTTTTGTGGCGGCCCCATTGATGTTACTTAAGACTTGATGGTGAACCCAATAAACCAGGCGGTAAAGATCAACAGAATTAGCATGTTTTTGTTCTTTAAAATTCGTTCCAAACAAACAATTGAATGCTACTCAGGCACTTTTATGAGGAAATTGGATAATGTTGGCTTACAGTAACAGGAATCATTGAACTGAGTAGTTAAATATGCAGGCTTTTGATCTCTTCCTAAAATTTTACAGCTATAATATTAAAGCCAAGATTGAGAAAAAACTTCCAGGATTACTTAGGATAACAAGCAGCCTAAAGCAGTCTAAGTCAGGGATTACAGCAGTTTAACAAACTCCTGCTGCATTCCATTATCTTCAAGGACCCAATTGCGTTCCACTGTCTTGGTAGTTGGCGCTCATTCATTGGCTTGATACACGGCTTTTTTGCCGGACATAACGGCAAGAGCAAAGTAGGAAAAGAAAGCCAAGTAAGACAACACCATGGATATCATCATTTGATTGCAAAACTTCCCCACACGATTACAAATAGCCATCCAACCCATTTTTCCTTCTCCATATCTACTGATATAACCCACTGCCGTTGCCGCCGCGCATCCAGATATCGCCAACACCATAATCACCTGCAATACACTAAGACTTGTTGAGAATGAGAATGCTAGTAAAGTGTGACTGACCTTTTACTATTTTCCATCAAACCATTCATTCTTTTCCTGGTTCAAACATGATCATCAACTCAAAATTGCTGAATTTTCCTTAATTATTATTTCTCACAAAGGTGAGAATTAGACATTGATTTCTGACAGTCTTCAAGAGGACACATAATTTTCACCATTTCAATAAAAAATTTGCTTACCATGTCATGCAAAAACAGATAAAAGTTCTTAAAATTTGATGCTGAACGGCTCAAACAGTAAACAAAGATCACTGAAATTACAGAGAAGGTGCATATAGTAGCGTCTGACACAAGTAAAAACCTGTAAAAAAAACCACAAGGAAACGGGGTTACTCTAATTGCTAAGCCATCCAAATAAGCAAATGAAAGACCAAAAAAAAAAAAAAAATCAAATTAGTGTCTACTGATTTAAACCAGTGTTTACCTCATAGCAGATGAGTAGCTATAGCGAGCTTTAATAGTGAAGCCAAGTAGGATGATGGATTGGGAGCTCGTGGCCATAACACAGATTGCAGCCAAAGTGAAAACAGCAGCAAAAACCCTGAGCATGATTTGAGCCATAAAGAAACTTCTTTTTGAGGTGTTTGACACTGGAAAGCCCAGAGATTTGGCTTGGAGCATAAATGAAGCTTTATCTCTGGCAACCTCAGGTGCCATTTAGAGACCCTTCCTTTGCCAAGAATGTCTAGAAAACAACTGCACCGGACAGGAAGAAGGAAAAACCAAAGGCACAAAAAGAAAAGGAATTACCTGGCAGAACCAGAAGAGATGCACTAATTGATAAACAGAGAAGAAGAGTTAGAGGAGGATTATGATCTCTTGACACTCGCCAAAATTGATAGTATCTAGTTGGTTGGAAGTCTTGATTGGCTTTTATCAAAATGCAAGCCAATTTAATAAATACTTTTTTATTAAATAAATAGGAATCTTTGCCTTTGTGTCAGGAAACTATATTCAAGACTTTAGTAATCTAAAAAAGTAAATTAAAAAAATCTTTGAAGCTCAAGTCCAACAAAAGATTGCCTTACGGGAGTATGATTATGAACTATCATGTATTTAAACAACTTTGAATTTCGAGAAAATAAAAAAGATTAAAAAAAGGGTGTGGAGTTTTTCAAAATTCTGTTGTTCCAATGGGATTTTTTTTCTTGTAGAGGGAAATTTTGTTTTGTGTTATTTCTTGTCCACAAGTTATTGATGAAAGGGGCTTGTACCAACCTGCAGAAATCATTAAAATTGGGGAGATGTTGCAGTGGAAAAAGATTAATTACTTCTGACAACAAGGCATTTGAGTTCCTGGAACTGCTGAGGAAAGCAGGAAACAATCTTAATTACTGGTTTTTGCAAGAAAAATGTATTTTAATAAAAAAAATATATGGGTATTTTTGTTTTTTTTTTTTTATTGAAAGTAGATGCCATGTCTCATTCTTGTGATTATAAGAGCTTACCTAAAATCCAAAAAAAAAAAAAAAAAACCCTAAAATGCATCAAGAGTAAGGTGGAGAAAGTTAGTATATACTCTAGAAATTTTTTGCACCAAGAAAATTAACTTAATACCATTTTATTTCTTTTTTTTTTTTCTTCTTTGGATAAAAGGGCTATTTCACTAATCGAAGAAAACAAGCAATGAACATACTACAAGAAGATAGCACAATTTTTTCTTATGAAATGATTTTGTTTTTTCTTTCTCTTGAACTTACAAGTAAACACGTATAGGATTATACAGTAATTTTAGACCCGGTCAAGAATCAAAATCCTGTATATATTGCATGCTTACTTCTTACTTCTTTTCCTCTTTTTTTTTTTCAATTAAGAACAAACTTTATAAATCATCCCAAAAAGTACAAGAAACTAACACAAGGCACTCAAAAGTTAAAATATTTGCCTCATGGGCTTAACTCTTGAATTTAGTGATAAATAGGGATATCAATAGGTAGGATATTTTTCATCTTCATCTTTAAATTTTTATGTTATACTTATTTTGTATCTATATTTAATAAATATTTTAAATTTATTCTTATTTTCATCTCTATTTTTACAGGTATTTAATGAGTATGAATAATTTTTATATTCATAACTTAAAAAAAAACTAAAAACTAAAATTTTGTTAATTTTTTTTATTTTTATCTTGTATATTTAGATAATTTTTTATAAATATATATTTTTTTCATAAAAATATATTAATTAATTAATTTAAAATAATAATTTATATTATTTAATAAAAATTTATATACTAATATATACAAATATATATGTAAGATACGAATATAAAATAAATATTATATTATTATCTTTATCCCTGTATTGAATAAAAATTTAAAATTTATACAGTTTCATTGTTATACCCATAATGTAATACTCATATCGATCTCTATTTTGATAAAAAAAAATTGAATTTTTCATTGAATATGAGTATAATTAACATTCTTAACGATAAAAGTGAAGCTTTTATTTGAACTGTAGCACCCCTCTATTTGAATATGGCATCAGATCTCTAACTAGAGCATGGGGTGGATGTTTTGTTTGTTGTAGGTTTTCGAGACTGTTCAAAGTAGTCCAAATAAAACAAAATAATGTATGGTACTATCGTCTCCTACCAATTGCCAAGCACTAATTTTTATGAGTTGGCAAGGGAAAAGCAAAGCTATGGAAACATATTTGATTGAGGGCTTCAATGAAGACAGATTTCATTCATATACATATACATAATAGCATCTCATGCACATCCTTGGATGTCTTGGTGTATCCAAATAGATCCAAAACATTCTTCAATTGAAAAAGAAATGAAATCAGAAATAATAAAAAAAAAAAATGGTCCCTTCCTCACATTCAAATGCATGATGACAAACTGCATACTAGACTAGTATAGAACATTGAACAATAACCCCATCTCAACTACCTTTTCTATGGTAAATACCAAATGTTACTACTTTTTTTTTTTGTCTCTTTGCCATAATTAAATGTGCATTGGTCTACAATGTCCTTTTATCTTTCTTTTTGGTCAATAAAATCTACTTGCCTTTCAAATTCTATCTTCACACTTGAACAAACCAAATCTAGGTGTTCAATTCCATCACTTTTTTGGGTTGTAACAAAAAGACCAAAGACAGGAAACAAAAATTTTTAAACGAAGGCAGAACTAGGTAAAGACGTAAGAGCAAGGTTATGCCTTTTAATCAATTGGATTCTGAAATCCTTATGGAAAAACCAATCTGCCACTTTGATGATTTGGGCCCAAAGTTGTCATAGACTTGGACTCAACCCTACTACCTCCTACTGGGTCCAAAATGGGCCCCTTTAGGCCTATGGTTTGAGATTGGGCCAACAAATGGTCCACGCCATCATTTTTTTCCATTCTTATGATAATTAATTGGGCAAACCACTGATAAGCTTAATCAATTCAACATTAACCTTTGTGTTTATACTAATAATCTACCATTAAGATATGATTTTTTTTATATTAATTTTTGAAGAAAAGTCTGGATGTGCCATTTTTAGAAGATTTCAGGCCGGCTCTTTTTTTTTTTCTTTTAATTGCTAAAGACACTCTTAGTGGTGCATGTTCTTATCGTACATTGAGAAAAGATTATCAATTAATCCCTATGTCTTAATTACTATATCCAAGGATAAACCCAATTTATATTTAAATTTAAATTTATTAATCTCATTTAAGACATTTTGGCCAAAGACATTCGCATTTAAGACAAAATAATATAGTAATAGTCGATTCTAGACGATGCAAAGACATACTTGCGGAAATCTCGACGACCCAAACCCAAACCAACCAGTCATAAGCTTCTCTCTTTTGACCCATATTGCCAATTCACAGCGCAAACAAACAGATGAAAAGAAAAAATAAATAAAAGGGAGGTGGGATAACATTCGTTGCCATGGCAGCAACTAGAGCTTCTTTGTTTCTCGCCGGTTCATCGTTGAGGTTAGCAGCCGGAAAGTCCGGGAGGAACCGGCATGTAAACTTATCTCGACGGATGGCGGCGTCGGCAGAGCGGATATCGGCGGCGGAGACCGTGACGACGAGTTTAATAGAGAAAGGAAAGTTGTTGGAGGAGAAAAAGAAGAAGAAGAAGAAGAAAGGAAGGAAGGAAGAGAGTGAGTTGATATCAAATGTTTACTCCAATCTGGAGGAGATAAAGGAGGAGAGTCGAAAGACGTTGAAAGATTATTTCCAAGAGTGTAAAGATTTAATCATCAGATCAAACGATGGGCCGCCTCGCTGGTTCTCTCCTTTGGAGTGCTGCTCCCACAGTCGTGATTCTCCTCTCCTTTTGTTTTTGCCTGGTTCGTCTCGTGACTCGATTCTGGGTCTCATAAGGAAAATGATAGCAGCTTTTGACATTAACAGCATTTGATATGGAAATTTATATTTACAGGGATTGATGGCACGGGGCTTGGACTTATAACACATCATCATAAACTTGGAAAGTAAGTGACTATTATTTTTCTTTTATTTATTATTCTTTTGAAGATTAAATTTAAAATGCGATTTTTATATTTTCTTTATTTGAATGAAGGATTTTCGAGATGTGGTGTTTGCACATTCCAGTTAAGGATACCACCTCATTTACAGGTCACTTTACCATTTATTTTTTATTTTCCTTTTTTTTTGGTTGGTAGGGACTAGGGACTGACTAGGGAGGGATATTACTTTTAAGATATTTATTTACTTTTATTTGTTTATTCCTTCATAAAAAATAAATAGAAGGTAGCATTTGATTATGTTTTCAATTTCCATATGGCCCTTTCATCTTTCCCTTTCAAGATAAGTACAAAAGGATGACAAATCTTTCAAAGTAAAAGCAAAATGCTAAACATGCTACATTACTGCCTAACAGTTTCTGCTTCATACTCGAGGAAAAAAATCTTACTATTATCAACTTGGTTCTATCAAGTAATACATGATCATTCTACTTAATTAATAACTTTTAAATGATTCAGAATTTGCTTTTTCATAATGTGCCTATGTTACGTCCCGAGATCAAGACGTAACACGATCATATTACTTTGAAAAAATCTCAAAGTAATACGAAGCCTTCTTTCTTAAACATTTTAAAATTCTTCAATAAAATAATCTATCAAGTAAAATTCATATATTTAATCCAACTGATGATATATCTTTATATATCCAAATACAAACCATATAAAATACAAAACTATCTCTTAAGATCTCATTGGTCAACATATTCTCTAACGACTAAGTAATCTTTTTCATTTCATCTTCTAGCTTCACACAAGACTAACTAAACTTATCACTTAGTCATCTGTAAAGAAAAAGTAAAATGGGAATGAGCAAATCACAGCTCAGTAAGTATAGACTCACACACCTTATCAGATCAAGCATCGTTTTCTTACACATCATATAGATCATTCAAAACATTCATCAAATCATAATATCAAAACATTTCAAGATCATCGTTTTGTCAAATATTTCATAAATTCATAAATTAATGTCAAAATATGTCACTTCATAAATCAATGTAAAATATGCTATCATTCAAACATCATAATCAAACCAAATTATGGATCAATCATTAAAAATCATCGTAAATCATCATTATCATAAATCATCATTATTCTTCAAATCGTTAGCTACGGTCACTGTTATAACCCGTGACATTGACCGTATCGATAATTTCATTCTCATGATCATTGCTAACTATTATAACCCATTAGCTAAGGCTTATGCTAACTACTATTACCCGTTAGCCAGGGTCGTAGAACTAGTTCTGGTGTCGATGATCTCACTTCTCAGGGATATAAAAACGTAGCCATCACAAAATCATTCTTTAAACAAAAATCATTTTCTCATTTCATTCATAAGCATGATCCATCATTTATATAGAGAAACACAAAATAATCATATGCTTGATCCTATTTTCATACATCGAAAATAATAAAATAAGATATTCATTCATTTAGAAACATACATATATTCATAGATTCGAAAACAAATAAAATGTGTGAGATTCTACTTACTTTCATTCGATTCCACCACTTAGTTTTTCCCTCAAAATAATTAATGGCCTATCCAAGATCATTTCAACAGATCAGAATTTAATCAACCCTTTTTGAGACCATTTATACAACAATCAACTAAGTTACACAAGGGTTAACTTAACTAATTAATACTGACAGCCCGACCTCTTTTCATTAAAACAGTCATATCTCAATATACCCAAATCCGAATTATGATCTCTTTAATGCATTAGAAACTAGACTTGATAAGCTTTCTAACCATATATGGCAAACCTCATAATTCCTTGTAGATTAATTATAACAATTTTTGAAATCTACGTCATATACTGGTGCCAAACAACCTGTATACCTTCTAATAAAAATTATATATTTATTCACAGAAAACTCCAAATTCAATTCCGCTTGTTTCATTGGAAAGTAGACTCAATAAGCTTTCCAAATATATATGGCTTAATCTATAAATCCTTGTATACAAATTAAGAAGAATTTTGTAATTCAACCCTGATGCTGTTGTCTTATAGCCTGCATATCCTTAAGTTAAAATTAGACAACTCTTCATAGAAAACTCATATTTGACTTTTGTTTGTTTCATTAGAAACTAGATTCAACATGTTTTCCAATGATATATAATAATCATAGCAATAATCTATCCATTAATGCAAAACTCTATTTTAATTTATTATTATAAATCACAACATCTCATCCAAAAATAAAATTTCTCCTTCAATCTTTAAAAACTCAAATCCTTACTTTCAGCCTTCAAACTCTATTCAATAATCATCAATAACTCTTAAGAACATGAAATAAACAAAGCCCAGTAATTTACCCATATAGATCATCAAGATTAATGAAGGATTTCATGATTTTTCTTGATTTTTCTCTCAAAACTTCAACTCCAAATAATAGCAATCAACTTGATATTTCTTCTTAAATAAAAAGAGGGCATGTACTCACCTTTAAAGGATTAACTTGATTGTAGCCTCTAATTGTGAATCTCCAACTTAATTTTTCATATTCTCTAACCCCAAGAAAGATGAAGAAGAAGAACTCTATTTTTTTTCTATTTCACGATAGTTAGGTTTTCTTTCATCTAATACTTCAGCCTTTTTTTTTTTACTAAATAATGTCTTAATAAACTGATGGACTTTAGTATTAGTCCTGCCCAATTATTATTTGGGCTGGGGTATTACATTCTCCCCTCCTTATAAGAAGTTTCGTCCTCGAAACTTGATTTACAACCATATCTCATTCCTCTAGTTTTTACAATCATATCCTCTTACCGTATGATTGTTTCATTGAACTTTGAAAAATAATCATCTGCTCAAAAACTCTTCTTTCTAATCAACCATTTAAAAAAATATATATATATATTCAATATGTTAAAACTCATATCATCTTGAATTTCCCTAAATACTCTATCCAATTACAAGCGTCTTACTAAGATATTCTATTAACATAGATTCATCATATACACTAAACATCAAAGGTGACATATATTCTTTATTCTAAACCTTTCACTGGCACTCTGATATTATTCCAATAAAATTCAAACAAATTAACTTTCATAACCATGATTTTGCAACAAGAAAAAGCATGTGTCCACAAATTCCTTGTAACTGATGCTTCACAACCCAATGTGTTCAATCACACCATAAAACCTTTAAATAACAATATCAACAAATCATTTTGTCACCAAAAAGATATCACATAGTACTTTAAATTTTCTTTTCTTTTCCACCAACAATATAAAATTTTCTATCAATTAACTACTAGAATACGTATGACGTCAATGTAATAGATCATATCCATAAATTTACATCATGTAAATTCAAACATAAATCTCTAATTATCAAAGTTGTCTTCAATTACGAATATTACTCTTTCTAATATACCAATTATCATATAACAATTGATTCTTCATAATCCCCACAAACATCATAATGTCTCAAATTCTCTTTTTACCAAATATATTGCTATCATCTTCGTGTCAAAGTTAAAAACTATGCATCATAATCCATAAAAAAAATTCTTTTATAAAGTTTGAACCAATAAGAACTCCAAACACTTGAATTCACACTAAAAGTATAATTATGAAAAATAGCCAAATGCATCACATTATTTCAAAAGCTCTATCAAATTTTTCTAAAATCGAATACATGCTCAACATCACTAAGTACACAAAATCATCACTTGTAAGATTTCAACCAATCTTTTGCCCTTGTAAAATTCAAATAATTATTTGCACTTGTAAGATTTCAAACAATCATTCTTAGCCAAAACATGCATATTTTTCTGTAAATTGATTACTCCTTTAAAATCAACTTCCTTACTAAATCATCTCGATAACCACAATTTTAATTCTTTGCTAAGTACATAACCTTATACCACAATAGGCCATATTCTCCATAAATATAAAATTCGAAGGAATCCAATAGAATACTTCAATTAAAAACTATAACCACTAATTAATCACTTTAGCCATTAAAAATATCAGTACACCTCAAATTGGAATTTAATGATCAAACTTCAAATTAACTATACAAACATCCAACTCGCATGATCAAACCTTAAATACTTTCTTAATAAAAATGTAGAACCAAATCAAGTGAACATCCTTCTTTACATATATAAAGCTATTTACCACAATTATAACATTTTGGACTAAATCCATCAAAATAAATTCTCCAACATTATAATCTATAAATAATTGCATCAAAATTTCAACATATCATTTCATTCCAACTCCAATATTCTATACTTTTAATTCCAACAATGTACACTCCAATTCTAATCTTCATCCATGATCAAGGATTCACTTAACACTTATCAAATAATTTTAAAACCTCATTAAGTCGAAAGTTTTATCTCAATCCCATAAGATCTTCAATGATCAAATCGTTCTCTTAAATAATCCTTTAACTTATAAAATATATCTCATTACAAGTGACGTCAAAAAATCTCTTCAACTTATAAAATTGCACTATATCAAAGTAATTACACTTTTTCTTAACTACAAAATCCAAAAGCAATATATAAATATCAACAAAATAACTACACCAAGAATCCATTGAATCATTGATTCCTCAAAATTCATTGAAACTTTAACTACTCCAAAATTCATCGAATCATTTACTTATACTCACCACTATAATCTATAGATCAAAGTTATGTCCTTAAAAAAATTATCACATTATCCAGAGGTTATCATCTAATTCTTAAAAATCTTCACATAATATATAGATTGTACCCATACTCATAGAATATCACTTTCAATCCAAGGATCATAAACTATATTATTTGAAAATCATCGTTAATCTACTTATCATAAATTAACTTCTTAAAAAATCTCTAAAGATCATAATCGTAGTTCTTAGAAAATTCTAAAAATCATATTATAAGCTCCTTAACATCTCACATAATTTAAGGATCATAACCTGAACTTTTAGAAAACCTCCAAGAAACATAACTGAAGCTTTTAAAGAAAATCTCAACACAATCTATAAATCATAATCTACCTCTTAAAATTCTCTAAAGATCGTAACTTAAGCTCTGATACCACTTTTATCACGCTCCGAGATCAAGACGTAACACGGTCATATTACCTTGAAAAAAATCTCAAAGTAATACGAAGCTTTCTTTCTTAAACGTTCTAAAATTCTTCAATAAAATAATCTACCAAGTAAAATTCATATATTTAATCCAATTGATGATATATCTTTATGTATCCAAATACAAATCATATAAAATATAAAACTATCTCTTAAGATCTCATTGGTCAACATATTCTCTAACGATTAAGTAATCTTTCTCATTTCATCTTCTAGCTTCACACAAGACTAACCAAACTTATCACTTAGTCATCTGTAAAGAACAAGTAAAATGGGAATGAGCAAATCACAGCTCAGTAAGTATAGGCTCACACACCTTATCAGATCAAGCATCGTTTTCTTACACATCATATAAATCATTCAAAACATTCATCAAATCATAATATCAAAATATTTCAAGATCATCGTTTTGTCAAATATTTCATAAATTCATAAATCAATATCAAAATATGTCACTTCATAAATCAGTGTAAAATATGCTATCATTCAAACATCATAATCAAACCAAATCATGGATCAATCATTAAAAATTATCATAAATCATCATTATCATAAATCATCATTATCCTTCAAATCGTTAGCTACGGTCACTGTTATAATCCGTGACATTGGCCGTATCGATAATTTCATTCTCATGATCATTGCTAACTATTATAACCCGTTAGCCAAGGCTTACGCTAACTACTATTACCCGTTAGTCAGGGTCGTATGATCATGTCTTTGCTAACTACTATTACCCGTTAGCCAGGATCGTAGAACTAGTTCTGGTGTCGATGATCTCACTTCCCAGGGATATAAAAACGTAGCCATCACAAAATCATTCTTTAAACAAAAATCATTTTCTCATTTCATTCATAAGCATGATCCATCATTTATATAGAGAAACACAAAATAATCATATGCTTGATCCTATTTTCATACATCGAAAATAATAAAATAAGATATTCATTCATTTAGAAACATAAATATATTCATAGATTCGAAAACAAATAAAGTGTGTGAGATTCTACTTACCTTCATTCGATTTCACCACTTAGTTTTTCCCCCAAAATAATTAATGGCCTATCCAAGATCATTTCAACAGATCAGAATTTAATCAACCCTTTTTGAGACCATTTATACAACAATCAACTAAGTTACACAAGGGTTAACTTAACTAATTAATATTGACAGTCCGATCTCTTTTCATTAAAACAGTCATATCTCAATATACCCAAATCCGAATTATGATCTCTTTAATGCATTAGAAACTAGACTTGATAAGCTTTCTAACCATATATGGCACACCTCGTAATTCCTTATAGATTAATTATAACAATTTTTGAAATCTACGTCATATACTGGTGCCAAACAGCCTGTATACCTTCTAATAAAAATTATATATTTATTCACAGGAAACTCCAAATTCAATTCCGCTTATTTCATTGGAAAGTAGACTCAATAAGCTTTCCAAATATATATGGCTTAATCTGTAAATCCTTGTATACAAATTAAGAAGAATTTCGTAATTCAACCCTGATGCTATTGTCTTACAGCCTGCATATCCTTAAGTTAAAATTAGACAACTCTTCATAGAAAACTCAGATTTGACTTTCGTTTGTTTCATTAGAAACTAGATTCAACATGCTTTCCAATGATATATAATAATCACAGCAATAATCTATCCATTAATGCAAAACTCTATTTTAATTTATTATTACAGATCACAACATCTCATCCAAAAATAAAATTTCTCCTTCAATCTTTAAAAACTCAAATCTTTACTTTCAGCCTTCAAACTCTATTCAATAATCATCAATAACTCTTAAGAACATGAAATAAACAAAGCACAGTAATTTACCCATATAGATCATCAAGATTAATGAAGGATTTCATGATTTTTCTTGATTTTTCTCTCAAAACTTCAACTCCAAATAATAGCAATTAACTTGATATTTCTTCTTAAATAAAAAGAGGGCGTGTACTCACCTTTAAGGGATTAACTTGATTGTAGCCTCTGATTGTGAATCTCTAACTTAATTTTTCATATTCTCTAACCCCAAGGAAGATGAAAAAGAATAACTCTATTTCTTTTCTATTTCACGATAGTTAGGTTTCCTTTCATCTAATACTTCAGCCATTTTTCTTTTACTAAATAATGTCTTAATAAACTGATGGGCTTTAGTATTAGTTTAGCCCAATTATTTACAGCCTCCAAAGCAAAAAGCTAATCAATACTATCATGCCTTAATCTTTGTTTCATTTTTCTTCTCTTCTATTTGCTTAATTTGCTTTTTTCGTTCCTTAGACCTAGTGAAGCTGGTTGAAAGAACAGTAAGGTCAGAGTACACAAGATCACCACTCCGACCAATTTATCTTGTTGGGGAATCTCTCGGAGCATGCATTGCCTTAGATGTTGCCGCTCGTAACCCTGATGTTGATCTTGTGCTAATTTTGGTTAATCCAGGTGCAACTTTATGATGTTATAAGGGCCAGTTCTGGAACCTGAACATAAAAGATTGTAATTATAAAGAAACAGTAAGAAGTGTATACAATGAGTAATGATATTGTATTTTAAGATAAGATGTACTTCAAACCCAGAAAATTGGCGTAGGAGTGATTTGATCGTTGCAATATCAAAAGTGTTTGCTTTCTCATTCATGTTTTTGCAGCTACATCATTCGGTGGGTCACGATTACAATCTCTAATACCTTTATTGGAACTCATGCCTGATCAACTCTTTCTGAGCCTCCCTGAAATGCTGAACTTGGTGTCAGGTGTGGAATCGGTTCTTCAGTTTTCCATTTTGTTGACTTGCTAAGTTACCTGAGGCTGAGGTTTTATGTAACTGTTTTTATTTAGTATAATAGACTAAAAAACATGGTATTATCAATATGTGGTTAAAAATGTGTAAAACAAGGATATCATATGATCACTTTTGGTAGATCTATTCTTATTATTTCTAAACAGAGATAATAAAAATTGTTGGTGAGATGTTAGCAATGGCATATATTTTAGGTGATCTGTTGAGGATGGGATGGGAAAATGTGGTGAAGGGACTTCTGCCACTCCAACCTTTTGGAGAGCTATCACAGGATCTTACTGCAATGTCATCTTACCTCTCTGTAAGATTCAGTCATGAAACATTGATTCTGGAATAGCTATTTCGATTGGCATTTCTTGTGATACTCTGCATCTACATTCTTTTGTTGCCATAACATATATATGTAGATGTAGTATGAATATAGTTGTATCTTTGATTAAGCTGAACAACTTTTTCATTAATAGCATGATGGTTGCCTCACGTTAGTTGTTTTTAGTTGTTTATGGTTTTGGTTTTATGCTCATGCTATATAACTGCTCATAACGTGCCGTCAATTTCATCAAAAAAGAATTGACAATTAAGTCTCAGGTTCTGGCTGATATGTTACCAAGAGAAACACTTCTCTGGAAGCTACAAATGCTTAAATCCGCTTCTGCATCTGCCAATTCACACCTCCATGCTGTAAAAGTTCAAGCACTGGTACTATGCAGGTCCTTAATTAATCATCAGCTCAATCTGTTGTTATTATATCTCAATTATCTTTTAGTTTATATTCTTGCAAAGTTTATGGTCCTTATTGTTATAATGGCTGATACTTTTATGTTTTTCTTTATAGTGGAAAGGATCAGTTGTTTCCCAGTCAAAAGGAAGCCCAACGACTTCGCCACATGTTGCCAAAATGTCATATACGTATGTTTGAAGAAAGTGGGCATTTTCTCTTCTTGGTAGGAATCTCTCTCTCTCTCTCTCTCTCTCTCTCTCTCTCTCTCTTTTGTTGTTTAAATAATTAGTTTCATGCAAATTAATAACAAAACTTATAACTAACCAGTAGGAATGTGCACTGCATATCCTTAATTCGCATACATTTGCATTGTACAGCTGAGTGAGTACACAACTTTTTGCTTGAAACATCATTTCACAACTTTTCCTTCTGATAGGGATTATAGTTCTACTCATTAATTGCAGGAAGACAATGTTGATTTGGTAACAATCATCAAGGCTACTAGTTTCTATCGTCGTGGAAAATACCTTGACTATGTGTCTGATTACATGCCACCAACACCATATGAATTCAAGAAAATACAAGAATCAAACAGGTAACAATTATCCTATGGGAAATCGTTTGTCAAAATTTCATTAATGGTAATTCTAACTGGAAGAACATTTTGTTTGTCTGAAGTATCTATAAGTTGACGGTTGGCAGGGTTTACCTTCTGTCAGCCTTGCTGATCAATATGCCTTTAGTTGACAGGCTATGCTCACATTGGCAGTTCCTCATCCTAGCAGATTCGGTTAGTTTTAGAAACACATTATTTCTAATAATATCGTCTCTCAATATTGTTGTTCCTAGATGGGTTCTTGCTGTCACTAGTCCTGTGATGTTCTCAACTTTAGAGGATGGCAAGGTGGTGAGAGGCCTGGCTGGAATCCCCTTACAGGGACCAGTCTTGTATGTTGGCTATCACATGTTACTGGGATTTGAACTGGCTCCAATGGTGATTCAGTTTTTGATGGAGAGAAAAATTCTTTTGCGAGGGATAGCTCATCCAATGATGTTTATTAAATTGAGAGAAGGAAAAATGCCTGATCTAGCTGCATTCGACACATTTAGACTAATGGGTGCAGTTCCTGTGTCTGGACCCAACTTCTACAAACTTCTGTCCTCAAAGTCTCATGTCCTACTGTATCCTGGAGGTGTTCGTGAGGCTCTTCACCGAAAGGTAATTATAACATTTAAGAAGGACCTTTTTTATCTGAAAACTAGTTCAATATTCATCAGAGTTCAGACTTCTAATACAAAATTTAAGAATTGTACGTTAATACCAGCTTTAATTTTCTTCACTCAAGTTTCATGCATCTGTTGTGAATTAAAATTAGTGGGTGATTACAATGGAGCAGGTAGACTTTCTGCTTCTATCCCTATCTGTGTCTTTCTCAAGATTTAAATCCCACAAACTTTCCCTATCTTCTCAGTCTAATGTTGATCTTATGAAAGAATATCACTTCTTACAAGTATAAATCCAACCTCTTTCTTATATTATTGATTCTACTCTGCTGTAGTTATAGTTTATGAGTTAATTCATATATATTCATGAAGAAAAAGTGCTGATGAGCATGTGATATTTTTGTGATCAAATGCTAGATGCACTTCGTAAAATTTGAAGGGCTAAGATACTCAGGGATACTGAACCATATATTTTTTTTTCAGGGTGAAGAATACAAGTTATTCTGGCCAGAACAGTCAGAGTTTGTCAGGATGGCGTCTAAATTTGGTGCAAAAATCGTACCCTTTGGTGTGGTAGGAGAAGATGATGTTGGTGAGGTGAGCCTCACATGTTTAATGCACTATTTGCAGAAGTTTGTAAGGCTAGTGTCTGCTATAGCATATTACTTTGGAGCGTATCAAACATTTGATCTTGAGGAGCACTTTTAGTTGAAAAATGTTTTTGACGAGTTCCTCACTGATGCTACCTGCAGTCACCAGCATATTCTAACCTGGACATGTGTGTTAAATATATGCATGCATATGCCTGTAATCTTTAACCATTGTTGTACAATCAGGAAGATAACATATAAGCAAAAATGAGAAGATGGCAGTCCCTTGAGATAAATAAATAACCAAAATCTCTGAAGGTTTCTAGATGCCTGCATATTATATATGATGAAATTTAAATTTGAGGTGACTTGCATATCTGCTTTGCATCTGAAGCACCGTGTATCATCCTTTGCTTTCCTTTTTGTGGTATCATGTTCTATGTTACTAGGTTTCAGTCCCTCTCTCTCTCTCTTATAGATAACTGTACATTTACTATTGCAGCTAGTTTTTGATTATGGTGACCAAATGCGAATTCCTCCCTTGAGGTCGTTCATAAAAGAACTCACAGAAGAGGTCGTGCAATTGAGGTACTATGATTTTCTTGTTCTGCTGAATTCCTTTTAAATCCTCTCGATTCATCTTAAGTATACCATGTATTTTAACTGTTCTGTAAGTTCTATATAGTCCTTCCCCTCCATTATTTTGGTTTCCTTACAATTCTGGGATGATAGGACTGATGCAAATGGCGAGGTTTCAAACCAAGATATCCACCTTCCCGGAGTTCTTCCTAAATTGCCAGGCCGGTTTTATTATTATTTTGGGAAACCTATCGAAACAGAAGGTGCTGTCTTTGTACAATCTGTATTCTTGAATATCTATCGATTTACTTACATGAGCAACAATGATCTAGTTAGTCTTGACAACAATGCTTGCCTGAACAATCTGAGTTCAATTCAATATAGATATTGTTTGCTGGATTTGGTAAAACACTAGTGGGAATTCTGATTTTCCTTTAATATTTAATGCAATTTGATGGACGTAATTCTCTGTATTTTGAAGGGAGGAAACAAGAGCTAAGAGACAGAGAGAAATGCCATGAATTGTATTTACACGTAAAGTCGGAGGTTGAGAGATGCATGGCCTACTTGAAGGAAGAAAGAGAAAAAGATCCATATAGGAATTTATTACCTCGGTTGTTATACCAGGCGACGAATGGCTTCACAGCTGAAGTTCCAACGTTTGAACTTTGATTTACATCTCTGCACAATGAAAGTTCGATTTTAATTTGTCTTTTAAGAGAAGCTCAATCAAGAACGTTCCCCAGTGAAGGTTGCAAATGGAGTCTTTACTGAGGGTTGGCCGTCTACCAAATGGAGACTTCAATAAGAAATTCTGAATCTTGATTACTGATTAGACAGTTCCAAAAAGAAGAAAAGAACAAAATAAGGATGCAAGTTTGGGTGGGGGGGGGGGGGGATCAAAACTATTGGAACAGTGCAGTGGGGATGGTTTTAATAAGGACAATCCAACAAAATTGATAGATATATCTCGATATCTGGCAGCAGGAATGCTCTTATTATCATTGGATTATGAAGCGCCATTGTTTTCATTTATGTTTTTGCATTTGCCAGTGGGTCATTTTTCTCATTTGGCTGGAACGTTACGATGTTAATAAATTCATATTTCAGTCGTTTGTGATAAACTTACTTGAATGTGAACATACACTCTTTTCTATTTCTATTTATTTATTTGTCGGAAAATTTGAGCGAATTAAAGTTGTACGTATGGCTCACTCATGCATTGCATTGTCGATAGCCAATTCACATTAGGAATAGCTACTATCAAAACGACACTAAACATAAAATTTACAAACTCAGAAAGAGTTGGGATCTTGGATCCTAACTCTTGATCCCCCCACAGCTAGCAGATGAATACAGAAATGAATTACCATTTCATGTTAAAATATAAAGGAGAAAATTAAGAGAGAGAAAAATGATGAACATCTAAATTAACTAACATCATGCAACGGCAAGTTACTATCAACAGAGAGGGATTAAAAACATCAACAACTTTAACTCATCAAAACATGATTTGAGTATCCATTTAGAAAATAGCATCAAATCTTAAAACAAAACATTGAACTCAATGCACCTCGAAGAGCTGAAACTTTTAAAACCCTACCTTCGGAAGCCTCTTGTTTCACTCTCAGCTAAGCTTACTTGGAGGATCATAAGAAACACAACAAAAGCTACATTGTTACTTCTGAAAAGAAAAAGAAAGATAAAGAACAATGAAATGAAGAGAGAGAAAAGCAAGAAAAAGAAGCTTTATAAACGAAGAGTGAGGTCGACATTTGTGGAGTCATCAACATCAGTGGTTGGAGAGACAGTCTGATCAGGAGAAGAAACAGCAGTGAAACCCTGATGAGGAACGAAGCCAGAAGGGGGAAGGTGAGGTTGGAAGGGCTCGAGCCACTGCTCAAGATGTGCACCAGGGTGGTGCATAGGAGGCTCAGTAGGGAAACTGGAAAAAGGGCTAATCTGTTGGTGGAGATTGTATTGTTGGGTTTGATCATGATCACTATGGAACTTCCTTCGAGCTGTGGCTCTTTCACGCTTATGAGCATTTTGGTGGCCACCAAGAGCTTGAGAAGTGAAGAATTTCCTTGGACAGTAAAGGCATTGGAAAAGCCTTGGAGGAGCAGATGGGGTAGCTATTGGGGGGTGTTTCTTGGTGGATTTGGAAGCTGAAGAAGGCTGGTTGAAGAAGTTGTACATCGAGGGGTCTGCCATTGAAGTTGTAGAGAGTGAAAACAGAACAGAATCAAAGAGAAAGAGAGAGGAAATAAGGAGGAGTAAAAGGGCCAGGAGGAGTCAGGTTTTTATGGGGTTTAAGGTTTTTGTTTGTATTCATCTACAAAAAGGCTAGCAGAAATGTGATGGTTGGTAGTGCGTTAAAGGACAGAATTACCCCTATGGCTTTCAAATTTTTTAATCTCGATGCATGTAAACCACGTTCCATAAATAAATTAAAAAAAAAAAAAGGGAAAATCAATCAAAAGTGCAGTAGTTAGAGGGAAGTTGTCATCTGAGTGCACACATGATGGAGATCTTTAAACCTTAGAAAGTGATCTGGTTGTGTTAAACCCTTAATTAGATTCATATAAAACTTCAATCAAGATCAAGGTTTATTACAATGTGAAATATAGAGAAATGGAAAAAAAAAAGATTAGACCAATAGATGTGATGTATGAGACATTTGTTGATGGATATAACATTTTACCATCATCTATTTTTTTTCTTTCACTTCTGATTGATTGGCTGATGGTAACTGATTTCAGCACCATTTGGTATATAAAAATGGCTGTTGAAGCCTAACCCTTTTTAGTTATAATGATGTCAAGTAATGTCATTTGAGCCGGAGAGAGATTGCTACCTATATTCTAGCTGGAATCTAGCACACAGTATGTTTTTTCTCTCACATTTAAGCCTTACTTCCATAAGCACCTTGATATAACTTATGAAAAATTTTATAAGTGAGATCGTGAAATTTTTTATTAAAAATAACTAAATAAAATTAAAATTGATAGATTGGTAGATTTTTGCACATAGATTAAATGTATAAAATTTGAAAAAAATTTAATAAATTTTGATATATTTATTAAATAAATATTTTTAATAAAAATATTGATAAATTTTTTATCGTTAAATAAATATTGATTATATTTAAATTATAAATAATTTTTTTAATAATTTTTTTACATATTACTAATCTTCATAATAAATTTTATCAATCTATTGGTTCAAATTTTTTGTCAAAATTTTTATTTACATATTTTAATAAAAAAAACTTCATGAATTCTACCTATGTAATTTCATATAACTTTTTATCTTGATTTTTTTGGGTTAAAGAGTAATATACTTGATTCAAGTCTATAGAAAATTATCTATCAACTGAAAAACACTTTAATTTCTTCAAATATAATTCTTGGTTATAAGATATTTTCTGACACTAGTAGTATGTAGAAGTTTTCAATCAAGTTAAAATAAAACTATAGCATATGTTTCAGGTTTTCATCAGCTGGTGCAATGGCACTGCTCTATGACCCTTCCATGCAAAGGGCAAATGACCTCATCCCCACATGACACGTTTAAGGCATATGATTCAGTAATTCACAATGGAAAAGCCTCCTTGTCCTGTCAATAATCACAACAAAGAACAGCCATACTGACCTTTACGGAGAATTATCTACCCTCTCAAATTGAACACTGGCCTAGTTTGTTGTAGTACCAGTACCAGTACCATTCCCATTTTTTCAATTTAAAATTTCAAAATAAAAAGTAGAAAGAATGGGTAGAATGGGAATAAAGGAGAGTGGGATTTGTACGGGAATAAAGGACTGCAAGTGGCAATACGCCTCTCCAATTCCTTTGTTGTGTCAGTGACTGACTGCCCAAATCTCCCGCTCCCTCTTGTTAGTTTCTGTAAACAGCTCAGCAAATTAGATAGAGCCCTGGAATCCACCCTCCGTTTAGGCAAAGCTAGAGACACGTATGAAGGGTGGGTATGATTAGTGGAGACTCAATCAGCCAAACATCAACGATCAAACAGTGGGAAAGAGAGAGTGAGAGAGATTCCCTGTACAATGCATGAAACGGAAGCATTATGAATTGGGTTCTTACTTGTTGGCCTTGTGACTGAATGTGAACGTGAGAGATTGAGCTTGATCGACACTTGATGTTTAATCTTAATCTCAGTAAATGTGGCTTTGGCTAGTGAGATCCTGAGGGCTGAGACTGATAAACTCCAGCCCCCAAAAAAACTAGAATTTTGAGAAAATCCCAAGTATGTTTGTATGGGTTGTTGGGGTTTCCCTTTAAAGGGTTGTTCTAGGTTGGCTTGGAGTTTTGAAAGCATAACAAAGTCCAACCATTTTTTATCTTTCTGTGTTACTTTAAATGATGCTGCCACATCGTACCATGCAATGATATCTCTTCAATCTTCAGTGGTAATCCTCTTAGTTTTTAATTCCATTTGTTAAGCTTTCTTTCCCCCTTTATTGCCATGCATCCCATCAAAATCCATTTGGACTCCACGAAGACTGCAAATAAGACAATTTCAGTAACCTTACCAAAAAAAAATGGGAAAATAAAAAGAAAACTTGGAATGACATCAAGAAGTGGAGTGCCCCCTATTTTGTCAGCAAAACTTCTTTTTTCTTAATCCTTCTCAAATTATGTCAAATGAATGGATCCCATACTCTTGTTTGAACCCAAGAATTCATCATGGATAATTTTGTTATCCTCTGGACTATAATATTGGAAAGGGTATGCAACCAGAATAGACTACTTTTTTTTTGGCCAAAACCAGCAGAGACTTGTTACTTGTTCAAAAAGAATCATGATGAATAAAAGAATTTCAGGCCACATCAATACAGTGACAAAGAGTTGCATCTTTGAGAAACAAAAGAACATATCTAATTTTATTCGGTTCAAATGGACATTTTTTACAATACTGTACAACAGGAACATGATAATGGTTCAAAAGGCATATATGATCTCCAATGAAATATTAGGGTTCAAAAGGATACTTGCACAATAAGTCCAAAAATAGAAGGGCTTGATTCGTATTATTAGGGCTATTGAAATGATATAATTTAGCCCAACATGAGGCCTCATATGCACTAGATACGGCCTGTACTCTTTAGAGAGGACCTCATATATTATTTATTTATAATAACATATCTAAAATTCAAATATCCAATTTAAAAACCATACCAAAATTTTAAAAAATATGATAAATAGTATTCCATTATAATTATTAAATAAAAAGAGCATATGATAAAATATTAAATAAAAATATACGTCAAGCCATAATTGATCCAATTTTCACCATATTTCAGTTCTCCAGAAATACTCCTACATTTACTTGTTTATTATATCAATATTCTCACCATCATTCCTAGTACCATTCTATTTCTTTTTTTTATTAATCCATAAATGGCCTTAACATGGGGTTAAACCATTAGACCTGATCCAATCATTTATTTAATTCAATATTTCAATCCAGTTTTTGAATTGGATTAAAATATGATTATTAAAAACTAAACCATAATATACAATTTTAATCATCTATAAATTCCAATTATATATTTAGTTGCATACGGAAGAGGAAAACAAGTAGTTTCCAGATTGGTGCTGGTGGATCATGCAATCCAATCCAATATAAATGTACTAATTATTGTAGCATCATATGCTTGAAGAGAAATTGCACGTCGGACAGTCTTTGAGGTGCAAAATTCTTTTTGACATCGTGGTCGTGGCACTGGCGGCTTAACTAACGCAAATGCCAAATTCCTTTTTCACTTTTGCTGCTTCCACAGCAGCGTACATCAAATCAAAGAGGAAAAAATTTTACAAAAATTCCTCACGTTACAGAGGAATATACGGGATATCTAACATTTGACTCAAATCTTGTGCCGTTTAGTTCTCGATAATTGGATGCCTAATCAAGATTAAGATGAGAAACTAAATAGATCGCTAAATGCCATATTTACAGAACTCCCAACTTTCTGGACATCCAGACTCGAAAAGTTCAACCGCGCCGAAATGAATCAGATTTGTCAGCTCCCACCTGCATACGTCAAAGATGATATCACTTAAATTTTGCAACCGCATCCTGTAAGTCAATAGATAGATTTAAATAAACTATGATACCATTCACAACCTCACCACTGTGCACTGGCCTATAAGCAGAAGATGAATAAGTTTTCTATCAAGGAGAAAGAGTCAAAAGAAAAAGAAGGAAACATTTTCCCTCCCAAGGCAGACGTGATACTAAAACAAAAAAGGAAATAAAATACCGATTTGTAGAAAAAGTAATGGAAAGGAGCGCCAATCACCTCTGATTTGCCCAGAATGAGATGCCGCTTCAGAAACACCTGGTATTTTTTTGGTGTTTACAAGGGAAATGGGCGTCACCAGAGGGGTTGTAACTTCCCCATCCTTGTCTGGAACTTGTGGAGCCTCCAAAAGCCTGGAAACATGAATCGCCATTGCTCTTTGATTGCTAGAGGGTATAGAGAAACTTCGAGGGACAATCAAAGGTGGAGTTGGAAGAGGTGATGCTCCACTCGTTTCCAGTGAAGGAATATTACTTGCAGAAAGCTCTTGATTTCTTGAGAATAGTGGAGCAGAGTGACCAACCATGGCAGGAGATTTTGCTGGCTTAGCAACTGAACTACCAGGAGGCCTTGGAAGCTCATGTAGCTCGCTTATTCTAGGTGAAGAAACAAGGCGAGGTGACGCATTTGGGGATCCTTTTGGAGGGGATAACGGTTGAGAAATTGGCAAATGAGAAAATACTGATAGTTGACCACCACCGGAATCCTTCTCATGTTTCTTTTGCTCTAGTGGGGAAGAATGTGACAAATTGTGTGCACGTCCAGCTACATTTTTTGGTCTTGTGTGGGTAATTGGGCTAATTGTTCTTGAAGAGACTGCAAACTTTGAATCATTTGGTGTTGGGAGCACATATGTACTAGACCTCCCTGTAGATGACTGCAGCATCTGTTTTACTCTTTCATCGGGATCGAGCTTCCTTTCCGGAAATATGGGGGCTGAATGGCTGCCCACTCTATGCTCCCTACTCGAGACCTGACTATTCCCATGGCTTTTCTCTGGGTTTACCTACAGGCAGAGAGCGGGAAATAATAAAATATATACTTAAAAAACTGCTTATTTCGAGCAGCAAAACTAACAAAGTTAAAAGTTCATAATTCTAAAAGCCTATGTTGTTTAAAAAAAACTAGGGCCAACAATGAGAAATGTATGAAGGAGATTTACCTCAGCATTTTCCTTCTTCAAAGTTTGGAGAAATGAAAGACTTACTTCATCTACCTGCGGAATAAGCCACCATATTTAAGAATAAAACAAAGGTGTCAACACATACACACATATGGATCACGATAAAAGATTAATGTACAATAGTCACACAAACAATAATGACATCATCCCCCTATTCTAGAACTAGAATGAATTGAACCACTAAACTGGCCAAAACAAATTCTGATTTGTACGGAAATCTGGCCAAGGAAACCAATCCTACTAATTGTTAAAATGGGGAAAAATAAGGAAAAAAAGGCAGAAGAGAAATATGGAAAGTTCAGGTAGATAAGATTTGGAGCTCATTTATCCAAGCCTTTTATGTTTGAGGGTACAACTCTTGCTTACAATTTGACCATAACAGCTTCAAAAATGAATCAATAAATTTACACTGGCAAAAGAATCTGACCTCCATTGAATTCCTTGATGCAGAAGTAACATCAACCCCCTTGTCATTTGCTCTATAGTCAAAACTTAATTCACCATCTTCGTTTGGTTCATAGGCAATTTCACCATCTTCCCCATCATCATCTTCAAGGCCAGAGAACAGGTAATCAATGTGTTGCTGTTCTGTAACCTGCTTAACATGAGGCTCAATTGCCTCAAGTGATTTAAGTCCTTTCCTAAAGAAATTCAACTGCACTCTCAAGAGAAAGAGAAAGCAAAAGAGGAGAGGAGGTTTATCAGCATTGAACTTATGAAATGCAGAAGCCACTGACATTTGAAACTTTTGGGAATAAATTTCAGAAAACCTGAGCTGCATAGTGACGAGCAGCTTGTGTTAGAAGACTTCTGGATTGCCCTTGCTTCAGAGATTTCGATCGGAAAACACAATGAGTTGCAACATCGTCATATTCATCACGAGCTGTTTGCAACTGCTGTAAAGTGAAAGTTTGGCCTTTTCTGCCTTTTGACCTTCCTTTTTCTTTTTGTTGTGTCACAATGTTTTCATAGACATTTCTAAAACTCATGAACAAAATTCAGAAAGGGTTTACAGCAACTGAAGCAAAATAAGTAAGCAGAGAAAAGCAATGGACCTTTTTTCATCACACTGCCACTTCATGTCCTGCACCAGCAAACAATAGAAAGGCCACTAAGCATGATAATTGTACAAGAATATTTACAAAGGTAAAAGAATTATCATTGGACATGTAAGAAATGATGTTGAAAACTTCTGATTTCTTAATTAAAAAATAGGGAAATCCAGATGAACAAACCTCAACAGTCCTAAGCTCATTGAGAAGTGACTCAGATGGGTTTGTAATTGTCAGCAATATATGTGATCGCTGAAGCACAAAGAGCATCAAGAAAGGCTCAAACAAAGGATTATTCCAAAACACAACATATAAAAAATTGGTGGAAAAAGTTTAATTTGTTCAATTTACAAATAAGATTTAAACTCACATAGTTATCCACAAGTTTCTGGAGTTCAAACTGCAAGTTCCCCAACATTAACAGAATTCTACCTGTAAATAAATGCAATGTCATGACTGCAGAACCATTATATCCCAATAAAATGGGCCATTTTTATGACACTCCCTTGCCATTACACCGAAAAGAAGAAAGGTAACAGTTTAGTGAGGTATGCGAGCACATAGTTACATGATGACATCATTACACCAATGCAGGATAAGTATTTATACAAGCAAAATCAAACATTAAAAGAATGAGATAGGATTGATGATTTTAACTAGAGGCATGAAGACTAAGACATGGAATAAGGCACATCGTTGTATGCACTGCCAGCTAAAAAGTAGCTATGTTCAAGTAGAAATTCTCTCAAGAGTGTATATGTGCACATGCAAGTTGGGTGGGAATATCCATGAATAAAAGTAAATAATGAATGTGTTAAGGTGAGACTTGCACAGGACAATAGCTTAAGTTGTCATAGATGTTACTTGAACCAGTTAGCAGTTCTATTGCTGCATGAAATCTGCAGCCTTATTCAACAAAATAGGAATATTTCAAGTGAACTGATCAATTCAGTAATTTGGTTTAGCTTTTCAGGTATTAAAATTCCAGGTTAGATAATACACAACATACACGCCTATCAAAGATCTAACAGTGCAAACAACTTAGGGAAGTAAAAGAGTCTACTTACGGCTTTCTTCATCATTGGGTAGCACTATTTTTTCTTGCAGACAAGAGCCCATTTCTTGCAGTGACTCTGAGAATTCTGAATAAAAATCTCGTCAAAGGTAGATTCATTCAACACTATGATTTTACTGCAATCTAACAGCTAAAGTAAAGTGACCCCTAGATTGTGCTAAGTGTATAAATAAGAAATTCTTTTGTGAGATGTTATGTACAAAAAGATTCATAAGGATTCCGCATCAGCAAACATATCATAAATACACAGCTGATACTGAAACATTTTTTATAAAAACCTAATCATGTTATTTCTGAAACCAGTTGTTTTTCAAAATCTACCAGTTGCTTTTGGCTGGAAAAGCACCATTAACATGTATTTGGCATAGCCAAATACCCAGGGTGACAAAACACGGTGATACCCAACAATCAATATGACAATATAGCACACATCATTGTTACCATATGCGCTGTTAGCTGTTGCTGCAGCCGCAGAAAGTAAGCTATCATAGCAATTTCTCATGTCTTGCATCTCCTGTAAATGCATCCAAATGATAAAAAAAAAAAAAAAATCTAATTATAATATTTCAAATTGACCAAGACAGCCTCCAAGAAGCATTATTCATTGAAAGGAGGATGCTGTAAGCAGTTCAATAGCAATCCAAAGCCACAAAGCTTTCATATTTCCCAGCTAAAGCTTACGACTTTCTTTCACACCGGAATCTAATATTCCACTCTTTTTCTATTCCATTTGAAAAAATGATATTAAAACCATATACCAACTGTTCACACACTATTATTAAGGACAGAAACCCACAACTTCTCCATAGATATTCTAATCCGGATTTAGATTCTCTCTAATCCTCAAGCATTTCACATTTTCTTAACACAGAACTACAGCCTTTAGACTAATTGGCATTCCCTAATATCAATCAAAATTAAAATAATTCATAATTTAGAATCTTCGAAACTTAATGGACCAAATTTTCCAAATATATATTTAGAATTAGAAATTCGCTCCACTCAACTGAACTCGGGCCAACTCATTCAATTACACTTCAAAAATCGAAACAAGAGAATCCGATTCATTTCACAATTACCAATAATATTAATCTGCATTTAAATCAAACCAAAGCTCAAACGTAGTTGAAAAAAAAGGGAAATAAAATAGAAGTACCTGTGCTGCTTGTGCGAGCTCATCGAAATGAGCCGAAGATAAAAAATGTAACTTATCCTCGCCATCGTTCTTGTGAAGCGCAAATCTTTTAAATTTATCAAACGAAGACTTCATTTCCCAAAAGGAAAAAAAAAAAAAAAGAAACCCTAATGCAATGAGCCAAACACAAACAACAAAAGAGAGAGAGAGAGAGAGAGAGAGAACCCAAGAGCTCCTTTGTGAGAATATAAAAATGAAATCGAAGCGATTCTTGTGAATTTCAACTCGGAAAAATCTAAGCAACAGAGAGTGTGAAGCTGATTAATTCAATTATTCAACGGCAATGAAAGTGAAGCGGTTTTTTTTTTTTTTTCTAAATTTTTATTTTGTTTTATTTTTTCTTCTTGTTGGTCAAAGAAGCTGACTCTAAATAGATCAAAGGAAGAAAACTACGGAGCCGAAAACGAAAATGAAGACCGAAGAGGTTTTTTAAAAGGGAAAAAAATAAAATATGACGGATGATTTTTTGAAATTGACGTATTGAGTGGGTTGTTTGGTAAATTCAGGAAGTGAAATCATGATCCAACGACCGGAAAGTTGACAAGTGGACGCTGATGACGAATGCTTGAATGTATTGGAAACAATATAATGCCCCGTTGAGTTGACAACAAACAGAAAGAAATTCTTGAATCAGAGTGGTGGAGTGCAGATTTAAAAAGAGCGGGGAGCGATGGAGGGGATCAAACGGGGTGTGAATCGAGTTTGACGTGGCGAAAGGAGAGCGTTCAAATTGGTGGCACGTGGATAATTGGACGCTAACTGTTCAGTTCGTACAAAGGGTTCAGAGGCACATACTGCTGCCAAGGAAAGAAGTGATTTCAGACATTCTAATTTATATTATATTTTATTTAAAATTTTATCATAATTTATATAAAAAATATAAAATATAATTTTTATATTATATCATTAAAGAAAGGATCATCATTGCTTGACCAAAGGCTAATGGGTCAAATCTTTCTTCTTTCAATTCCCTAATCTACCCTCCATTTCCTTTGATAATTTTATCGAAGATTATAAGATAATTTGGTTTTAATCATGGGATTGTATAGGTAATTCTCTGTTGCAAAATATCTAATGGATATTATTATTTTGACATTCAAACAATTTTGGAGTTCAGTGCACATTGTATCAATAGTTGAACTTTGTATCTTAAATTTAGAAATTTCAAGTCAAATTTTTAGAAAAAGCTACGTAAGATTTCATGGATGATTTAAGCAAACACCATATTTTATTCAAAGCCTAATAGTAATTTATTAGTGCCAAAAATCATAATCTTATAAAGTTATAATACATATTTTTCTTAATTCAAACTATTTTTATAAGAAATGAAATTTATAAGAATCTGCTTCGATAGACGACAAAGCGCAATGGGAGCACTTTTTGTTTCACTGCACCCTCCATCAAATTTTTTTCATTGAATTAAAAATGAAGGGCATTCATGCACATCATCACCCATCCAAATATATCATTAAAATATTTGAAGCAGGTTATGGGATTTTTTTTTTATTTTAAATAGGGATGTCAATTAGGTCGTGTTGGATAAGCAGGGTCTATTAAAAATTTAGATTATATCTTAATGAGTTATAATAGTTCAACACTATTATTTAATGTATTATGTCGATGCAATTTATGAAAATTAAAAATATGATCCAACATGATGCATGATTCATAAACATAATCTTTATGAATCATGTTAAATATATCTTATACCATATTAAATTATATCATATTATAGGTTATTCAACTCATTTGATATCTTTAATTTTAAATGATGAATAATTTGATTTTAGTTAATAATATTTTACGATTAAAAGTTATAATAATAATATTTTTTATAAAAAAATTTACTCATCAAAAATATTTTTATCATTAATATCGAGTTAACGTGACAAACCGACCCTAATTATAAAAATTCACATCAGCTCGGGTAGTTTAATATCCCATCCCATGGCACATAAACAGGCTGATTAGTCAACCTCATGTTGGTTCCTCTCTTACCATGTCAAGTCGGATCGATCCTGCTAGGTCTTTACCCGACTCGGGTTTGCTATGTTTAATCCACTTTGGATACATCATTAACCAAACAAAATCGCTGAATTGAATTAATGTTGAATGAAAAGCCAAGGAAAACATGATGAAGTTTTTTTTTTTTTTTTTTTTTGTGGTCAGTCTGACATTAAGTTCACTCACTTTTGATGCAATAAGTAGTTGGGCCCACCTCAATTATAACCTGAAGACTTTTCTGGTTTTAATTTGCCACCATTGGAGACGACCTTTTGCTCCAGCCAGTAGGGAAAGGGAAAACAAAAAATAAGGGGGTTTGGGAGGGAGTCACTCCATGCTTTCCACACGGCAAGTTAGACAAGAAAACTAAAGTATCTTAAACACTGCCACTAACAGAGAAGACAACCAAAATTAATGACTGGTTGGCTTGTTGGGATGAGAAGCAAGCTAGAACGGAAGGTCAATGTTCAAACTTGAACCATTAAGATTTTTAAGTTCAAACAAGTTGATGCTAGAGATTGTATAATAATCATACCAAACTTTGAATGATAAGACAATGGTATTTTCTGGATGTAATTGCATGTATCTTCAATTTAAAGAATTTGATTCAAATCTCTTTTCATCCAAAATTAAGGGGGAAAAAAATAAAGAAGAATGCTACTTTTAGTTAGTCAGATAAGACCCCAGACAAACAGTGCCTTTTATTTTTCAAGATTAAACATAATTATGATTTGATAGAGACAGAAAGAGAAATGGGAAACTATGTACTTTGAATGATGACTTTCCTTGGTCAAAAAGGTTTGTTTGCTTATAGCCTAAGGGAAAAAGAAGGATGACAAAGATCTAAGAGGAGCAGCCATTTTATACGAGCCGCCACTTTGAAGTTTATGCTAGGGAAAAGCTCAAAGGGCGGTTGCGTGGGGTCGTTCATATTAAAATTTCTCGGGCGTTGTCAGAGAAATCTCGGTACCCTTCTTTCTTTCTACCTTGTACTGTAATATCACTTACAATTCACGGAATCCTTAAAGACAAAAGTCTTCCAATTGGTTAGTGTCCTTCAAATCCAACAGTGACCCTTGTACATGTTTGTCTCTTCTAGTTTCTGTGACTAGCTTGTTTTTTCTCTTAATTGGAAAACTCTTCAGTCTTCATCACTTTAGTATCTGACCAAGAAAAAACGGTACAACAGAAAGCACCTTTCTTCTCTTTCCACATGTTCAGCCAAAAAGTTGAATGTAGATTGTGGTCCTGGATCCCGAGTCCTGAGCCTCGGTTCTGATGTATGGGGTTTTTGAGAGAATTAAGCATGTAATGTTATTCATTTCATCAGAAACTAAATGCCTTTGTCTTCAAGAAAAACAACCCAAAAATCTTAAATAATTTTAAGATTTTGGAACTCAACACAAAATGTAATGATCTCCAATTCTCCTGCAATGTTTTACAGTGCTAAGTGACAAAAGGGAATTGGATGCATTTGAAATGAGCAATGTGAAGTAATTAACATGGGTGAACCTGTGAATCCTGCTCATTAGGTTGTATGCTTTCCAGAAGCTAGCCTACCACCAAACTAGCTAGGCTATCCAGACTCTGGAGAGACTTCTTTCGCCATTCCATTACATGAAGCCAGCTCTAACGAGTTAAGATTTTAGTACCTGAAGACTCGAGCAGAAATTAAGCCAGACAGCAAAAGGATTAATAAATGAAAAGCAACCAAAACAGCAGTAAAATTGATTGACACAATGTGGACAACCATAAAATCAGATACCATTTAGTCAAATCATAATTGGTTTATGAAAAATCGGTAGCATGTTTCGTGTGTTTGAGGGAGGGTAGAACCATCCTTAGGCTTTTGAAGCCCTTCTGGTGTGGATGGTTAAGATAGGGAAAAATTGCATTTATATAATACAATCATCAACCATTTCAGAATGCAATTTTGGAATATGTCAAAAGTTTTCTGCTTAATGCTTATATAACTATAATGTGAACTTGGTAGTTTCATATCATCCTGTAAATAAATGGTAGGAGTACAAGCGAATAAAGGAGGTTCTCTTTCAGTTACATTTATGCAAAAAAAAAAATACGACTTTTCTGGTGAAGATGAAGACGGAAATTGGTCGGAGGTATTATTCAAAAGGAATTCTATAATTTAGAAAGGAAATAATAATACAATGTCTCCTGTGAAGAAATATAGTTTGCACCTCATTCAGAAAGTACTGAGGTCACCTCTCAGTTTTCATGCTTTATCTGATACACAAGAAAAGAAAAAGGGAAAATTATCCTGTATTCCTCCAAGAGTTGAAAACATCTCTATATATGAAAAAACAGGCAGATGAAGCTCTCGAACTCAGAATACAGGACAAAAAGCCTCCAATATTCTTCTAGCATCACCAGGAAAGCCATCCAAATAAGCTTTTTGATGCTGACATAAGGACAGGTATATAGATTGTAGAATTAGACTCTTAAAATACTTTTTACTCTTGCTGAACCAGTCTTAATTCCTTTTCCTATCCTACCTCTCTTCCCCCATCGAGCACTTGATCCCTGCTTAAAGAAAGGAAACAAATTTTGTTAATTTGAATAGGTCACTGGACAAAACTATAAGCAAAATATGCAACTTTTTATCATTATCTAAATTCTAAATGAATTATATACACAATTCATAGAGATAACAATCTTCTTATGTTTATAATGTGTTTATTAGGGTTAAATCACAATTTGAAGTTTAAATTGGATGGTGTTTGCCTACTTTATATATCAGGGGAACATACAAGGAGGTTGTAATTGTTTCTTAGCATGCTATCAATTTATTGGTACCTTAAAACGAGGAAAAATTTTCCGAAGCCATAAATCCATACCTTGTCATCTTTAACCTGTCCCTGTTGTTTGTCCCTTCTTTTCCCTGGATTACTATCACCTGTAGAATAGAAATGGCATTAAACTGTCTGTTGGTAATTGGTTTCACAAAAGATGCAAAAACCAGGAAATTATCAGTTTCACGAATCAAGTCAAATTGGAAGATTATGCCTCTTTCAACCAAAAGTTCTACACTTTTTTTCTTCAGCATTTCATATCAATAGACTTAAAATCTTTCTTCTACCTTTAAAATGTAGAACAAAACAATACAATAAAAGTTACCTAAGTTAATGTTTACTTGAATTTAATCTACCCAAAACCACGGCTCACCTTCGCTGTTTTCATCGTCAGACAGAGGTAGAATGCAATATACCCTGAAACTTGGCGATCGAAGGTAGGAATTGCTATCATCTCTGTCGTCTTCATCCTCGTTACTATCTTCCTTATCACAGGCCTCCTCCTTTTCAACCCTTTCCCTTTGAATCCCTCCTTTTTCCTCAGACTTCACCTCCTTGATTTTCATATGTTGAATAACACCCTTTGCATGCTCTTCTCCTCTGCCACCTTCAGGCAACGGCTTGGATAAGAGGCTGCTATCGACAACCGCACGATCATTCCTTCGGTGAACAAGGCTTACTTGAGGGTATGGCGAGGCTTCTCCCTCTTCTTGAATGTCAAACTTTGAAATACCACAACCCATTAACGAGGAAAGACATGCAAAAGGAACCCAAGGGTGTAATCTAATTCAGCTGATAATAGGGAAGAGACTGCTCCAACCGTAGCCTTCTTGCATGGAAAGAAAAAACTGGAGAAACAAAACGAGAGATCCAACGAGAATTGTGGGATTAGCTAGATAACCACAAGAGACTCAAGGGATTGAATTTCACATTTGCCTTTTAGCAGTTAATTATGTTATTGATCACAACCTTCCATTTTCTTTCTTTTTCTAGTTAGAGATTTTACAGCAGGCTAGATCAGCTAACTGCCTCTTATAAAGGATAAAGCTAAAAGCAGAAAATAGTTACTGAATTATTGATTAAATTTGCAATTAGCAATCGTACTTTAAAGAGCGATAATAAATCAAGAGTAGATTTAACGTAAATGTTTTTCTATTAAGGAAAAAGGTACTTTAGATTTGAATCTAAAATTTGCTCTAATTCATGGATTAACCTTAAAATTAGTTGGTATGAGTCCGATAATATTAGAGTTGGCGTTTGAAGGCTGAAAAAGTTTATACCCAAAAGAAAAAAAAAAAAAAAAAGACTTGGTCTAACTCTGCTCTTCCACTAGTTTTGCATATGTATGATAGTAGTACCTTAAGCATGCAATGCGAATTGTGAAAATGATCATTGATTAACGTTTCGAAGGAAACAGGCGCCTCGTACTGATCAAGTAATCAAGGTAGGCACCTAAAAAAGAGTAGGGATGATGTATTTTTTTTAAAACAATTGCCTAGATTAATGGAACCCACTTTTCCCCTGGCATAGGCATATTTGTTTGTGGAGCTAGCACTTGAAAGAGCATATGGCCTTTGATGGAGATTCTGAGGAATTAACTATAAAGAATATCAGATCACTTCCAACCTTCGAAGGCAATGCTAAGAACATCTCTTCCGGATTGGGCAATTTCAGTCCTGAGGAATAGAATACCAAGCTACGGTCCAGGGCCAATGGATATGGTGTATCAAAGTTCTAATATAACTACTGATGTAGAATATGGCCTCCTCAGTCCTCCATCCATTCTTTAACTTTCAAAAGGAAAAGAGGAGATAAGTTCCAATGCCTTTGGCTTACAGAGATATTATGAGGCTATTGACAGGATTTTTCACATCTTGGCTACTGAATCAATCAAATAAAATGGGAAATGGATTTTGAATTTGGATTCGGTAACATTTAATTCTTTAGGAATGAGGAAGTTTTTTTATTCTATATAATGCCCAAGAAATTAATGCTAAAGATCTCGACCAGGTTTTGCTATTCAGCCACTCTAGCTCCAGGTTTTGCTTGTAATTTTACAAGCAAGTTTATTGATTGCTTGCATAATTGTTTTCTATCTTTTTTAGGATGTAAGTAGATTTTAGTTGGTAGAACCCCCCCTCCCCTGCAACATGTAATGTAAAGCTTGTTGGTTCAATTGGAAGTTACAAAAGGAAAGCTTGAACTCGTATATTAATGGCCTACCACAACAACTAGCCCACAAAAATGGAGCCGTTTTAAGTCAGCAATCTGCGACGCAAGCCAACCCCATCTCTCTCTTTGCGTCTTTAGCAGGAAAAACGTGATCAGATTATGATTCTTAAACCACTGCTACAAGAAACTTTGGTCGGCAGTTCTGTAGCACTATGACAGAGAAGAAAAGAATATTAATCATGCCTATATCACTCAAACAATAACTACTTGTTGAGCTTTTCTTAAAAACTTGGAACTTTTTAATTGAGTGATTCTTATCCATATCATACTAATTCTAAAGCTTAGTCATGAAAACATATTTGGTATGAATCAAATGCACTTCTTAGGGGTTAAAATATTGAAGCCTAACATGATCAATAAGTACTGATTAGCTGATGAAATACCCTATGATCAAATGCAGCAATATAGCATTTGTCTAAATGTAGTAAAAAAACAACTCAAACCAACAAATATTTTCCCTCCCAAAAATGTTAGTTGGGAGGTGATGTGTTTTCATTTCAATAGTATGGATTTGAGTTGGAAAATCATCTCAATGCTGTCCTCTGTCTGTACATTACATGTGGTACATGTTAGCTGTCATTGACCCAACATGCATTATATATGTCCTACTGAGGGAAATAAAAGATGAAGGTCTTTCAGGAGATTGCACGCTTGTGATAATCTGATGAAGCAAGTTTCTTTTATCATATCTAACCACCCAATCCATTTTCTGCAATTTATAATGCTCAAATTGCGTTGCTGCAGTGACTTTATTTTTCCTTTTTTATGGATCTTAGATGGGAAACCTGAGGTGGGAGAGTTAACTTTAGGGAAAATAACTAAAAAAAAATTGTTCCTCTTCTTAGGCCCCATTGGCTGACAGGAAGAATCTTATTCTCATCATCCCATGAGAAGTTGCGTTATCCAAGCATGGAAGTATATAGAAAACCCTTGTCTGTCTTTGTTCCCTTTCCCAACACAACAAAACCAAAACCATTCTTTAGCAGAAGAACACATTAATTAAACAGAAACCATTTTGAATTGGAAGACAGTGAGAGAATCTCTTTAATTCTCAAATGTGGCTGAAAGCCTTAAAAATAATGTGAATAACAGAACATAAGCCTAAAAAAGTCACATAGATTCGATAAATGGAAGCATATTTTAGGAGGGTATTGAGTTCTTCTGATGTTGGGAGTATATATAAGGGAGAATCTGCCCCCATGTGCAGATGCCCTTTCCCACCAAAGTCACAATGTTATATGATTAGATAATACAGAACCCCTTTTTTTTTAACTTCTTTCCTTGGATGCCTTCCATTTCCTATATATTTGATTCATATTTGTGTCTACTTTTGGTCATCTTTCTGTCTTAAAAATCATTTGCCTTTTGATAATAAAAGCTTAGATACTGAGCAATAATTTGTGCCACCACTTTCCCTCTCATTATAATTGTTTAAAATTTGAAGAAAACTAATAAAGCAGGATAGGGACGGAGCAATATCATGGCAAAAGGTTTGGGATTTGCTTGCAGAACACAATTTCTCAAGTTCTTAAAAACCTTTAAAATTGTCTTTTCTTTCTCCTTTTTGCCCATTTCTTCTCATATATTTGTTGCACAACAGTAAAAAGATCTGATACAAAGTCTAGTGAAACTGTTTTTACTGCTTTCTCATACACAAATTTGAAGAAGAACTAGTAATGAAAGCATTACTTTCTTCTTGATCTAATCCATCGGAAGAAAACTCAGTAATTTCACTTGCACTTGGTGAAGTAGGTTGAGGAGGACCAAAGACAGAGCAGTCTTCCACTGTAAAATCAATACAACTTGGCATGGTCACTGCACTAGTTGTCTGACTTTTGTTAGAAACGGCTCTATGTTTTTTAGCTTTTCTCTTTCTCTGAAACACCCGAAAAACTAACCAATCTCCAAACAATTCCCTCTTGGACACCTGCATATATGGCAAATCCATAGCTAAGAAAATGATTTTAATCAAAATCTTTGATAACTGCAACTTATATTTGCAGAAATGAGCTATCCTACAAAGTTTGTTGTTATATTACCTGGGTTGAATCAAGAGTTGCCGCTGCCGCGGCCGCAAAGCCAACCAGGCGATATTGATGCAAAAGCCATTGATTCTTAGTCTCATTAGAACGCTTCCCTTCACAAAAAATCAAAGCTTTTCTCATCCCAACTACTTGATTGCCTCCAGAAGCTAAAATTGGCTTCTCTTTGCCTATTGGCTTCCAGTAGCCAGAACCAGCTACTCTCTTGCATTTGTTGTTACTGCCAGTACCATATCTTGTGCTAAAGAAATACCTATTTTCTTTCAAATCACCTGAAAACCAACAAAAATTAAGATCTTTTATAAAACCCTTATTTAGTGCTCAAGACATGATAAGTTCCACTTCTAATACTACAAATTCTCAAGCTGCAAATTTATAGGACATGTTAGATAATGGCAGACAGTTTTGTTTCCTAAACTTTAACAAAGCTTAGCGTTCTCCGTTACCATAACTTCCCTTATCGTATGGAATCCTCATAGATAACAGTATTAAGAGAATTTGAAGGATAAGGACATGAACAAGGATCTGATAAACAGAAAATTAATAAAGTTGGGTTTCAAAGAACTAGAAATTAAAAGCATTAACTTTGAAGGGCAACTAACCTGGCAAGCTCCAAGGATCAGTCTGGAAAACATCAAACTCAGGAATAACAGAAGCAGGTAATGGAAGACTTAAAGCCTTTCTCTTCAAGTAATGAACCACAAGCTCTTCCTCTGTAGGACGGAACCTGAAGCCGATGGGCATCTTGATCCCTCCATTTACAACAAAGTTTTGGCTTTCCATCCTTAAAATCTTAAGAAACCTCCTCAACCAGCTATGTTAAGTTCGTATCTTTTGCTTGACTGATCTCTCAACCAACCAAACTTGACCTAACTTAGCTGATTGAAATCAAGCATAGTAACCCATGTGAGCTTGGAATGTGCAAAGAGAGAGAAGAAACCAAAAGGAAAGAAAAGCCAATAAACAAAAGGAAAAACTCTAGTGGGTTTTATGGCCGGGCTTATAGGGAGAACAAAGATAGAGGTTCCATTATATATAGAGCATAAGAAATGTCAATCTTCAAAGTTCAAACCACTCCTCTTTTACTGACTCCGAACTCCTTCCTTGACTAAATAACCCATTGCTTCATGTTGACGGGTCGTTTCTTAGACAAACGTGTAAGAAACTTAACTGTACTGTTTTTGGTCAAGGACACTCCTTGCACTCTGCTCTTTCTACAGTGTCCCCCACGTGTGACACGTAGTGGAGCCCCTCATTTCATGGGCCTTCCAAAAGATCCAAGGGTCCAAATTAGTTTTTGACAATAGTGTAAGTATAATTCCAATTCAGTCGGTCTTTGGAAATACTATGAACATTATACGACAGAGGATAACAAACAAGATTAATAAAAATGATTCTTGTGTATATCAGTATTCAATTAATCTTATATTATTTGATATAAAAAAATCAAAATAAATGAATTATATGATCCTTCAAATTATGATAAGATGCACAATAATCCACAAATATAATCCATTTTAGATTAAGATCCGAGTCAATAAAACACCAATTAATCTTGTATGCTTACATAATGAAGAAGAAAAACTTAGAATTCACCCAAAGTGAAGTGGGACCTTTATCCTTCAAGTTCATGAGATGTAGATTTTGTTGTTAGATTTTTTTTTTGGTTACCTTGTGTCAAAATCCTTCAACTTGCTCATATATATTTGCAAGTTTTTGGCTTAAAATCAAAGGTTATTCCGACATCAAAGCTTTAAAGTGAGTTTTTATACCCCAACTACTAGATTTGTTTCATAATTTTGTTGGTTAGATTTTTTTTTTTTTTATGGAATATTATCATTTATCTTTTGACTAGTTTTCCATCTTTTACACCTCCTTTCCCCACTCTTCTAGTCTTTCTCACTACACAATTCTTCAATAAGAGTAAAAAAAAAAAAGGTTAAATGAGTAGTGGTTGAAATAATTCAAGATAAAATATGAGAAAAATAATAAGAAAAGTAAAACAATTTATGACTCATTAGATGAAAGAAAGTAAATAAGTAGAATTCATGAAAATTACTATACTCAAATATATATATGTATGTATATACTTTGTTATAAAATGTCAATTATAAAATATTCATACCATGAAATGTCACATCTACAAGAAGGGTTTTATATACTTTCACTTATATTATACTTGAGTACTATTTTCTTTAGAAAAGATCTTGAATTCATTTCAAGTGTTCAAAACATGTGAAAAATGTGAGTGAAATACTAATTCACTTATAATATCCTATTTGTTTATTGGAAAGTTCATGGAGATGAAGCAACCCAGTTTTGCAATTGAAAAGAAGAGTTCCAACCCAAAACGAACACCCATTTCAAAACAAAACAAGACTAGTCATCCTCATGAAGAACACAAATGACAAAACAACAAAAAAGAAAAACAATTAAAAAAAAAATGAAGCCTCTCTCCTTTCCAATTCCTTTCTTAATCACCCATGATAACGATGGATAAAAACCCACCATAAAATAAATCCCATGTTTTTTTTTTTAATTAATTAAAATAAAACCCTTTGTTTTTTTTTTCTTTTCCTCACGTTGAAATGTGGAACTTTCGAAGAGCACACCACCTCTAAATGCGTGTCTGAACACACTGACTTTGATTACTTTCAAAGAGAGACAAATGTTTTGAAAATGAATTATGCGATTGGCCATGTTTGTGGGGAGAGACACTCTTTCTTTCTTAATCTCCTATAGCCTTGAGGTTGACAATTTGGCTAAGGGATTGGGATTTTATATATAATATATAATGAAGGACCAATATGATTATGTGTGTCTGGTTTCTGCTTACATTATCATTATCATTATAATTATAAATCTTCTTATCCTTCTTTAATACTCCTAAGAAACATTTCCCCTTCATTCCTTATAATTTGTCCTTGCTTAGACCACCTGTTTCAACATATATTTCTAAAACATCCTTTTGTCCCCCCTCCCTTCATTTCTATATTCTATGATTGTTGTAATCACAAAGAAGCAATTTTTTTTTAAATTAATAAATTATTTATAATAATAATAATAATTTTACATTGACAGTAATAGTTTATAATTTTATTTATAATTTTTAATGCGTCGAATGAAAATATTATTTTATATTACAATCTTAAAAAATAAATTTAAAACACCAGTAAGCATTATTTTTCTACTATTATACGCAAGAACAGTCTAATTGAAGCCAAATAATCTCAAATAATTGTAAACTCCAGCTGCAGACATAATTGGAGACGAACAACAAAAAAGACAAGTGAAATTATGGCCATAAAACAAAGGGAAATTCAATGCATGAGCCTAAAGGAACATGCATGCATAGACCATGCTACTATTTATAATTGGCCTAACTATTTATCACACTATCTACCACTACTAGTGCTTAGTTTTAAACATCAACCTAAGCTATATTTCTTTTAATAACTGAGAAAAAGAACACCCTAAGCTATGTCCTAGCCAGCTCTTCCTAAATTATATTAAAGAGAAAAATATAAAACCACAAAACCCTAAATTGAAGCTAGATTTTCAATCTTAGTTTTATGAAGGGAAGAAAATCAGCCCCTTTTCTCTTTTTTTTTTTTTATATTTAGCCAATTTCAGGTTGTGTTAAAAGTACATAATACCATTATGAACGACAAAAAACTTACGCAAGGGAGTCATTACTTGATTTGCTAGGATCTGTATTGGACCAAAAAGGCTTATACTATATTTTCATAGTAATACTTGAAAGATTAAAAGTAAACTCAAGCAGTCACATTGTGTAAATTAACTTTGTGATTAACCCAACATGGAAGCCCAATAGCCCAGTTGCATCAAGGTTTCAATTTCCAATTAAGTCTGCAAACTATGTACTGGACTAGGCCAATCTTCTTGGACTTCAATAATGCTTTTTCCAATCATTTCAACCAACCCAACACAGTAACTTGAAAGCAAACTTTTCCTTTTTTAACTTTTTAAAGTAAATGGGTTAAAGAAGGGCAGCGTGAAAGTTTAGATTTGTGTTAGTAAAATGTCTACTTTTAGTTGCTTAATTTTTTTAATTTCAATTGTATTCTAATAATATGTAAGTTTCACATATGTGTGACCACTCAATTATAACATAGCTTCTATATATATATATATATATATATATATAAGAGAGAGAGAGAGAAATGTCTAGTAAGCTCCATTGAGAACTAGCATGTTCCTCAATATGTGGACATCCACATCATTCACACATGGTTTGCATGAATCCTTTTTTATTTGTTTCTTTTAGAGAATGATAGTGTCACGCCCCGAATCGAGACGTAACACGGTCATATTACTTTGAAGAAAATCTCAAAGTAATACGAAGCCTTCTTTCTTAAACATTCTAAAATTCTTTAATAAAATAATTTATCAAGTAAAATTCATATATTTAATCCAACTGATGATACATCTTTATATATCCAAATACAAACTATATAAAATACAAAACTGCCTCTTAAAATCTCATTGGCCAACATATTCTCCGACGATTAAGTAATCTTACCCATTTCATCTTCTAGCTTCATACAAGATTAACCAAACTTATCACTTAGTCATCTGTAAAGAAAAAGTAAAAATAGAATGAGCAAACCACAGCTCAGTAAGTATAGGCTCACACATCTTACCAGATCAAGCATCGTTTTCTTACACATTATATAGATCATTTAAAACATTCATCAAATCATAATATCAAAACATTTCAAGATCATCGTTTTGTCAAATATTTCATAAATTCATAAATCAATGTCAAAATATGTCACTTCATAAATCATTACAAAATATGCTATCATTCAAATATCATAATCAAACCAAATCATGGATCAATCATTAAAATCATCATTATCATTCAAATCGTTAGTTACGGTCACTGCTATAACCCGTGACATTGGTCGTATCGACAATTTCATTCTCATGATCATTGCTAACTATTATAACCCGTTAGCCAAGGCTTACGCTAACTACTATTACCCGTTAGCCAGGGTCGTATGATCATGTCTTTGCTAACTACTATTACCCGTTAGCCAGGGTCGTAGAACTAAGTTCTGGTGTCGATGATCCCACTTTCCAGGGATGTAAAAACGTAACCATCACAAAATCGTTCTTTAAACATAAATCATTTTCTCATTTCATTCATAAGCATGATCCATCGTTTATATAGAGAAACACAAAATAATCATATGCTTGATCCTATTTTCATACATCGAAAATAATGAAATAAAATATTCATTTAATTAGAAACATACATATATACATAGTTTCGAAAACAAGCAAAGTGTGTAAGATTCTACTTACCTCTTTTAGATTCCACCACTTAGTTTTTCCCTCAAAATAATTAATGGCCTATCCAAGATCATTTCAACATATCAGAATTTAATCAACCCTTTTTGAGACCATTTATACAAAAATCAACTAAGTTACACAATGGTTAACTTAACTAATTAATACTGGCAGCCTGACCTCTTTTCATTAAAACAGTCATATCTCAACATATTCAAATCAGAATTATGATCTCTTTAATGCGTTAGAAACTAGACTTGATAAGCTTTCTAATCATATATGGCACACATCATAATTCCCTGTAGATTACTTATAACAATTTTTGAAATCCACGTCATATACTGCTGCCAAACAGCCTGTATACCTTCTAATAAAAATTATATATTTATTCACAGGAAACTCCAAATTCAATTCCGCTTATTTCATTGGAAAGTAGACTCAATACGCTTTCCAAACATATATGGCTTAATCTGTAAATCCTTGTATACAAATTAAGAAGAATTTCGTAATTCAACCCTGATGCTGTTGTCTTACAGCCTGCATATCCTTAAGTTAAAATTAGACAACTCTTCATAGAAAACTCGGATTTTAACTTTCGTTTCTTTCATTAGAAACTAGATTCAACATGCTTTCCAATGATATATAATAATCACAGCAATAATCTGTCCATTAATGCAAAATTTTATTTTAATTCATTATTACAGATCACAATATCTCATCTAAAAATAGAATTTTTCCTTCAATCTTTAAAAACTCAAATCCTTACTTTTAGCCTTCAAACTTCATTCAATAATCATCAATAAATCTTAAGAACATAAAACAAACAAAGCCCAGTAATTTACCAAAATAGATCATCAAGATTAATGAAGGATTTCATAATTTTTCTTGGTTTTTCTCTCAAAACTTTAACTCTAAATAATAGCAATCAACTTGATATTTCTTTTCAAATAAAAATAGGGCATGTACTCACCTTTAAGGGATTAACTTGATTGTAGCCTCTGATTGTGAATCTCTAACTTGATTTTTCATATTCTCTAACCCTAAGGAAGATGAGGAAGAAGAACTTTATTTCCTTTCTGTTTCACGATAGTTAGGTTTCCTTTCATCTAATACTTCAGCCATTTTTCTTTTACTAAATAATGTCTTAATAAACTTATGGGCTTTAGTATTAGTCTAGCCCAATTATTATTTGGGCTGGGGTATTACATTCTCCCCTCCTTATAAGAAGTTTCATCCTCGAAACTTGATTTACATCCACATCTCATTCCTCTAGTTTTGCAATCATATTTCTTACCGTATGATTGTTTCATTGAACTTTGAAAAAAAATAATCATCTTACCTCAAAACTTGTTCCTTTTAATCAACCATTCAAAAAAAAAAATTTCAATATGCTAAAACTCATATCATCTTGAATTTCTAAATACTCAATCCAATCACATAGCTTTTACTAAGATATTCTCTTAACATAGATTCATCATATACACTAAACATCAGAGGTGACAATATTCTTTATTTATTAAAGATTCATCACTTTCTCAACTAATAATAGCACAATAATTTAGAACTTAAAATCAATTCAGGCTTCCACTGCGCACTCTGATATTTTTTTTCCAATACAATTCAAACAAATTAACTTTCATAACATCGTTTTGTAACAAGAAAAGCATGTGTCCACAAAATTTCTTGTAATATGCTTCACACCATGTGTTCATAACCATAACAACCTTGAATAACAATATCAACAAATCATTTTGTCACCAAAAAGATATCACATAATACTTTAATTTTCTTTTCTTTTCCACCGACAACATAAAATTTTCTATTAATTAACCACTAGAATACATATGACATCAATGCAATAGATCATATCCATAAATTTACACCATGTAAATTCAAACATAAATCTCTAATTATCAAAGTTGTCTTCAATTGTGAATATTATTCTTTCTAATATACCAATTATCATATAACAATTGATTCTTCATAATCCCCACAAACATCATAATGTCTCAAATTCTCCTTTTACCAAATAAATTACTATCATCTCACGTCAAAGTTAAAAACTATGCATCATAATCCAAAAAAAAAAAAAATTCTTTTATAAAGTTTGAACCAATAAGAACTCCAAACACTTGAATTCACACCAAAAGTATAATTATGAACAATAGCCAAATGCATCACATTATTTCAAAAGTTCTCTCAAATTTCTCTAAAATCAAATACATGTTCAAGATCACCAAGTACACAAAATCATCACTTGTAAGAGTTCAACCAATCTTTTGCCCTTGTAAAATTCAAACAATCATTTGACTTGTAAGATTTCAAACAATCATTCTTAACCAAACCATGCAGATTTTTCTATAAATCGATTACTCCTTTAAAACCAACTTCCTTACTAAATCATCTAGATAACCATAATTTTAATTCTTTGCTAAGTACACAACCCTATACCACAATAGGCCATGTTCTCCATAAATATAAAATTCGAAGGAATCCAATAGTATACTTCAATTAAAAACTATAACCACAAATTAATCACTTTAGCCATTAAAAATATCAGTACACCTTAAATAGGAATTTAATGATCAAACTTTAAATTAACTATACAAACATCCAGCTCGCATAATCAAACCTTAAATACTTTCTTAATAAAAAGTAAAACCAAATCAAGTAAACATCCTTCTTTACGTATATAAAGCTATTTACCACAATTATAACATTTTGGACTAAATCCATCAAAATAAATTCTCCAACATTATAATCTATAAATAATTGTATCAAAATTTCAACATATCATTTCATTCCAACTCTAATATTCTATACTTTTAATTCCAACAATGTACACTCTTATTCTAATCTTCATCCTTGATCAAGGATTCACTTAACACTTATCAAATAATTTCAAAACCTCATTAAGTCAAAAGTCTTTTCTCAAACCCATAAGATATCCAACGACCAAATTGTTCTCTTAAATAATCCTTTAACTTATAAAATATATCTCATTATAAGTGGCGTCAAAAAATCTCTTCAACTTATAAAATTGCACTATATCGAAGTAATTACACTTTTTCTTAACTATAAGATCCAAAACCAATATATAAATATCAACAAAAATAACTACACCAAGAATCCATTGAATCATTGATTCCTCAAAATTCATTGAAACTTTAACTACTCCAAAATTCATCGAATCATTTACTTGTACTCACCACTATAGTCTATGGATCAAAGTTATGACCTTGAAAAATTATCACATTATCCAGAGGTCATCATCTAATGCTTAAAATTCTTCACATAATATATAGACTGTAACCATACTCATAGAATATCTCTTTCAATAAAAGGATTATAAACTATATTCTTTGAAAATCACCGTTAATCTACTTATCATAAATTAACTTCTTAAAAATCTCCAAAGATCATAATCGTAGTTTTTAGAAAATCTCTAAAATTATATTATAAGCTCTTTAACATCCCACATAGTTTAAGGATCATAACCTGAACTCGTAGAAAATCTCCAAGAAACATAACTTAAGCTTTTAAAGAAAATCTCAACACAATCTATAAATCATAATCTACCTCTTAAAATTCTCCAAAGATCGTAACCTAAGCTCTGATACCACTTTTGTCACGCCCCGAATCGAGACGTAACACGGTCATATTACCTTGAAGAAAATCTCAAAGTAATACGAAGCCTTCTTTCTTAAACATTCTAAAATTTTTTAATAAAATAATTTACCAAGCAAAATTCATATATTTAATCCAACTGATGATACATCTTTATATATCCAAATACAAACTATATAAAATATAAAACTGCCTTTTAAAATCTCATTGGCCAACATATTCTCCGACGATTAAGTAATCTTACCCATTTCATCTTCTAGCTTCATACAAGATTAACCAAACTTATCACTTAGTCATCTGTAAAGAAAAAGTAAAAATGGAATGAGCAAACCACAGCTCAGTAAGTATAGGCTCACACACCTTACCAGATCAAGCATCATTTTCTTACACATTATATAGATCATTTAAAATATTCATCAAATCATAATATCAAAACATTTCAAGATCATCGTTTTGTCAAATATTTCATAAATTCATAAATCAATGTCAAAATATGTCACTTCATAAATCATTACAAAATATGCTATCATTCAAATATCATAATCAAACCAAATCATGGATCAATCATTAAAATCATCATTATCATTCAAATCGTTAGCTACGGTCACTGCTATAACCCGTGACATTGGCCGTATCGACAATTTCATTCTCATGATCATTGCTAACTATTATAACCCGTTAGCCAAGGCTTACGCTAACTACTATTACCCGTTAGCCAGGGTCGTATGATCATGTCTTTGCTAACTACTATTACCCATTAGCCAGGGTCGTAGAACTAAGTTCTGGTGTCGATGATCCCACTTCCCAGGAATGTAAAAACGTAGCCATCACAAAATCGTTCTTTAAACATAAATCATTTTCTCATTTCATTCATAAGCATGATCCATCGTTTATATAGAGAAACACAAAATAATCATATGCTTGATCCTATTTTCATACATCGAAAATAATGAAATAAAATATTCATTTAATTAGAAACATACATATATACATAGTTTCGAAAACAAGCAAAGTGTGTAAGATTCTACTTACCTCTTTTAGATTCCACCACTTAGTTTTTCTCTCAAAATAATTAATGGCCTATCCAAGATCATTTCAACATATCAGAATTTAATCAACCCTTTTTGAGACCATTTATACAAAAATCAACTAAGTTACACAATGGTTAACTTAACTAATTAATACTGGCAGCCTGACCTCTTTTCATTAAAACAGTCATATCTCAACATATTCAAATCAGAATTATGATCTTTTTAATGCGTTAGAAACTAGACTTGATAAGCTTTCTAACCATATATGGCACACATCATAATTCCCTGTAGATGACTTATAACAATTTTTGAAATCCACGTCATATACTGCTGCCAAACAGCCTGTATACCTTCTAATAAAAATTATATATTTATTCACAGGAAACTCCAAATTCAATTCCGCTTATTTCATTGGAAAGTAGACTCAATACGCTTTCCAAACATATATGACTTAATCTGTAAATCCTTGTATACAAATTAAGAAGAATTTCGTAATTCAACCCTGATGCTGTTATCTTACAGCCTGCATATCCTTAAGTTAAAATTAGACAACTCTTCATAGAAAACTTGGATTTAACTTTCAATTCTTTCATTAGAAACTAGATTCAACATGCTTTCCAATGATATATAATAATCACAGCAATAATCTATCCATTAATGTAAAATTCTATTTTAATTCATTATTACAGATCACAATATCTCATCTAAAAATAGAATTTTTCCTTCAATCTTTAAAAACTCAAATCCTTACTTTTAGCCTTCAAACTCCATTCAATAATCATCAATAAATCTTAAGAATATGAAACAAACAAAGCCCAGTAATTTACCAAAATAGATCATCAAGATTAATGAAGGATTTCATAATTTTTCTTGGTTTTTCTCTCAAAACTTTAACTCCAAATAATAGCAATCAACTTGATATTTCTTTTCAAATAAAAAGAGGGCATGTACTCACCTTTAAGGGATTAACTTGATTGTAGCCTCTGATTGTGAATCTCTAACTTGATTTTTCATATTCTCTAACCCTAAGGAAGATGAGGAAGAAGAACTTTATTTTCTTTCTGTTTCACGATAGTTAGGTTTCCTTTCATCTAATACTTCAGCCATTTTTCTTTTACTAAATAATGTCTTAATAAACTTATGGGCTTTAGTATTAGTCTAGCCCAATTATTATTTGAGCTGGGGTATTACAGATAACTTATGCAACATTCCATTATCTTATTTTGTTTAAGTTTGCTTATTACCTTATGGAATCATTGGTTTCATGATCAAATCCATTGTTTCAATTATGTAATTTTCATAGTGATAAATGAGACAACTGAAACTATGATAGATGAGTCTCCCCGCTTGCATATAGTATCAATATTCATATGTCTGTCGTATCCTTAATTAAGGGAGCCGCTCTTCTCTTTTTCCGAAACCTTTGTTATTCTTTTCTGCTTCTCTCTCCCACAAATTATTGAAGCAATGCAAGGGAGAACCAAATTAAAACCCCCTGCAGAAGGATAAAAGCATTGGTGAATACTAAAAATTTTAAACCCTGGCAGAGACTACAGAAAAGAGAGAAAAAAAAAAAAAAAAAGAGAGATTTTTCATCACTTCTAAATTTTAAAGAATGAAAGTGATTTACTGGGTTTTAGCCTAACACAAAGGAACAAAAAGGGTAAATTTTGGCAAAACTATAGTGTTAGGGGCAAGTATTAGTGCTGTATCAACTCTGAAATTAGCTTTAAGAGAAATGAGAGCTCCTGCTGTGAGAACAGAAGCTTTGACTTTGCGTCAGTCTCTCCATTCCCTTGGCTTAATCTCTCCTCTGCAATAACTGCCTTGACAGGCTTAATCATGTCGTCCACAGCCTGTGAGATCTCTTTAACAAAATCAACTATCACTCCATCGATCCCCATTAAATGTTGCATGTAAACAGCCTCAGGCACATTGCTGCAGTAACAAGCAAAATTCAAAGTTAGATACAACCTTCCGAGCATTAAAACAGCCTGTCAAGCTTTAGTTTAGAGTATTAACAGGTTGGAGAAGAAGTGGAAGATTCGACTATGACAACTTTTTAAACAGTCAAAAAGCACATCAGAATTTTATGATGGCCTGGCCTGACAAGGTAAAATTTTCCAGGCATGAAAGATTATGATTTAGATAAACATGTTGAAGTTTATTAGGAACTTACTTCAGTTTGCCATATGTCAGGAGAGAGAGTTTAGACTCTTTGATCTTAGGCACTGCTCCTGGATTTCTGAATACTCCTTTGATCTCTGAAACAATCCCTTGTAAACCTCCTTCCAAGCAGACCTTTATGGCCTCCTCCAGGGAATTCCTCCTCACATCATAGTAAAGTTCAGTCCCACCATTTGTTAAGAAGAAAACCTGTTGATTTTCCAAGCTAAACATCAATAAAAAACAGTCTAAAAACATCATTCACAGATATATATGATGCATAAAAAATGTAGCTAGAGTCCTTACAGGATAGTTGTTCTGTAATTTCCTAAAAAGTTGAGCTGCATCAGGCTGAAAGCTGGAGAAGATTATGGACCTATCTTTAGCAAACTCAAATACCACCTTTCACATAATAAAATTCACAGCATATAAGAAGAAAATCCTTTCTCATATAAAGAAAAATTACATATAATTTTCCTCCTTCGATGTACCTGCAAGATGATTTGGAGAACATGGATGAGATGGTGTTGCTGATAAACAATATTGTCATCAAATTTCAACTCAATATTGAAACCTAAAGAAGGTTCAACTTTCTGGAAAGCTTCTTCCAATGTACAAAGTGAATCATCAGTTTCTACATTCCACTTAACAATTTTCCCATCTTTTGTTTTCCTCAACAAACATTTCCCCTCTTTCCCTGCTTCTCTCTGGGTTCCATAGCAAAGAAATTCTGCTAAACACAACTCTGTGACTCTCTTCTCAAACACAGTACCCTGGAATACCAAATTAATTTTCACAAACACAGTAGGAAAATGTAAAAAAACAAAGTAGTTTAGAAGATAAGAAAGAAAGTGTTACATACATTTTCTTCAGATAGGATGAAGTCGTCGTGGAAAATGACAGGGCAGTCGTCTTTTGTCACCTACAAAAAAAACACAATGGCTTTCTTTACTTTTGGAAAGCTAGTAAACGTTTTGGAAACGCGCTTGTAGGCACGTGGGGAAGAAAAAGAACCCACTTGATCCACCCATCCACTCAGATTAAGACAAAATGCCTTGTCGTAAGCGGTGAGCGTACGACGCCTACCGGCACAACAACGTGTTTCATGTGTTCTAACTTCAAAGATTTCGGTTCATTCAAAGACGACAACAAACAAACAAACAAAGAAGAAAAGAGAGGAGTTTTAATAAGAATTTGAATGGTTACCTGAACGTCAAACTCGATGAAGTCAATGGGAAATTTAGCTGCAGAGTTGAAGGAGAGAATGGAGTTTTCTTTAATGGCTGTCATTCTTGAATCAGAGCTTTGTACAATGTTCATCCCATGCCCCCTATGCCCTATTACCAAAAACTTTGGTATCTTAAACGATGCTGCCATTTTCAACTCCAACCCTAAACCAAAACGAAGAAAAACATATATTCATCGTTAGCAAAAACAAAGAACAACCCTGCAGATTAGAATGAAGATCAAGAAACAAGAAAGAAATGGTGCAATGTTGAACTTGAACGTACCTTGGGAACAACGGGTTGAGTAGAGAGAAAGTGAAGCTTTTTTTGCGACTTGGTCGAGGTTTGGAACGTTGGAGACATGAACAGCTGTAAGAGCCATTGTTATTGCTATAAGACATACAAAGACAGGGAAGAAGGGGGGATTGTTAGGAAGGATTTAGAGAAGGAGGGTGTGTATAGTGTTTACTAATGTTGTAGCCCTTCGTTTGGGTTGGTTGAGGAATTTTTTTAGAAGTTATTATAGCGATAGAATTAAAGATATATTTTTTAATAAGTAGAATTAAAGATATTTCAATGTATTATATTTGTATTTATGTACCAGATAAAAAAATTGAAAGTTGCACATTAAACCAAAAAAATGAATAGTTGTTATGTATAAAAAGCTTATACAATAACAAACTCTTTCAAAAAAAATTCAATCTAAAAAAACAACCATTCAAATTATAACAATGAAGGCATCAATTGTTACAGCCAATTATATATGTATATGGTAAGGTTATTTGAACATTTGATTTAATGATCCTGACATGATCTTTTGTTAAAAATAGAGTTTGAATCCTTTTCTCCAACTCAAAATATGGACTAATAATTTAGTACAACTGAATATGATTACATATATATGGAATATCAGCAGGAGGAAGGCAAATGATTTTTCACATTGCAGATATCAATCACTATATTTTGTGTACAGAAGAAACCAGAATAAAGATAGTCGTAAGAGTACAGCAGCACTATGAGGGATCAGGAAAGGAAAAAAACGAGAAAAGGAGAAAGAAAAAGAGGAGAATTGGTGAAAGGTGGATTGGTTTGCAAAAGTGTCATTGTTAGATTCAAAAGTTTCCAGCTTCCAAGCAATTAGGTTCTCCAAACAAAGGTAAAGCAAACAGCATCCTATGCTGTTCCCTATTGCCTAATAATAGTACTTTATAATTCCAGGAAAGAGAGGGATGCTGCCAAAATTCCCCTTTTTTCCCTTTCAGATTGGGGGGATTCGTCTCTTCAGGCTAGGTGGGTTTGAAACATTAAACAACTATTAATTTACATATCTAATAATTTCTTCCTTTTCTTTTATGGGTTCTGATCTTCTCTTCTTCAGCCAACTGGCTTCTGCCAATCCAGAGTTTTGAAAATGCATGCTCCATCTGAAATTTTCTTTTATAAATACCCAAGTTCAAAAGCAGCAAGATCTGTTTAAAGGACTTCCTTTAGGGCCTGATTTTAGGCCTCAATCCCAAAGAAAAAGGTTCTTGATGCCATTGGAGGGTTTGGTCTGGAGAGCCCAATAATGGGAACGACCCTTCTTATAGGGTCTAGGATCCAGTCTGTGAAAGCTGATCCTTGTCTACTAGGTGAAGCCCTTGAGGGACAGTCCAGTTCTCAGTTTTAGTATCATCTCTATAATCATGAACCTTGAGATTTCTCAATTCAAGCCGCACTTGATATTTTCATTTTGGTACATGAACCTCACTTTTTAAACTCAAATGCCAACGTGGCTGAAAACTTGGAACTCCTTTATTATTGTTGCCACTTGCCACCGTCACCTGCTTTCATGATCAGCATATTGAGAACTGGCTATCAGAACCAGATACGTAACACAACCGGCTATCATATATATATAGATATAGTCTGGCATTGTGATTGCGGTGGATTAAAGCACCCATCAATTGCTAGAAGCACATTAAATGACACAAATCTCGCAGGCAAAACATCTCAAGTTCTCTGTTATCAGGCTGTGTAAATACCAGTGATCTGAGGGCATTGGGTGATGCTAATGCTAAGTTCCGTCCTGCCTTTGCGTACATGTATCCCTCAAGCCCACCAAGGCCACCAGTTCCCTGCGGCTGACCCTTGTTGCCTTTAGCTTCACAATTTAGATTGAAACCTGAAAGTAACTGTTAAACTGTGCCCAATTGCCAATGGGGCCAGAGGTTTTTAAACACATGGGGGATGCAAGAGCTATAGGACACTAGCTACCCTACTTTGTGCATGCATTGCCCAATGTGCCCCATACCCTAAACCCAACGGCTACTTTGGAGTTCAAAACATTTGGAAAATAAATAAATAAAAATTCCCACCATTTCCCCTGCCCCTATGATCTATATATATGGTTACCATTTCCAGGAAGTCTAGTATAGTTTTCAAGGTCTAAAAAACTCACTCTCGAGGACAATAAGTGTAAAAACAAAAGAAAGAAAGAAGCAGAAAGATGAATAAAATAGAATAGGAAAAAAAAAGATGAAATACATTAAGTATTAAAAGAAGAAGGTGATAATAAATGAGAGGGAAGGAAGATGAGGAAGAATGCAAGGGAGCATTAATGGTGAAGACAAGGGCATTAAATATTTGCTGAGAGCGTAACTTAATTGCTTGCGTTTATCGCTGCAATTGTCTGTTCGTCCTCTAACACTCTGTGTGCCTTTCATCGCTAAACCCATCTGCCCCTCTCTCTTTCTTATCTCCTGCAACCCACACCCCCAGATCCCATTTAATGCCCATTGCCCTATCTTTCTCTCTCTTGCTGCAGTGATTAATAAATGTCAAGGGTGACAATTTATATAAAAATTATACTCCATCATGCAAAAGTCATCCAGGAAAACAAGAAAAAGGGAGAAAAAAAATGAAAAACCATGGTTTTACAAAGGCCAAAAACACATTTAGCGGACAACCCAAGAGATAAAAACATGCAAGAAATGCTAATAATGGGTTAATCACTTGATATTAGAAAAGATGATCTCTTTGGCTTTACTTCGTTAATTGTAGATTCATCAACTCAGAACTGAGTTGGTCAGAGATTGGCTGTGACTTATGGAACAGTACTGAGCTGGCTGGTGATGAGACCTCAGTTGATCCTATTTCCATGGACATTGAACTAGACGGAGAAGCAGCAGTATTTAGGCTTGTTGAGGGGATTGATCCTATTTCCTGGGGTCTGTTTGGTGATGGTGGAGCTGCACAAACTGGAATCACTGATCTGATTTTAACTGCTGGGGCAATCCTATGTGGGTTAAACCCTCCAGTGTACATGTTCCGGGCCATTGTAGGTGTCTTGACAGAAGTTGGTGTCATTTGCGATGGATTTGGAGACCCAAAAATCCTGCTGATAATCTGGTTTGCTTCAGTTCTTGTTGCGCTGTCATGCTTGCAAGTATTGGGTTTCCCAGTACTGGATATCGGAACTGGCCTGTATATAGAAGTACTACTACTAGTATTTGCCCCAGAGACGTTACTATTTGAAACTAAATTGCTAGAACTTGAACCTTCCTTTTCAATGTACTTGTTGATGACACGATCTTGTTTGACACCAAGCCATTCTTCCTCATCCTTTAGATGTTCTTCAAGTGGAGGAGGCAGAATAGGTCTATTAGATGAATGGTTAAATGGACTGTCCCTTGGTGGAGTTGGTGGTAAGATCTTTGAAGCTGTTCTAGGTGGGGGTGGAGGAAGGAGAGATACAAAGCTGTTTTGTTTTTGTGTTGAACCATCCAAGGTTGAATCCATTAAGAGATCCATAAGCCTCCATTGTTGATGAATCAGAGAGTTACCAGAGGTGGAAGAAAATGGAGCCCCGATGTCCCTGTTACCCCTGACCACTCTTCTTTTTCCTTGGTTGTAATCCCTCCTCCTAAATTGTTTGCTGTCATCCTTTGGCCTGAAGCTTGAGAGGACTCTTGACACAACTGCCTGATCCTGATCCTCACGATTGTCGGCTTCTTTATTTGTCCATGAATCCAAGGTTGGCACTGTACAAATATGTTCAATAAACACCCGCTATTATACAAATACTAACATAAGACAATAATCTAAAATTAGGAATGGAATTTTACTTCTTTTCAAGGCAGACCAGGCTGCAATTGCTGCATTCTTCTCAGCTTGCTTCTTCGTTTTGGCTGGTTCACCCGTGAAATTCATACCGGCAAGCTCCACAGTGCAAGTGAAGGTTGGGACATGACCAGGACCTGATCTTATAGTGGTGTACGCAGGGAGGTTAAGCCCAGCTCTATGAGCAGTTTCCTGAAGGAGGTTCTTATAAATTCCGGTCTCATCCTTCATTGCATTACAAAAGCAAGGAAACACGATGAGACATATTAATCTAAAGAGAGACAAAAGGGTGTGCTTTAATCTCGTCGACCATCAAGAAAACTACCGAACAAAAAGCTAATTAATATGTAAACGAACTCACAAGAACTCTTGCAGTGAGAGACCTTGAAGGCCCCCTTGCAGACAGAATACTGAGAGCTACCTCTGCAGCAGCATGCTCAGCCTGTCTCAGTGTAGGGCAGTAGCTTGGGCTTTCAAAGATCTCACCATTGAAGTTCACAGACGCTTTAAATCTTGGTGCATGATCAGGTCCTTCTCTGATGCAGGCATAAGAAGGGAGATTAAAACAGCTTCTTTGTGCAAGTTCCTGCAGTTGATTCTTGAACATATCTGCCATTAAAGCAAACCATCCAACATAAAGCAATTAAAACCCAGATGAAAATCCATATCATTCCCATCAACCTAGAAAGCTAAAAGGAGATTAAAGGGCCAAAAAGAAACCGACCTGATAAAAAAAAATATGAAGCTCAATGAACTCAACTGCTGAAAACAAAGAGAGTTAGGGAACTCACCTACTTCACCTGATTTGTCCCTCCAACATGAGTATGGGAGTTTTATCTCCCAGGACAAAAGTATCTGATGTAATGTAATCCGTCCAGAAGAAATGGAAAGGTGACTTAGTTAAGTGAAATTTGTTAAAAATGAAAATTCATGTTGAGCTGACAGGCAGCATTGGCCTTGGGTTCTACTTACTACTAGTCTACTACCATCCGCCTAGCTGTTTTCTAAGTAATTTAAAAAGAAAAACTACCCATAAGAAACAGTATTGCAAGACAGTTTTTAACCGGGAACTTTCCCAACACAGCACAGTTTCTAGCAATCAGTAACCAAAAACCGGTTGATAAAATTAGGAGAGGTGCCCAGACAATTTAGCCCATTAAAGGTAAAGTCAAATTACAGAACTCTCCCTGTTTCTCTGATTGTAACTGAACATTGAAAGTCTTGAGATGAGATTTATAACAAAATAAAACTACCTTGCTGCTGGTCCAGGCTTTTGTTGATTGGACAGTTACCCCTTTTAATTTTACTTGTAGATATTTTCTAAACTTGTAGGTGTCGCGGCTTCGAAACGAGTGTCAAAAACCTGAAATCAGAAAGAGAGAGAGAGAGAGAGAGAGAGAGAGAGAGGTTCTAAGGTTGGTACGAAGAAAGTCGGAATGAGAAAAAAAATATGAATGAAAGAATAGAATAAGAATGAATGATAATATTGAATGTTTTTATTTATGTACGTAAAGTGAGGGGTTAATGGATTAAAATAATGATGTAATTAAGTTAACGTGATATTGTATATATTAAATTAATTAAAAATTTTAAAATATTTTTAATTATCTACTCATAACTTTTAATAAAAAAAATAATCGATGTCCTTTGAACTCAAAATATCCTTAAAATAAATATCGTCGGGTGCTGCATCTTACCAAGTTATTGTGCTAATGTGAGCATCAGTCAGATTGCATTGCAATGGAACTGGCTCCCTATATCTTCTTTTTCTCCTACTTTGACATTGAAAGTTATATTTATCTGGATTTTATAGTAATTCGCAAATAGTTAAGTATTATGTAAAAAAAAAAAAAAAAAACCCAAAATGACTAACAAATTGAATATTAATGCAAAAGTAAATAAACAAAATAAAGCTGATCAAAGATTGCATTAATTGGCAGCTAAGCTAAGTATAAATCAGTATAGCCAGGCCCCACATTAATTCTGTATCTTGTTACCATAATGTCATTGATGAGGGTGGTGTTTGTGTTTTTCTATTGGAAACTTGAAAGAGGTTTTGTAATTGGCAGTACAGAAGAACTGTTTCAAGTCATCCAAGCTTTAAGGCTTCATAGATATGGAGACAGATGTTAAGTTAGCTGTTTTATGAATCGCACTTGTACACGGCCATTCATGCTCTGTGACATTAGGAGAGTGCAACTAATACCTTTAATTCTGATGTGGAACGTTTTACATGACATGGCATTATTTAGAATTGAAACTTGGGATTTTAATTTTGACTGGTCTTTCAAGTCAGAATTAGCAACTTCCAAGTCACATGTTTCTAATTAATACTAGTATGCTTCCACTTCTTAATTTCGTTTTGGTTGAGGTTTGAAAGAAGAGAAGCCTAACTAGAATTTGATTGCCATGACCAGTCTTTCTTGTTGACCCAATTTACTTAATTCAGTGAGAGCCCATCAGCCAGTAGCACACATCAAAGTACCCAGAGGTGAAATGAGCACTATAAGACACTAAAATGAATCCACAAGGTCAATACAATTAGAAACCAACTAATTCCACAAATACAAAATCAAAACTGAAAAAGCTCACTCTTATACAACACACCAGTTCTTCGTCAAAGAACAAGGGCCCAACCAACACTTTCAAACACCCTGCCGAAAACAAATGTCCCCATAATGCACATGATTGAAGGAGGAAGTCGAGGAACATTAGCAATCAAACCCTTTTCCGTATCCTACAGTCAATATCACAGCATTGGTTATGTCTGGCGATTATCAGTTGTCAAGCTGCTGCTGCTACTCCCAACAGCTCGATTTGGTTCCCCCACTCTAGCAGCCAAAGCAAGAACTTCCGGTGACATTTCCCAGCTACCACTTTTTCTCCCCCAACTAGATCTCCTGGGATGTATAACAGCACGGTCACCTCTGTCATCTACTGTAGTTCTAATATCTGGAGACAATTCTCCTAATTCACCCTCCTTAACATTTACACGGTCACTTGTAAGTTGCCCTTCACAATGATTAGTGCCAGCCCCCATATCGGCCCACACTGTCTTCCTACCCATTTCTATGTCATCCACCGTCTTCCCCATATTTGGACTCATAAAACCACCAGCTCGTGTTGGTAACACAGGTTCCCTGGGCACCTTTGCCCTGAAGTTGTTCTTGGATAAGGGAATGCTAGAACAAAATATCTCCTTGAAGTTCTCAACCACACCTTTGTTATAGGGGTTAGCTCGGCGATCATATCGATACCTGAAATTCTCATATGTTGTCTGCAGAAGCAAGACATACAGATAGTTACACCAATCTAACAAATAAAATAATGTAACAGTACATTAATGGACTCTTTTCTGCAACATGATTTGATAAGAGAAGGATGAGTATCTTACCTGGTTTGTATTGATCAGATACAAATGGAAGGCAGTCAAACCACCAACAAACCACATTGAGATGAAAGTGTAAACTATTAAAACACTGGAAGCTGGAGTTTTAATCATGGCTCTCCAAATTGTTGTCCCCTCTGATGCCATGATCCTTCTAATGTAGACCCAACAGAATGCAAAAACATATATACAAAGAAGGGTTGTCGAGAAGACAAACATGAAGAAGAACCGGTAATTTCGCTGTACATGAAAATAAAATAACTGTGAGTGCTAGACAGAATGAGAAAGAGAAAATCAGAAAAACATCAAATCAATAGCAATTTTAACCACTATTAATCAGAAACTTTTGCAACCATTAACATGTATTTGCTAATCTAAGTTCTTAAATGGATATGAAGACCATGCTTTTGTCACGGACCTAAAGAAGAGTCCTGAATCCCACATCGAACATAATAGGAAGGTCCCTGAGGTATAAAAGGATTCACACCACCTTCACCTTGTAAAGCATCTTTTGTAGGACAAAACCGTGAAGTCAGGGGAGCCAGAGCGGACAATACCTCACAACGGTATAAACCGTGACGGGAAGACTGATCTGCGACGCCGGAAGGGTGAATGCCTGGGTCCCGGAGCCGCGCGGGTTCGGAGCTTAAGTCTCGACCCGTGACAAGTGGTATCAGAGCCAACCCTAAACCGTTCGATCCACGCCAAGCACCTCAAGGGAGGCAGGCAGGATGGTCAACCTCCGTGAAGAGGGCGTCACGAGGTTGGGTGCGGGAGAATGTCACGGACCTAAGGAAGAGTCCTGAATCCCACATCGAACATAATAGGAAGGTCCTTGGGGTATAAAAGTGTTCACACCACTTTCACCTTGTGAGGCGTCTTTTGTAGAACAAAATCGTGAGGTCAGAGGGGCCAGAGCGGACAATACCTCACAAGGATGTGAACCGTGGCGGGAAGGCTGATCTGGGACTCCGAAAGGGTGAATGCTCGGGTCCCGGAGCCGCACGGGTTCGGAGCTTAAGTCTCTACCCGTGACAAGTGGTATCAGAGCCAGCCCTAAACCGTTCGATCCACGCCAAGCACCTCAAGGGAGGCAGGCAAGGTAGTCAGCCTCCGTGACGAGGGCATCACGAGGTTAGGTGCGGGAGAATGTCACGAACCTAAGGAAGAGTCCCGAATCCCACATCGAACATAATAGGAAGGTCCTTGGGGTATAAAAGGGTTCACACCACCTTCACCTTGTGAGGCGTCTTTTGTAGGATAAAATCGTGAGGTCAGGGGGGCCAAACCAGACAATACCTCACAAGGATGTGAACCGTGGCGGGAAGGCTGATCTGAGACGCCGGAAGGGTGAATGCCCGAGTCCCGGAGCCACGCGAGTTCGGAACTTAAGTCTCGACCCGTGACACTTTCGGCTTTCTAGCATACCTATTTTTCACTGAATGACTGAACTCAAAATAATTGCAATGTGTAAGTAATACAAGCAAGTTGAACATTTGTCACTTTGAACTTTGTCCATACAGTTTTGACCTCCACAAGGAGAACTAAGGATGGGAATATATACAAAAACATGTATCATCCTGTTCATCTCCAATTGTGTTATCCAACCCACAACTAGTAATACTAAAATCTCTAAACACCAATTAGCAAAATGCAACATAAAAGAAATGGAAACACAGGCACAAAATGAAGGCTTCTTGTTTTTATCTTTTCCATTTCCTTTGGATGATGAGAGAGAAAATCCTTCTTTGGATGTTCAAGAACAGGACATAATTCTAAAGAAAATGATGACATACCAGTCCAATACATTGCCCAACCCAAGGACAGTGATGATCAAATCGTTCTACACAGTTATTGCAGATTGAACAGTGTGAGCAGCGAGGAGGTCTATAAAGCATGCAAGTGTCACAATACTTGATCTTCACAGTGATTCCATTGACCTCCACTTCTTTAATGCGTGGCAATCGTAACTGTGGAGTTTGACCAGCCCCAACATCTGAATTCCCATCGAAACCTTCTGGCTCCGGGGGGTGTGCATTGCACGGAATTATACCAGGATCTCTTCCGGATGCTAGCAGTAGAAGAACTAAATCCTGAAAGAAGAAACAAACATCTTTATGACCTTCAAGATCTGTTTCAGAGAAATCACATAGAATTCTCCAAAATTCTAACAAATGCATGATAAATTGTGTAAAAACGAGGGGAATTTTTTGTTTTGCACATTAAGACACCATTTGAATCTTTTGAAACAAGGTAGCCATGTCCATGGCCATCCAGAAAAATCAGGCTAACTGGCACTCAAGGCAACTGTGAATGCCATTTGCATCAATAGTCCAGGCGGTAAAACACTCTCAACACATCATTGCTTAGGATGAAAGTGCATGGTTGATAAGCCAAGAGACCAGTTGTGTATTTAGGACCCCTTAAGGACAAACTAATAGCAATAAACGAGATTGCAAATTATAATAGACTTTATGTGGTAGAAACCGTAGAATTCCCTTGCACTCTTGTACCATTCGTAAATTCAAACTTGATCAATACTGCTATCCCACTATCCATGCTGTACTAAACTATCATATAAGCTATGATCATGAAAACTTACAAATTTGTGCCAACATAGCTAACCATTAACAAAAGGGGGCCTATCAACCATCTGGTAAAATGGTAAATGTCATGAACCAACACTAAATGGAAAAAATGTTACCGTTCCTAGAAACCCCACTTCAGTGGGACCGTAATATACATCATCTTCCCATCAAGTGAAAAAGAAAATCCAAAGACGACAACTCATTCAAACATGAAATTGTAAAGAGACTTACATAGACAGTGAAGACAACGGCAACAACCATGATTGAAATACCCCAGTGATGAGGAAAGTCATCCATCAATTTCCTGGCAACAAACACACAGAAAATGGACACCGGAGCTACTATAAGTAAAATAGTTAGCCCTAATGATTTTACATCTGGTCCAAATATAAGCCTCCCTTGAAATAAAAATATCTGCAAAAAAAAAAAAAAATTTAATGACTTGCAAAATTCATGGATAAAAATTGTCTTTTTAATCACTACATATAACAAAAATTAATGTGCAAATAAAACGGAAAGAGGGAAATGAATGATTTTGAATTCTGAAAAAGGAAATAGGATCCAAATCCCCCCCAAAAAGGATAAAAATAGTAAAAAAAAAAAAAAGAGGAAAAGTTTACATTTCTGCCTTTCCAAGTTTGGTAAACCCGTAAATCACCCGACCCGCCGCCGGAGGAACCCGGATTCGATCGCTGCGGTGGCGGCACCACATACATCTCTCTCTTTTACCCTCACTCTCAGAAAAAGTAAAAATAAAAAATTAGCTTTCGAGGGAAAAGGAAGGAGCTTTTAAGTTGAGAAATGTAAGGCCATGGGAGGACTGAGTAAGGACGGGGGGAGTTAATAGAGTTCCGGCAAGTCGGGGACGAGTCAGGGACAAGGCATGAGCTTTTAAAAACAATGGTGGGAGTTTTTTTGTGGGTTTTCCTTTTTGTGTTTAGATGAACAGAGATTCTTGATTGATTGTTCTGTATCTGATTCGGAGCTTTTCAGTCAGGAATGTGACGTGGCCATTTGTAATTGGGCAGTGATTGAGTTTGACCGATTGTGGTGGGTAACCCACAAGTACCAACCAGTGTGATGTGAGGCCCGGCTGGACCCGGTTCGCTTTTGAAACTTACTTAAATTCACCTTCGTATAATTACTCTGTTATATAATATAATAAATAGATGAATAATTCAATATTATTTAATAATAAATTCATGCAACACCCATGATTCCATGCATGCACCCCTCTCGCTGAAATCCAAATACAAAATTAACATTGGAATTTGCTAAAGTCAAGTGGGTCGTTTTCTCTTTTGGACTTTAGCAAGCAATTTGTTCAACTCTAACCTCATCTCTCTGACGGAGATGTTTAGCGTGGGTGATTTATATAAAGTTTCGTGTTAATTTAAATAAAAAGTATAATTATAATTTTTTTTTTGCAAATTATTAATAATGGATTCATCCAAAGTGGTATTTGAGCGTTTTAAAGAAGTAGAATTTATGTCTCTCATTGAATTGATTTTTTATATCGAAATATTTAAATATGTAAAGTTTTACGTTAATTTAAATTAATTAATTTTGAGTTAATTACGTGCTTTGTGTTTAATAAAAAACCTCATTTTTTTCATAATTAATCCATAAATCACATCTTAATCGTGCTTTAAAAGGGTAATTAAATTTGTACAAAGGGTGGTTATCAGATGAAATGAACCCATTGGTTTAACCATAGCCGACCATGACTTGAAGAAAGCATGAAAATTATTGAAAAAAAAAAATCATTCATCATCAAATTGAAAGATTTCGAGGAATTTAATAATAATAATAATATATGATAGCTGGAAATACTGATTGAAAATTGAAAAAAAATGAAGATCTTAATGCCAAGATCACATGGACGATTCGCTTACTTGTTCCCCAATTTAAATGGTTCAGTCACTTTCACCAATTTTTTCAAGTTTGATTTTCTTGGGCATGACATGAAGAGTACAGGTAAATGCAATTTACTAATCAAATCAATTCTTGAGAATTTTTGCACTTAATCTCATATTTTTATAATTTTAATGACATTTTTTTTGTATCAATTTGGTGTATTAATTTTTTTTTTACAAAAATAATATCATAATTAATGAATGAAATTTTTTTAATCAATCAGATTGACTTAACCATACGAATATGATGACATGATCCTGCACTAACCCATTCAAAGTTAAATCCTTATTTTAATTTATGAAAAAGGTAAAATAGTATGAAGTTGATATTAACTTGAATTAAAACTTATGTCTCAAGAATAATAAAACTACTCAGTTTGACCCTAACTTGGTTCGTTCAATAATTTCATCCCAAAAAATGGAAAACATTAGGGTGACTTCACAAATAATTCTATATCTTAGAATAAATTTTATTTGCTAAAGATGGTTCCATGGACTAATGGTTAAGCATTATGGACTTTGAATTCCAAACTGTACATTTATTCCATCTTGTTGCTATTGCTTCAATTATAATATGAATCAAAGCTACTTATGAGCTTAATTGGAACATCCATTAGTGTAATCAAGATTTCATAATTGACAGACTTGAAAAGAGCAGGATATGGATGTTTCATTTACATGAAAGATGAAAGGATAGTTTCATTTACAGGTAATAAGTTAAGAACATCAAGTTATGGAAGTTATATTATTGAGTGAGTCAACAAGGAATTTACCACTAGATCAGAGACAACTGCAAACCCATCCCCATATGGTCACCTTATATTGTATTCTAACTAAGAATTCAGAAAAAGCAAAGGCATGTAGTTCAAATTTAGGCTTCTAATCTTTGTATCTTCTTGCACAATTCCATTGGGATTTGTGGATGATCAATCTCTGCAAAGAGAGATGTTGTAAATGCAGCCAGAGTTTCAACAATGACATGAGAATTCTCTGGCCATGTTTGAGCAATTCAACTCTTCCACATTGCATTGGTACCAGTTGCTCAACTTATGATCCAACTTGATCTTTGTGCACCCATCTGGAGGAAAAGATTATAAAAGATCAATGGAAAATAAATATAGTTTGTTGGAAACCATTGCTGCTTAAACTAAATATACAATGTTCCCTGCAAAACAATAGAAATAAGTTACAAATAATTTCTGGATTTTTTACCTGTTTGATCCATCAGAAACATTTTCTGCAGTCTGTCGTCTTTTTTCTCTCCAACTCTCTCCCCACATCTTGGCCTCAGCAACAGCTGGCTCTCTGTCAAAATCCCTGTCTAACATCCTGGCTGTTTCCTTTGGAGAGTCGTTGTTCTCAGGCCCCTTTGACACTAATCCTTTTAGCTTCATTGGGGTTATATGGATGAGAAGTCAAATAATTTAGAGCAAGGACCACATCATTAATAGAGGGTCTGGAATTAGCATTTTCTTGGATGCCCATAAAGGTGACCTCTAGAGCCTTCTTCAATGTAGATTTGGAAAAGTGACCTCTCAGCAGTGGATCCGCAAAGTTCAAAATGTTCATTCCATCTTTCAACATAGGTCATGCCTACAAAATAGTATACACACACACACACACACACATTGACAGGTCAGAAAACTCATTGCTAGAAAGTATATTTAAAAAGGAGAAACAAATTAATCCAACTGAATTCTAGGAACATCCCCATATTGAAAATTCAAAAAGCATGGATTCTTCAGCATGAGTGCCACAGAAAAATGCATATCCACTCTTATTCTTACTTGGCCACTTCAAATGTAAATATGGTGCACTTCAAGTTTATGTCTAATTGCATTATGTAATTACCGTTCAATAACCAAGCTGCATTTAGGAACACATATTCAGCAAAAACTATACTGTTAAAGTCAGGGTGCCATGCAGGAAAAAAATACATTCTTACGAGTCCCAGCAAATTAAAAGCAACTAAATTCAGTGATCATGAAAGCAGACCAGTACATAGGGTAAAGCCATAATTAAAGATACCTTGGTTAGTTATTAATCCTTAAAGAGCTGACCAGTAGAAGTTCGCATCTTCTACATCATGTGAAGTGACATTCAAGCCAACTTTACTAATAAATCTTTGTATGGCCAAGTATAAATAACATTTCTTTGGGGAACAATCATAAAGTAGAACAGTTTCAGCCAAATGGAAATATAGATTACGTGAAGTATTTACCCAATCAACAAGGAACTGTTCTTCATGAGCACGGCTATCATCAAAAGCTTTACGTCCAGTAATCAGCTCCAACAGGACTACCCCAAAACTAAAGATGTCAGACTTCATAGTCAATTTCCCACTATTGAGGTACTCAGGGGCACAGTAACCATGGGTTCGCATGATCCTAGTGGAAACGTGTGATTTATCTCCACTTGGACCAAATTTTGCAAGCCCAAAATCAGAGAGTTTTGGGTGGAAACCCTCACCTAATAGTATGTTAGATGATTTTAAATCTCTGTATATAACAGGAGGACTGGCTTCAGTGTGAAGATATTCCAGACCTTTGGCTGCACCAGCAGCTATTGTCATTCTTGTATTCCAATCCAAAGGTTTCTGATCAGGTGTAATATCTGCAAAAATCATTGCTTATCTCTTTATGTTACCAAAAAGATGTAGAAACAAGGGCGTCATTTGTAGGAATAGAAACTCAAAATGGTTTCTAGAAAGATGCAGAAACATAGTCAGGATATTAACTGTCAACACAGTAGGACTGAACTAGTAGGAAAAGAAACCCAAAAAGGTTTTTGAAGCTGTTATAGTGAGTGAGTGAGTTTCTTTGAGACCCATTGTGGAGGTCTGAATAGAACCAGTGAAGTGATTTCTAACAAACGAATTCTTTTACAAGATTAAAGGAAAAGGCATGAAAATATTACGATGCAGGTGATCTTCCAAGAATCCCTGCTGCATGTACTCATAGACAAGAAGGCGTTGATCCCCTTCAGCACAGTAACCAATCAAATTGACAAGTTAGGGTGGCATAGAAGAGAAAGCATGAGAACTTCGACAAGGAACTCCTTTTCCCCTTGGAGCCCAGTCTTATCAAGTTGCTTAACAGCTACAAGCTGCTAACAACCACAATGCATGTGATTAAGAAGGAAATTGGGAAATAGGGAGGAACAAAGTTCCAGGCTGGAAATTCGAAAATGTACCTGACCAGTACCTTCTAATTGCCCTTTATAAACAGCCCCAAATCCACCTTGCCCAATCAAGGATTCTTTTCTAAAATTTTTTGTTATGGTTGCTAGTTGTCTATAGGTAAAAGTCTGAGCTCTATTGCCAGCATTAGGCTGGCTCATTTTTTGGAGCTGATGATTCCCATCTTAAGTCTGTACCACTTTTTGATCCTACTGAAGCAAATCCTGTTTTTGTTTAGGCATGGTTAGATGGCCTGAATATATATCATGCCACTTTGGTTAACAAGTAAATGTCAGAGATCTTTTAAACTCAAATTTATTTAGGTGTAAAGATGTGTGCTACAGAAACATATTTTGAATCCAAACTGCTTGGCTGGGATGTAATAGACTAGTCCTCTGAAGTTAAGCCACCTTTGGAATCTTATTAACCAGTTTCCAAAACATCTCCAATTAGCTTGATTCATCTAGGAAAAGAAACCAAGTAAAAAGAAAGCAGTAATGACAAATCTTACAAGTTACTGACTCAAGCAAGATATAGTAAAAGCAAAAGCCAAGGCAGAATCAGCTTAAATTCACATGATTTCAACAATAAACACTTCTATCTTGCACAAAGCCAAAACTTTATCCCAAGTTCCCAACTAAGCATTAAATCTTAAACCCTTATATCGCTTCGGCTAATCATTCTATAAGCAAACAAATGGATTAAGCAATCTTAACTAATTAAACAAATCATATTAAATCAAGATAAACACAAACGTATGTAAACTCAAAAAAGAAACTGGAAAACAACAAGAATGAGGCATATGCAACAAAAAACGCAACAAAAAACACAGGAAAAGAAAACAACTGCATGAAAGAAACTTACCAGAGGATAATTGAGGCTTGCATTTCTTGCCAAGTTCTTTTTTCTCACCACTCTTCGGCTTCTCAGCTTTCCTCCGACCAAAACAGGGGCAAAAACCCATTTGCTCTTGATCAATCAAAATCCAATTAAACCAAAAGCTTTCAATTTTTTTTTTCTCTTGTGAAAAAGCTTTGAACTTTAACGAGAAAAAACTTCACTTGACAATAAAAAGTTAAAAACTGATCTGGGGTTTTGGCCTTCCGTGTTGATTTCATTAAAACAAGAAACAAAACAACCCTTCATCCACATGAGAATTGGGAACATCAAAAGATTCTTCAAAAACAATGCTGTTTAAAGCATTAAATTTAATATTAAAATTAACATAACATTTAATAAAAAAATATATTTTATTTTTAATATTTCAATACAAATTATTATATAATTATTTTTATATTTTATATATTTAATACGAAATAAACATAATAAATTATCACGCATAAAACTGAGAATCATGAATTTAAAATTGTAAAATCCATTTCATGAGATATGCTGCCATAATAGCTAACCCATCAAATGATTTTCAAATTTCATGTAACTTTCTAGGAATTATAATACATTTATTTGCTTTATTTGTTTCTTTACTCGTTTGGTTAAGAACACAACTGGTCCTATTATCCCTTTTATGGTTAAAATATTAAAAAAAATTAATTATTTTATTTTTTAAAATAAATCACTATTTTTTATTTGTTGAAACCTATCTTTCAAGTTTGAATGATTATACTAAAGAAAATGAAATACAATTTGACTCGGATGAAAACGCTTCAAAAATTTTAAAGTAAGAATTCGAATTCTATTATCTCCTCCTCTATCTCTATCTATTAAAAAAAAAAATCATGTTTAAGTGATTTTAACCGCTCTATGAATAAATAAAGAATTTAGGAAAATGGGATCTCCTGTAATCTGATCAACCTATTGAAAAAGAAAAAAAAAATCCATCGTCCTCATATATATATATATATATATATATATGTATACAACAGTTTTCACTATATGTTTCTTAAAAGGTAAGAAAAAAATTTAAAAAATTTAAAAATTAATTTAAAATTATAATATTTATTGTTGTTTGGATTGATTTTTATTTTATTTTATTCGAATTAAAGTTAAATATTAAATATAAATATTAGATTAGAATTTGATTTAGGAGATGAGAAATTAAAAAAGAAAAATTTAACCGAAGTTTTTATATATTTTTTTAAAATTTTATAAAATAAAAATAATAAATTTATATTAAATTTTATCTAAATATATTAAAATAATATATAAAAAATTAAAAATCAATAAATCAAATCAAACCAAATTTAATATAATTTTATTTGATTAGGATTAAATAAAAATTTAATTTAAATTTAAATCAAAATTTAAAATTTTATAATATTATATAATATCTTAAAAAATTAAAATGTATCCGATCCAATTTGAATGATAATTACCCCTATTTATCTCGGAACTTTGACTGCAACGAAACGGAGCCGATTGTTTTCATCTGTTGTTCCAAAACCTGAGAGTTGTACACAATGTTGTTCCAACCTATGAATTATATATCGCGTGGAATGGGAGATTGCCAGAGGCCCTCCCACCAAGCCGAAGGAAGAAGAACTTAAACCAAAAAAAAAAACTTAACAATTACTAGTAGTTAGCTTGTTAATTACTTCAAACTCTATCGACTTTGACCTGTTTCCATGCAACCCAAGTAGAACTGAACTGTACTTATTTTTGGTTGCAAGAAACAATCACCGACCTGTTTCTTCTTGAATCATGCGACTGCTTATCGTCATCATCATCATCATCATCATCATCAAATAATCAATTGAATAAACTCATAAAACGTGTTGATTTCAACGATTCTGTTCGTGTATTATATATAATATATGGTGGTTTGATTCATAATCTAATAAGGCACCTAATATAATTACTAAAAAACCAAGCTTAAAAAACCGATGAAGCAGGAGAAAAGAGATCGTGGGAAGCACAAATAAGGTGCTAAAACAGGTTAATGGTCATTGGTCAACCCTCCTAAAAACAGATAAAACACCAAAACAACTCTCTCCCTATCCAATTCCACAAGAATTTTCCGTCCCTACATTTCCCCCACTACGACCATTTCTATTTTGATTCATGGAAATCAAAAACTCGGAAAAAAAAATTGCAAAAAGAATATACAATAACACGAATTTTCTTCAAACCTTCAATTTTGTTTCCTTTCCTTAACATTTTCTGGTTTCTTTTTTTTTTTCCCTAAAAGCTTAGCCATGGAAACGAATCACCAGCCTGAAAAGTCTTTAAGTTTTAACAAAGGAGACGGCGACGGCAAGAACTCCGACGCGAACAATACATTGCCTGCGATGGATTCACCAAAGTCTTCCAACGAAGAGTCGTCAGCTGCAGCTGAGATAACCGAGGTAGAGATGGAGAAACCAGAGGAAGTGAAGATTGGAAAAACTGAAATTGAAGAGACTGGAAAGGCTGAAGAGAAAGAAAATGAAGGAGGGGAACTAGGAGAATCTTCTCCTTCACCTGAAGTCAAATATACCCTGGAAACAGCCTCGGAAGATATTGATCGTTTCTTGTCAAGTCGCTCCACCCCAAAGGAGGAGGAGGTTGAGGCAGGTTTAGAGATTCCAGAGTTTATTGACAAGTATTTGGATCTTGTTGAAGAGAAAATATTTAATCATGAATCGCCTGACACAAAAGTGAAGGCGTGTCAGCTTGCCGAGGATGATGTGTCGTTTCTTAAATCTGTGGACCAGATATCAAAGCTGTACAAAAATCTATCTGCAGTCTTCAAATTGGATTCCGACCAGGGCCCTTTGATCAACCGCATTGGTAGAATTCAACAGCGAGCTATGTCTTATTTGGAGGATGAATTCAGGTCTCTCATGGAAGAGTCAAGAATCGTGGAACCTGATCAGAAACAGGAGGTTGCAGATCAATGCCATGTGCCTGATCAAGATCAATCTGTTGAATCAAATGAGGAATCCAACTTTCCAGGGTATTCTCAGGAAGTTTTGGCCAACTTGAATAAAATTGCCAAGGAGATGATCTCAGGAGGACATGAATCCGAATGCTGTGAGGTTTACATGATCACCAGGAGGAATGTAATTGAGGAGACCTTGAACAAGCTAGGTTACGAGAAGATTAGTATTGATGAAGTTCAAAAGATGCAATGGGAAGTATTGGAAAGGGAGATCCCTCAATGGATCAAGGCAGTCAAACAATGTGCCAATGTGTACTTCTCTGGCGAGCGCAAGCTCGCTGAAACAATCTTCTCCGATTATCCTTCCTTATCTGATAGCCTCTTCAGCAACCTTACACGTGGCGTGTTCATTCAACTTCTGAATTTCGCTGAAGCTGTTGCCATTAGCAAGCGTTCCACGGAGAAACTCTTCAAATTTCTTGACATGTACGAGACCTTGCGAGATAATCTTTCCGGTATTGATAGTATGTTTCCTGAAGAATGCGCCAAAGAGCTCAGGGCAGAAACAACAACGGCTCGTTGTAGGATTGGCGAGACTGCGATTTGCATTTTCTGTGATCTTGAGAATTCAATTAAGTCTGATACAGGGAAAATCCCAGTTCCTGGTGGGGCAGTTCATCCATTGACCCGCTACACAATGAATTATCTCAAATATGCATGTGATGAGTACACGGAAACGTTAGAACAAGTTTTCAAGGAGCATTCCAAGATTGAAAGAGCTGATTCAACAAGTAGGCCCCAGAATTACGAAGGCAACTCAGAAAATTACAACAACGATGAAGAAAATCACTCCCCATTTTCCTGTCAGTTGATGAGAATCATGGATTTGTTGGATTCGATTATGGAGGCAAAATCCAAGCTTTATAAGGACGTTTCCTTGAGATGCATTTTCATGATGAATAATGGACGTTACATGCTGCAGAAGATCAAAGGATCAGCGGAGATCCATAAAGTGATGGGGGATACGTGGCGCCGCAAGAGATCATCTTATCTTAGGAACTACCATAAGAATTACCAAAGAGAGACTTGGACGAAGCTTTTGGGTTGTTTAAGCAATGAGGGACTGAGTGTGAACGGGAAGGTGGTGAAACCGGTCCTGAAAGAGAAATTCAAGAGCTTTAATGCCATGTTCGACGAAATTCACAAGACTCAGAGCCTGTGGGTGGTGAATGACAAGCAGCTGCAATCAGAACTGAGGGTTTCGATATCATCAGTGGTGATTCCAGCCTATAGATCATTCTTGGGAAGGTTCTCTGGATACTTGGATCCTGGAAGACAAACAGAGAAGTACATAAAGTTCCAGCCTGAGGATATAGAGGCTTACATTGATGAACTGTTCGATGGAAATCCTTCTTCCTTGGCAAGGAGGAAAACATAATTGAGCAATGGAAAGAAAAGAAAATCCAGCCCTTTTGTACGAAGAAAACGAACCTTAAGGCGGTGAGGATTTGGGCAGTTTTTTGTTCAGCGGGCAAAGCTGCTTCGATCGTTTCAATTAGATGTGCCATCATAGTAAAGAAACATGCACTTTGATAATTAGCAGGTTTAGAAATATTTTGCTCTGTTCTTCCAAAATCTGTGAAGCTGCTGTATTTAATTCGAAGGCATGGACCTTTTGAATTTAATTCATGTAATTTATTTTTGGTTTGTTCTTGTATTTCTTGTTTTCGTAAGTATCGTTTGAAGAACATGATTCTGATTGTAAACTTTATGATTTTGGTCAGTTATTGTCTAACACAGAATACCCTTTGCCTAACTTCAATGTTATACTTATACAATTCACCAACTATAAAATATATCATCTGTCAAACAATGATCATTATAGAAGATCACCCTCAATTATAATTAGACTACAGTCTAACTCGTATTTGATGAATTTTGATTCGATTCGATTTTTTATGATCAATTTTTTTTTTAAATCGAATTTCAAGTCGAGTCGAGTAATTGTAGAATAAAATCGAGATCGAATTTTAGACAAATCCATCCCGATCCGTTACATATATAATTATTTTTAATTAATTATTTAATTTTATATCTATATATATTTTATTTATTTTATTTTATAATTATATTAAAAAATAATATTTTATTAATTTTAAATCTGATCGGATTGAATACAATTTTACATAATATTAAATCAAATTTGAGTATAAAAAAAATCATTGGATTGAATTAAATTCGAGATGAACAAAAATTCATCCCGAGCCCCTCGGATTTGTTCCCATCTTAATTATTATAGTACTTAATTCTCTCATTCTTTGATAAAAAGGAGTAGGATAATCTTATTATTGAATTAATTTAGGCATACAAACATTAAAAAAATAATTATTAAGTAAATTTTAAATCTCATTAGACAAAATTCGTTTAAATCTAAAGAAATATGCTGGAAATGGTTTTCATCTAATCTGTATGAAAATTAATTTTTATAATTTTCTTTACGCTATTAATAAATGCATTGAAAAAGCCATCAAACAATGAAAAAAAAATGATAGCAATATGAAAATTATTTTATTTTATGTACTTAATGGAGTTTTAAACTTTATAAACATGTTTTATAATTGACAAGTGAATAAAATAATTAAACTAATTAAATTAATTCAATAGTAGTATTGGGAAAACTTCACTGCATACATAAAAATTAAAAAGAAAATAAGTGAATATAATAAAAAATTAAAGTTTCTACTTAACTTGAAAATTTATTATTTAAAATTTAATTTAAATTTGATTGAATAATTTGAATTCGATTTAAAATTTTGCTTCATTAAATTTATTTAATAAAAATAAATTTAATTTTTATATTTAATTATTTATTCGAGTTTAAATATAAAATAATATATAAATAAAATAATAATTTTTAATAAAAATAATATAAATATATTAAAATTTAAAATTTTGATTAATCTTGCGAACTATACAAACTTGATATCAAGGTACTCGGATTTGACGTATTGGATAAATCGAATTGCTGTTTTAAATTCGAGTTTTGTATTCGAACATGCAAATTGAGGTATCATTGGACCCCAACCTGCACTGCACTCTCTCTTCAAAGCAGAAAAGGCTTTTGCTGTTTTGCAGTTTCTTTCTTACGCCTACAGTTAACCGCACGAACCTTTCTGCAAAACAAAGTATCGTACTTTCAAGCAAAACCTTAATCATCAAATGGAACAGATTTTTCCCTGATTCCCTCTCCATGACGACGGGAATCGACGAACTTTTTATACTCACACGCCATTGATTCTTGTCTGTGTCATCTGCATTCGCTTTGTCCAGGTTCTGTCTCTTTTCTTCTCCTCCGTTCTCTATTTTTTTTTAGGGTTTTAACGCTTCGGCCACAAAGTTTTGCCCTTTCAGTTGACGCCTGTTATTATTATTTTTTGATTATTTGATAGTTAATTCGTGCTTTGAAGTTCGTTTGCATTATCTTTCACGAGCTTTAATTGAATGCAATTAAATGCTTAATTGAAGTAGATTATTTTGTAGTTCAATGAGTTTAATTTAAATTCCCAATTTTGTTTTTCATGTGGGAGACTCACGTTCAAAAATTTCTTCCTTTTTGCTTCAAAAAGATAACATTGAACAGTTTCTTACCAAAAGAGAAAAAAAGGAGGAAACTTTGAATAGTTTCAGGACTCAGGACCTGTTTAGTTGTGGAACATTGGCTAAGTTTATTGCTGTAGAAGCTGCACTTTTGTAAGAGGATATGTTCAAAGAATATCTTCCTTTCACTTTAAAATGTTGATTTTGTATATGGAACTTGCATGTTAATATAGTTGTGCTTAGTTAACTTGAATTTTTGTAATTTGTCCAGCTAAATGCAACTAATTGAGCAAGTAGGAATACTATTAGCTGTATTGAGAAAGTAGATAAGGAAATTTGTACTGATCGCCATTCAGGTATACCTGCATTAGTCGATACTTGTTTAGCAAATTGGTGTTAATAATACTTTTAGTTTCTTCATGAGATGTTAGTAACTTCAACTACTGTTCACAATCCTTGTTGCTACTTTTTTCTTTCTTTGAGAAAAGGATTGTTATTTGATCAACATTCTTAATATCTTGAGACTAAATATTTCTTGTTTGCACAATTGATGCCGTGGAGACTTAGTTAACATCTTAGGAGAGTTTTTTTTTTTTCTAAAATGTCTAATTTCTTTGAACAGGGCAGTTCAGTGGACCTGCACTTGTGGAGGAGGTTCAGGGTCAGCATGCTATATTGAGAGACTGTATTGAGCAGCTAACAGCTGTTGCATCATCAAGAGCTAGTCTTGTCTCACATTTGAGAGAGGCTCTTCAGGAGCAGGTTACTTACACTAATCAATTTTCAAAAATATTGTTTGTGGTAGTGTTAAAAGAAAGCTGATTTACTCATCCTATCAGGAATTCAAGCCGGAGGCAATTCATACACAAGCTTCAGGTTTGTCACTAGACTTATATTTTAGGTATACTTTTGACATTATGAACTATAAACTTAGATATCTCAGCGTAAATACAGTTAACAATATTGTAACTTCTGTTTTTGGCTTCTGGGTTATGTTAACTTTCTTTGATTGTAACCTTAATTTTATATACATGGCTGCATTCTGATCATGTGCGTGATGTTTTACAGGCTGCACGGTCCCAATTGGAACAGGCTAGTAATATCTGCAAGACAGTTATTAAATTGTGACAATCCCCAGTTGGTAGCTCAGCAAAGTTCAAAGGAATCTCATATATCCATAGCACCTCAAAGTTTTATTCCAGCAGCTACAGAGCAATCAGCTCCTACGATATATGCCTGACAAGTGTCTTTCCTGATAATTTTGACCACATTGAGGAAGATCCTCGGAAATCTGCAGCAGCTGCTGTGGCAGCGAAGCTAACTGCATCAACATCATCAGCCCAGATGCTTTCTTATGTCCTCTCTTCCCCTGCTTCTGAAGGTGTTATTGGCAATCCTATGAAAGAATCTTCTGGTGACTACCCTTCTGAGAAGAGGCCTAAGCTTGAGAATGGCCAGCCTTACATACCATCTTCTAATCCCCAACAATCTTCAGTTCTACCATTCCGACATCCCAAATCCCACCAACACAATGTCATGACCACCACTCAGCATTTAACTCCAAATGAAGTGCCACCTACTCCGTCATTGTCTCCTGCACCGTTGCCACCATTGCCAACAATGCTGCCATATGCGGTGCCCTAGTACATGCCAACTGCTGGATCAATAAATGGTGTGCCATATAGCTATGTCGTGACCCAGTTGCAGCAGCCTTCCCTGCCTGGTTATTCTGTTGTTGGGGCTACAATGAGCAGCGTCTCTCCATTCGCCACACCATCAACTAATTCTTACCAGAGTTTCCAACGTTCAGAAGGCTTTTATTACCAGCCCTCATCAACAGCGATTTCTAGGGAATAGAACTTCAGTTAGGATGATTTCAACTGAAATATTTTTGTCAGATAACATAAGACAGTTTTTTTTTTTTTTTAAAGAAACTAATCCTTCTGCACCAGAGCTACCTTGTTAGGGTGCCACCTTGCATACATCGTGTGCACGTTGTAAATGTTTAATAACTCGTATTTTTCCATTGTGTTTGAGTCTTTTATATTTAAAACTATTTATCGCACTCTAGAATTGGATAAGAAGATTTTAGTCGGCATGATTTTATTTCATGATTGACCAACATGGTTGCTTTGTCAAAACTATTTCTTTGCTAAGGTCGTTGTGGTTCAAGCCCTAATATCCAGCATGCCTAATTTTTATTCTTTTGCTCATTGCATGCCTGGTGTTAATGCCTTCATAGGGACACCTTTATCAATGGTTGTCGTATCGAAAAATGGTATTTTCCATTTCACTCAAAAAAGGGAAAAAAAAAATGAAGAAGAGAAAGAGGACCCTGGTCGTAGTGATGAAGCAATCACGTGAGTATGACGTGTCATGTGGAGTTTTAGCAAAGAACAGCCATGTAACATGTCTGGCTTTTGGACGGACAGTTGAGATAAAAGAATGAGGAAAAGGTTGCGAGTGAAGCGGAAAAAAGAGCTCAGAGTATCGTCTGACGTCCATTTCCTCGCTCACTCATGGGGAGCAGTAGGGATGAGAAAAAATTTTGAAAAATTTAAAAATTGATTTAAAATGATAGTATTTTGTTTGATTTGGATCAAATTTAAATATTAAATGTATATATTAAATTTGGATTGAATTTTGAATTGAAATGTAAAAAATAAAAAAAATCGAATCAAATTATATATATATATTAATTTATATATTTTTAAATTTTTATAAAATAAAAATAATAATTTTATATCAAAATTTACTTAAATATATTAAAATAATATATAAAAATAAAAAAATTAAAAACTGATAAAACAAATCAAACTAAATCTTAGAGAGACCGATTTCCAAGGTTTGGGGAGATTGTAACGAAAAATTGATGTCTTAAATAACAACAAAACAACAGAGAAAAGCACCTTTGAGTTTTAGATAAATGTTTTATAAGATTTTAAATAATTTATCCTGAATCTCGTACTCTTCTTCAACCCATACTTTTTTTCTTTTTCCTTTTTTTCGCTTCTCTTATGTATTATTGATTTGAATGTTAGCGTACATCTAGAAATAATACCTCAGGCATTTTTGGACATTTCTCTGCAAGATAAATTATTTGTAAATTTGATGATTTATATATTTTTATCGTATAAAATATTAAAATATTAAAATTTATATCATATTTTATATAAAATTTATGTGTTATAATTTATATTGATACAAAAATATAAAATATTTTTTTATTTTTAATTAACTTACATATAATAATTATCAAAATTTTAAATTATATTACTTTTATATTTTTCATATCATATTATCATTTCAATTTATCATATTTTAAATTATCAAATATAATCTTCTTTAATCAAAGTTTAACCGTCCAAAACAACCTTCCCGCAGACATCATGTCACCCGATCTAAAGACTCTTTCAGCAACATGATAAAACAAACGATTAACAGATAAATATTGATCCACTTAAGTCTTTATTAAAAACGAGTTTTTTTTTTTTTGTTTAAAATGACTCTATTTCCTGTCCAACAAGAAAACAAACATTCACTAATGACAAAATTGTGGGAACATACGACAAGACAAAAGCACCGTCAGATCTCAAAACCCATATCCATATACACACCAACCACAAAAGCTTTGAAAACTCTGAATTTTCAAATTTCTTGAAAAAACAAAAACTTTCTCTGATTTAACCATGCAAATAACATTTTCATCTAAGAAACAGATCAGACTGCTTATTTTGAATGTGAAAACGACACATAAATAGTACAGCAAAAGAAAAATGGTTTCGATGGTAACAAAAATTAAAAAAAAAAAAAACAGTCAACTTTGGGGTAACGTCAGCTGGTTTAACTTGAGACAGCAAAATAAGGAACAAAAGCTGAGAAAAGCCGTCGTGGATTTCGATATTGACAACATAAAACACCGACCTTATTAAAAAAATTGGCACGTGTGACTTTTGTTTTTTAGTATATCACAAATCTCATGGGAGGTTGAGCAGGGATGAAAAAAAAATAATAAGAAAATCAATATTAATTTGAAATTATGGTATTTGGTTTAATTTAAATTTTTTTATTTGATTCAGATTAAATTTAGATAATAAATGTATATATTGAATTTGAATTAAATTTTAAATCAAAATGTAAAAAAAAAATCAAATTAAATCAAGTTATATATTTTTATTAATTTATATATTTTTTAAAATTTTATAAAATAAAAATAATTTTTTTGAAAATTTAAATCTACCTTAAACTCTACTGTATACCTAATTAAAAAAATAATACGTATTTAAATTTTTTTAAATTCATAATTTTTAAATGTTAATTTTAATGACATGTTAATTAATTCAAAAAATAATTAATAATAATAATTATATATATCTATTTAAATATATTAAAATTTTATTAAAATAATATATAAAAATTTAATAAATTAATAAATCAAATTTAATTTAATTAATAAAATTTAAATAAAATCGAATCAATTTTTTAAAAAAATTATTTTAAATTCATATTAAAATTTTAAAATTTATAATATTATATATTATTTAAAAATATCACACCAAATTCGATCCAAAATCATTTCCTCAGCAAATTCAAAGTGAATAAATTAATGGTTGAACAATCGTACACTTCTTTTTTTTAGTACCAAAGGCAGAGGGCAATAGCGACTTGAATGTTAAGTCATTTCAACCTTTCAATCTTTTTAGGCCTTTCAGACAGTACATGCAATACAACGTCTATATAGATTATCCAGTGAGTCTTACACAGTCAAACTATGACATCCTTTCTCAAAAGCATGCATTTTTTTCTTCCCAAAACCGTGAAAGTCGAATCATCAAATCATCGCTTTCATGTTTACTAGTGCGCATTAGGCTCTTTTTTCCTTTGCTTTTTGGTATATATCTCTCTAGCAATGGACTAAGATTAGTAGTGAAACAGAGAGCTCGGTATATCAGTGTGTAGAAAAAGAAGCCGACAAGCACAATCGAATAATATCAGTTCTTTTTCTTCACCCATAACCCTTGCCTTTCCCTCTAGCACTGTCCCCTTCCCTTTTCTCATCTTGCGCAAAAAAAAAAAAAAAAAAAAAGCCATAGGCCCAATGGCCCACCACCTAAATACCAAAACTAGTAACTTTTTATTTTTATTTTTCATGTTAAAAATATACGTGAATATAATATTATATATATATAAATATTTAAATTTAAAATACATAAAATATTTTTTATAGGATAAAATCATAAAATTTTTAGATTAAAATAAATATCTAACAAATTAAATGTGAATTTTTATAAATAGTATTAGAGCGATCATTAATAAATAAAAATTAAATTTTATATTATAAGAGTTACTAAATACTATACGGTGAAAAGTCACTTTTAAAATTTTAACATTTGATGTGATTTTAATTCTATTATTGTATTTGATGAGGATGCCAAATTTTAGTTTGATGGGTATGTCCTCGTTAAGCTTTCAAGAAGCGGCTTGTGATACCTCCAATCTTATATTAAAAAAATATGAGGGTACGGCATAATATATATAGAGATATCTAAATCTAAAATTTATGAGACACTTTTTTATATGATAAAATCATGAGATTTTTAAATCAAAACAAATAATATCTTATAAGTTGTATGTGAATCTCTATACATTTTTCTTAATATCATGTATATTTGTACTTTTTTTTTTTTTTTACTTTTCCATTACTTTAACCATTTCCCCATTCTTATTTTAACTTCATAATTATAAGTAAAAACCAAAAAAAGCGAGGCATTGTTGCATATACATAGAACAAGGCTGCAAATGTGAGCCATTGGAGCAACATTTGCATGTGCTCACTCGTGGAAAATTCATCAAATAAGTTATCAAAGGGATTAAATCTAGACAAACCCAAATCTTATATTATACCTTTTTTTTTTGTGTGTACTTTCTAAAGTTCTATTGATAAAGAGAGATGATGACAAAATTTTGAAGTGGAAAGTCTAATGTTCTGATTTGGATATCTTGAAAGTGAATCCAAAACTTTGTTTCTTCAAAAAGATAGATAATTACATATATGATTAAGCTTATGAATCATTACCCTTTTTATCTCCTAGGTGAACAGGAACTTAGTCTAAAATGAATAAAGATCAAATTCTTCCTTAGTTGAAGCTATCTTATTCTAAGATGCCAAACAGATAATATTAATTATGAGACCTAAATGTTGTTTTTTTTAGATTTTCTCTAGAAGAAAAGACAAATGAAAGAAACCGCCCAAATCCAAGATAAACTACAGCATGTATAGAATCAGAGCCTTTGAGAATGTTCACATTCGAGCTCATCATCTCCACCGCTTGATGATCATGTTAATAATAAGTTATTGTAATATTATTGGACCAAATGCTCAGATACAAAAGCAAAAATCAACCTTTGAGTTAAAGACATGCATGTTGGCAAAATTAATTAATCTCTTTCCCTCTTATTGCACATTCTTTTGATGATTTATTTATATAATATAATGATATTCACATACCTTAGTGTAATTAATGAGATTTAAAAGCAATTATTATTAACATAATTTAAGGGTTTCTCTCTTTCTTATAGAAGGCAAGATACGTCATACATAATCAAATAAAAAAGGATAAAATAAAAAGAAATTTGATCATTTTTATTTCTTTTTACAAATTTTTCTTTGCATTAATCCTTTTATTCTCATTTCTCTCATCATTACTTAGATCAGATGATTTATGTATTTATATTATATAAAATATTAAAATTTATATTTTTATATTATATTTTACATGAAAATTACATATTATAATTTATGTTGATTAAAAAATATGAAATATATTTTTTATTTTATTAAAATTATATATAATAATTATTAAAATTTTAAATCGTATCATTTTTAATTTTTATCTTCATATCATATTAATATATCATACAAATTGTATGGTATTTTAAATTGTCAAAGTCACTTGCAATAAGAGTCAACTTTGTTTAATTTTACTTTAACTAAAGTAACAATAATAAAACATGATTCCCCTCAAAAAAACTTGCCCATGTTTTGGATTTTCTTCCCTCAAGCCCACTCTCTCTCCCTATAAATACCAATCAAACCCTCCCACCATTCCTCACCACCAGACTCAAATATTTCTCTCGTTCACACTTTTTTTTCTCTATTAATTTTTTGATACGATAAAAAAAAAAAAAAACTCAGTTTTTCTTAGAAAAATGCATTTCCAGACAGGTTCACGGGGATCTTACATGCCAACCACCACGAGTAATGGTGGGGACCCATTGGAGAGGATAGAGAGGTTGGCTTCGGAGAATGCAGTGGTTATCTTTAGTATTAGCAGTTGCTGCATGTGCCATGCCATAAAGAGGCTGTTCTGTGGCCTGGGAGACCCAACCGTCTATGAACTTGATGAAGATCCTAGAGGGAAAGATATGGAGAAGACTTTGATAAGGTTGCTCGGAAGCTCTCCTGCTGTTCCTGTTGTGTTCATTGGAGGGAAACTTGTGGGTGCAATGGATAGAGTCATGGCTTCTCATATCAATGGCACTCTTGTTCCTCTTCTCAAAGAAGCTGGAGCTCTCTGGCTCTAATTGTCTTTCCTCCTATCCTTGTCGTTGATCATATCAGTTTAAAATAACCCCGCCAATGACAGGTATAGAAAAGTATGGCAGAGGAAGAGGAGTAGTGGTTTTGGAGTATACTCCATTTTGGATACAGCAATGACTCTTATGTCTTAGTTTCTAGCTTTTCTTTTTTTTTTTTTCCTTTTTCTTCTTTTCGTTGATGATTTACAAGTAGGTCTTGGTTGGTTTGCTCTGGCCTCTGTGTTTTCACTAATCTTGATCTCGAGAGTGAAATGTAATGGCTCCCTCCTCTGTGCAATTCAAACCAAAATAGTGTTTTCCACTGAGTTTTCTCACTTGAATCTTCATTTTTCTTTTGTTTCTGTCGATCTTACTAATTTTCCTCTATAATGTATGTATGAAATATTAGCAGTAACGAATTTAAAATATTAATGGCGGACTATCTGATTTTTAACTCTGTTCCTTTTGAGCTCATCCATATAAAATCAAGTAAAAGCTAGCTATCTAGTTTTACTCATACGGACCCGCGCCTTCAGACAATGGTTTGCCTTTTTTGACCAAGCAATGAAAAGGGTTGGGGGGAGGGGGGTCGCTTAGACAAGAAGCCTGTTCTTTTACTGCCTTAAAAACAGTAAAAAAGCAAATCACGAGTTGAAAGATTTTTGCCCCAAAAATCACCATGTTTAATCCGAAACATCACAACGGATGCTTGATCGGAATGACCCGAACCCTTCATTTCGTGCAGCGCACCCCCCCCCCCCTCTCCCCCCCGGGCCTTACCCCTTCTCCGTCTCTCGAGTCATGATAGGATCTAACTTGACATTTGGGCCTACGAGATAGGGACTAGGGAGGGGAACCCTCTTTCACCAAATTGACGTTCAACGTCCGTACAATCTATTCTCCTGTTGTTTTAACACGTGTGATTTGTGTGGGACATGATGACGTGTATTTTTTTTTTGGGGGGGGGGGGGGGAGAGGGGAAGGGTCAGGGCAGGTGGTTTCCTAGTCCCTATGGTGTTGGGAATTGACCAAATGGTTAGGACCTTTTGGAACTTTTAAGGTCGGTGGGCGTTGGAGGAGGTACCTTCTCATGGCTTCTTAATTCATTTGGGTTTTACCTTGGGGGAGAGATCCTTTGATTCTTTCTGCCTTAAAACTATTAGTTAACTGAAAAAATGCCACTTTTTTCACTGATGCTGCTAACATCCATCTCATAATTTTAACCTCAATCTTGATCACTTACTTTGAGCTTAATCCATTTGGTCATACAACCATATAATTAACAATGCTAGTTAACTATTGTTCTAACCTATCTCTATTTCTTCTTAACCCGCTTTAATCTATAGAGTTTATGTCACGAACCTAAGAAGGAGTTTTGAATATTACATTGAACATAATAAGAGAGTCATTGGGATATAAAATGGTTCACACCATCTCTTCCTTGTGAGGCACCTTTTGTAGGATAAAATTATGAGGTCAAAGGGGTCAGAGTGGACAATACCTCATAAGGTTGTGAACCGTAACGGTCAGGCTGATTTGGGACACCGGAAGGATGAATGCCCGGGTCCCGGAGCCACGCGGATTCGAAGCTTAAGTCTCGACCCGTGACAAATGGTATCAGAGCCAACCCTAAACCGTTCAATCCACGCCAAGCACCTCGAGGGAGGTAGGCAAAGTGGTCAGTCTCCGTGACGAGGGCGTCACGAGGTTGGATGCCCGAGAATGTCACAGACCTAAGGAGAGTCCTGAATCCCACATCGAACATAATAAAAGGGTCAAGGGGTATAAAAGGGTCCACACCATCTCTTCCTTGTGAGACGTCTTTTATAGGATAAAACCGTGGCAATCAAGCTGATCTGGGACGTCGAAATGGTGAATGTCCGAGTCCTGAAACCGCGTGGGTTCGGAGCTTAAGTCTCGATCCGTGATACTTGCATGTTCCATATTGAAATTTCAAAAACAGACAATAATGTAGCTTCAAAACCGGAGATATAATCGCGTTTTTTATATAATTATTTTTTTAAAAAATAATATCTAATAAATTTAAATTTTAAATTTTAACGAGCTCAGTTGTTCACATCGTTGAAACTTAAAGAAGTTGAGCAAATGCAAGTATGGGTTCAGCCCATGAAAATAGTATGGAAGCAATTGTTCAGCCCCAAAACTCATTCGAATAATGGGCTTTCAACCCAGTTGTGGTGGCAGATAACATAAATAAGTCCTTTTGCAATTTATTTTATAGTTCCAATAATTAATGTAGCCTTTAATTTAGTACTCGGCAGTCGGCAACTCCTTCAAAAGTTATTAAACGAAAGCCTACGCGCAATTTCTTTCCGTGTCATATACTTTCGCTTTTCACACCTTTTATCGGCGAGTCACCGACGCGTTTTAATTTCCGCGCCTTAAATTTTGGTCAAAGTTTGACTGGGAAGTTTCAAATCTCTACCATCATCTTTTCCTTTGCTCTTTCCAATCAGCCAATAAAAACCTACCACGTAATAATCACGAAAATCATTCGCATAAAGATTGCAGGATTATTGGGAGAGTATTTAAGTAAATAAATGATTGAAACAAAAGATTATAACTTGGTCTTGTTAACATTTACTGAAAGATTCGGCTCGAAATCTCACTTTTTTTTCTCGACTCAACCAAAAAATTTTTTTTTTAAAAAAATAAAAAAACAATTGAGACAAGAAAATAAAGGCTAAATTACTGAAAAAGAAAAGGAAAGCGTGAAGATCGGGTCTAATCGGGGGTTCTTTTCAAGATTTAACCTAAATTTTGAATCTGTAAAGGCTGGAGGATTCATTTCATCTATTTTTTAAAAGGTATTTTATTTTGTTGTGATTTTAATTTTGGTTTTGGGTTTTTTTTTTTTCTCAATAATTTTGAATCTCTTTATTATTATTATTATTATTATTATTCTTTAAAAAAGTTTTGAGTGTTGGAGTGGAGTGAGGTGTAATTTTAGAATCTCTTACTTTCTATCATTTTCCAGGTAACCAAACAGAAACAGGGTGCTCTGTTCATTTAAGTTTCTATTCAATTTTCTTGCTTTTTCTAGGCAACCAAACAAAAGGGGTTCATTGATTTTATTTGTTTGGTTTTTGATGTAGGAACCGAAAACTGAAAAGATTGTATTTATTGGTGAATTTTAAGAGTGATTGCTATTCTTTTTAAAAGAAGGCTTTTATTTGTTTGAATTTTTTTCAAATGCCGGAGGAGGAACTGGTGGAACTTAAGTTTCGATTGTATGATGGATCTGATATCGGTCCATTTAGATACTCACCTGCCTCAACAGTTGCTATGCTCAAGGAAAGAATTGTCGCTGAGTGGCCTAAAGGTCAGTGCTTCCGCTTTCTGTAAAAATTTTAAGTTTTTGTTTCCTTTGAATTTGGTTTTTATTGCATTTTGCATTGTAAATGTAGGATTAACTTTAAATTTTTAAGCTTGATCAAAGGCCAGTTTCTAATTACCAAAATTCGGGTTTTGCGGCTAAGGTTCATAATTGTAATAAATTAAGGATGTTTTGCTTTTATGTTGGTCTTAGGGATGCATGAATTGGTTTCAATGCTCCCCTTACATTTGTTTTTATTAGTTAGGGGTTCACTGAATGATGCTTTGTCATTTGAGAAGTTTCTGTTTTTACATTTGTTCATATTCCTTGCAAACGAATTTTGTTTCATCCAAAACTTGTGGGAATATTAGCATGAAAACAAGATAATGTGGAGGGGAGAATTTGTGCTTAAAAGTTTTTGTTTTCGAGTTATTTTCAACATATGGCATTTAAGTTTGATTGTTTAAAAGTGCTTAAATAGCATTTATTAGCTGCTTGTATCACCTTAACAATGTGCACTTTTTGGGAAAGAATCGGTTGTCGTGTTTGTGTAACTTAATCCAAGAGTTGTTTTCCTATCTTACAGCAAATGCAAAGTTCTCTGTTATAGTTAAATGTCTAATCGTATTGACTTAAATTCGCTGGTCACTGGCAGGCTTTAATTTGATAATAATTGGTAATTGGTTTGTTGAAATTCCCAAGTTTGAGCCTTGAAATAGGCTGCAATGAATATGGTGTTCTGATAGGAGACTTCTTAAGTTGTTTAATTTCGAGCATCTCCACCTTCTGTTTTTAGATCCTATAAGTGGATTCTTGCTCTCTGATGTGATTAATTTTATTTTGGATGAGGCTGATGCTGATTGCTTATGCATGACTGAAAATTTCTGTTTATCGGTTTTATCTATTACCCTATCTCTCTTGGTGCTGGGTTCCTTGTTTTAGACTACTACTCTTCATCATTTTGTTGCATATTGCACATGGGCTGTTAATGACACCAGACATCAAATATATGTTCATAACTTCATATACATATGTGGATGATACCTCTTTTAGGTAGAGCAAGTGTTGACATCTGTATTTATGTCTAAATTTTAATCTTGATTTTGCCTGGAGTTTTCTTTCTTGTGCCTTTACTGTTAGGCTTTCAATGTAAGGGTAACGTGACCTTATATTTTCTTGTTGTAATACTCGCTAGCTAACTTTGTTAAAGCATCAAAATTTCTGTTCTAGCCTTCTGGTAGGGTGGGTACCTTGTTCAATCATCCTGCTTTTCAGCATTCAAATTTCTTGGGCTGTAATTGCTTAATAGTTATTATTTCATTTGACAATCTGCACTCATTGGTGATTGTGCATGTTTTATTTCTTATCTTATGCCATCTTGTTGTTCTTCTCTTTTGTGTTGAATGATTCTTATACCATCAATGGTAGTGGTAGCTCTCTTGGCAATACTGTATATAAGTTTGTTTTTACCCACCCATCTTTAAAGGTTTTACCTCTCATATATTTGTCCAAAAACCTTTGTGCTTGATAATCTAGGATGATTTTGAGGATACTTTACTTAAAAGAATGTGTGCAATTTTCGAGGTTTCTGCTAAAGGGTTGGACTATCTCTTAGACTTGAGACTGCTGGATGGCTTAGCATGTCCTTTTAGTGTTACTTGTCTTCACGTATTTTGCCCTGTGGATAGTCATATCTCTTCTGCTGATCATAAGGGAAGCAGTGAGATGGAGGGAACTGTTTTGCTTGTGTTGATGAACCAATCACACATGAGTGACACATTTTAATAATGAAAATTTTGTGTTTGGGCAAGCAATGCATCGTATTTCCTTTCAAATTTTGTTTTGTTCTCTTTTCTTTTTCCACTTCATTTGTGGAGTTGTGGTAGATTGTGAGTGTCAAAATGGATAAGTTAGCATCAGTATACCTATTTCTTAGATGTTTAAACTTTGAGATGTTCTGTTTCTGAACTTTTATTATACTAGGATGGTGAAAGCAAAGATCTAGATAAAAAAAAATGCTGTCTCTGTGCTTTCTAATGTTGGATCAAAATTGTTTTGATATGTCTTAGATAAAAAAATTGCACCTAAGGGAGCCAATGACGTCAAACTGATAAATGCTGGAAAACTTTTAGAGAACAACAAGACTGTCGGCCAGTGTAGAGTACCTTTTGGTGATCTTCCTAAAGCGGTCATCACCATGCATGTGGTTGTGCAGCCATCTGTAACAAAAGCGAAAACAGGTAGTCCGATCTTGTCCAAGTTTTTAATGCTGCAGGTGGTTTATTTGTTGCCTACTGATAGTAAGAGTTTGAATTTGAACACATACTCTATATGGTTTCTTTCCTGCATCTGCTAATTGTTAAAACGTGGTTAATTTTTTGTCTACAGCAGAAAAGGTGGTGGATGAGACTCCCAGGAAAAACTTCTGTTCATGTTCCATATTGTAAAAAAATTCGGTCCTGATTCAGAGTTAAGCTGGTGGGGTGGTCTCACGGGTTCCTGAGATCTGCTGCGATATAAACATGGTTGCTGGAAGCATAAAATAATTAGTAAAACAGTGCCATCCCTCATTGTTACATGGGTTGTTTTGGGGCATTCTTGAGTAACAGTGATGTTGGTGATGATGTATTTGCGTCTTTTATAAAATGGGTGTTTCCTGTATTTGGTAGCTGCCCTTTCTCTTCGTTATTTTTCTAATAGAAAGCCTATGGATTCATTGACATATACACGATACTCTTCAAGCCATGATGTTTATATATTCTATATGTTGTGTTATATTAAGATCGGAGAATAGGCTTGGACGCTTTCTGAGCCCAGCAAAATTTTATCGTGTACAACAAAATCTGTTGTGGTTTCCGATTTAGAAGTTACTGCTTTCCTTCCGTAACCCCCAATTTCCTCAACTCCTGACCCGTTCACTCTCCAAACTGTGCTCTTGAGAGTGCTAATTATACATGTGATCGATTAAATTTAAGTTGATATAGTATTAAGTTCAAGTTAGATTTGAAATTTAATTTGAATTTAATCGAGTTTTATTTTTAAAATCTGCGTTTGATTTAAGATAAAAATTAAATCATTCGAATTCGTTTGATTATGTTCGATTAATATGTAAAATTAAATTCGATTTTTATATTCGATAAAAATTTAATTATTTGTATTTGAGTTTAAGTTTGAAATATTTTATTAATTAAAATAATAAAAATATATTAAAATAAAAAATTTGATTAAATTTACGAGTTACTCGAATAAGATATAAAAATGTTCGAATTTAGTTTGATCGATAAGTTGAACTACTCGAATTTGAGCTCTACTTGATAATAATCGAGTCGAATTTGAATTTTATTCGAATTAAACTCAAGTAGTTTACGACTATTAATATATTATTCATATCAATTGTATATATATATATATGTATGAGATCATATGTATATATGTATATATACGAACATGTCATGGTTTTAACCTGTTTTTGGTATAAGGAAAAAAAGAGACACCGTTACACGGTGAGAGGGTGTATAGCTTTTGCTGAATTCATTTGAAACAGCGGCAGTAGTGGAAGGAAAAATGGAGGTTAAATTTTCATTTCCTTGGAGATTAACAGGCTTATCTTACAACAATGTATAAATTCCCTTTCTGTTTTATAACTCAAGGGAAGTACTTGAAGACGAATTAATCAATTCGAACCTAGAAGCCAGGAGCTTAGCTCTAAGAAAAATCTGATGAACTCTGGAAGAAAAAACATGTTTATCTTAATACCTTATCTTACCACTGTTGAGATATTGACTCAAATTGTTTGATATTTTGTTTAGATAGGTTAGATCTTATTTGATGGTCAATAAGATAAGAAAAAAACTTTAAGAGATTCTTGGTAAATAAATTAGTAGATTTATAAATAATAAAAATCTTGTTAAAATTAGATATGAAAGAAAAATGTAAAAAATTTATAAAATTTTGTGAGATAAAAAATTTGTATAAATATATATTTAAATATTTGTGAGTAAATTTGCTTAAAGGTCGGACTATTCATCTTATTTGTTTGAATTCAAAGATATATCTAAAATTTAAGATGATTTGAATAAAAAATTAAAACTTTTTAAATAAATTTAGGCAAAAATTTCAAGCTCATTTAAATTTAAGGCTATGGCTTAAACATAAAAAATTAAAGTTCAAGCCTAATTTGAATAACATAAATATAATTAAATTATGATAATTATATTAATACATAAATACATTTTTTAATGTTTTATTTTTTTTAAAGTATTTTTTTATTAAATAAATGGTTTTAATAAATGAGTTTTATTTTATTTTTTTAATATGAGTCGTGTTTGAAAAAAAGTTTTAAACTTGAAATATCAAGATAAGTTTTAATAAGTATATAAAGTATTAATATCAAATAAAAATTTGACATGATTCTTAAATACTTTTATGTAAGAGTGGATTAAATTTGAATGTTTATAAATAGATTAAAAAATTTAAAAAGATCTACATGAGTGTAATTTATTTTATTTGGATTGATTGATTGTATCTTTATAATTTTTTATAATTAATGAATCTTTTATGAATATAAGTTATTTTGGATTAAATTGTATTATATTAAATTATTATTTTTTATAAAAATAATTTATAATTTGATTTATTTTATTTGGATATTTGTTTGATCAGCGGATTTTTTTTTCTTTTCCCAACAACCACCGATCTTGAGCCAACCCTACGGCCTACTGTAGTGTGCTGCTGTACCTAGTTAAACAATAAGTTTCTTCCCAGTATCCAACAGAAAATGTTTATTATTATTCAATGAATTAAATTTAATATTGACCCAATCCTAATTCCTAAGGTCTTTTTCCTTCACTTTCACCTTTCTTGCCATTTTAATTACCTTGACTTTTTTTGTTCCTGCATGGAATCGCGTTGAGAAAGCAATATCCAAGATTGTAATACTAATAGCATAAGCATGAAAAGAGAAAAGGAAACATACATGTAAAACAGGAAGGAAGGAAGATGATTCAACATCGCCATGCAGAAGCAGCAAGAATTGCTCTATCTAGCCACCCCAAAAGCAAGCAACCTTTATCTTCAGTCAATCGATAACCATCACAGGAATATAAACCCAGCAAAATCTTTGACTGTGTCACTGCATTTGCACTTAAGGGCACCCCTTTGAATCCTTTTCCTTCCATTAGTTTTCGCCATTTCTCCAGCCTCTCATGCCTTGCTACCCTCTCACTCCCTTCACATGCCACTATGTTTCTTATCTCTGGTGCAAAAATGTATTGTTCAACCTTTGCCCTTTGAGCTGAATCTGGTGGAAAAGTGGCGTCCAATGAGTCAAATATTGCTGAATAATAGTGCAGTGCCTCGAGGAAACGGCCTAAGAAGTAAGGGCCATTATGGCTTGCTTCTTTTTCAACGAGGGTTACAATGTTAGGCGCTTGATCACGGATCATTGCCAATAGGTTTCCAAGGCAATTACCAGGGACTTGGTGGAGCCTGTTAACAGCATTAACGGCTAGAGCCTCACCAACTCGCCTGTTGAACATATTGGGTTTTATATCTTCAAGTTGCTCCCCAATTGGGTGGAATTCAAATGGGATGTGGAGAGAGTGAGCTAGTTCTGTTAGGCATCTGCCTGTCTCTTTGACGGTTTCTATAGAGGGTCCAACTCCTGTGATCCTGAGAAAAGGAGCTCCGCTAGGTCGGGCAGCTAGAGCTTGCATGAAAGCTGGCCATTGATAGCCTTGGAGGATATCTAAGTCAATGACATGAACACGTTCTTCAGCTTCAAAGGCCTCAAAAATGGCTTGATTTGCAATGAAATGTGCAAATTTTACGTATGGACAGGCTTGGTAAACAATTTGGTAAATCTTGAGGACTTCTAAGGAGTTTAATGGGAAAGAGGTGAATGGTTTTGGAGCAGTGGAGGTGCTGGGATTGGCGGTTATGGTTGCGGCAAGCCTTGCACTTAGGGCTTCAGTGAAGCAAGAGGCAACTCTTTGCATGGAGTCCCCAAGAGGAGTTACCACTTGATTCAGGTGGTGAATATATTTTCTTGCTAACAGATAATCCTCTTTGGCCACTGCTTCAGCACATGCAAGAAGGAGATGCAACAATTGAAGCCCGCTATCTTGCTCCTGTAACGGCAAAGTGGAATAGAGTTATAATTTGTAGCTAAACTAAAGACAATTTGTTTATATGTGAAAATATCCATGCATCATCTCTTTTTCTTTCCTTTCTTTTTTTTTGGTGCATCTTTGTCTTTATAAAAGTGCAAAAAGATCCTCTTGAATAATCAATGAATAGAAAAAGAAAAAAAGAGCAAGAGATCAGAGTACCTGCTCAGAGCCAATGGGAATAGGAACCATCAAGGTATGGCCAAGGTTCTCGTGCTGTTGTTGCTGTTGTTGTTTATGTGCTGCTGCTGCTGATTGTTGCTTCTCCTGCTGCTGCTCTTGCTGTAGTTGTTGAGACAATGGTTCTCTTGAGACAGAGTTTACCTGATAGTGTTGCTCATGGGTCAGTTGAGAACATCCGGCTGACGATGATGTTTCACTCGCAGACGCACAAAACCTTGAAGAATTCGGCATTGGCATGCAGTCTAACATTGCTGGAACTGTGGTTGGCATTTCAAACATGTTATTTGAATTTCCAATACCTGAAATCTTTGTTGTTGGGTACTCTCCATAACCGTCCTTCTGATAATCATCCAAGAATTCTTCTATAGAAGGCAGTGAAAGGCTCTCAACCTGCATAAACTGATTGTTAGGTGAGTTAAAGACTCTGTGCAGTGGGCTCTGCCCTTTCCCTTTGTGGTTGCTGCTAAATGACCCAAGCTGAGATGAAAATCGAGGTGGAGAGCTCCCTGACAGACTCTGCCCTTGCCTTGCGTGAAGATTACTGAAATTAGAGCTTGATATTTGTATAGATGGTAAGTTCCTACTCACTGGAGATGAGATCATGAAGTCAGAATCAAAATTATCAGAGAAAAAAGTTTCCCACAGTGAACTGTCTGGAGACTGGCCCTCAACATCTCCATCCAACTCAAATTTGACTGCTGGGAAGTTGAGGCTTGGTGGGGTTAAGCTATTTTGCTCCAAACCAGAAGATGTAGCAGTTTTATTGGACTTAGCGATTGACTCACATGAGTCCTCACTCTTGATGGAACCCATGCTGCAACAGCGAGAATTAATCATGTTTTTATTTTACCTTGTATTCGCAATATTCCAACACCCATAAACCCCAAAGTCAGTAAAAGGGTGTGTGTATGCTTCTTTTAAGAATCAAGGCCGTTCAATTGAAGTGGCCAGTTTTCCAATATTGCTCTCTCGTAAGTTGTTTAACTGATACTAGCTTTTCTGTCTTCTTATTCCAAAGGGCTTTCGTCTTATTGTCGAAATTGTCTTGGAAAGAGGGATGGAGTAGAGACAAATTGCTAAGCTGAATTAATGTGATTGTGATTAATAATCAATCTCCTCTACTAAGTTTAGCTGGATTTTGTAGGGGCCTAATTTGTCATTTGGGGTTACTTGTTTTAACAATTCTTCCCTACTCATCATCATTGGGAAACCTTTGCCCCACAGCTCCTTCTATATACACGACAACTCTCAGCTGGCATTGCCATTGATAGTGACCCCTTTTTCCCTTGGGCCGGCCCATCTCAGAGAAGTTGATTAAAGAACAATTGGACCCTTTCTTGGTGTGTTAGTATTAGTAAATTATCACTGGACTAGATGTGACTCTTGGATTGAAGGCTGAAAAAATATATAGTTTAGAAAAAGAGCGAAAGGACAGAGAAATGGGCCCCTGGAAACACGACAATTTTGTGGAAAAGGACTTCAAACAATGAGTGATCTCGCAAAACGGACTTCAAAATTGCATAACGACAAAGGATTGCATAGAAATTTTAACTTTTACACCAACGAGGATGCTCTGCATTGTAATGAGCAAAAATTGTTACTTTAACATTATCGAGGTGTTCCATCGCCGATGCTCTTAGCTGCTTTCATCCATTGTAATAGTTATTGGTTTTGATCTTTGTCAAACAATGAAAACTTACATCGCATGGAACTTCAACCATATTAATAAGAAAGGTAAGATGGTAACAGTATCATCGATTATATGGTTTTAACATGATCGATCTTCAACCATTGGATCATAAAGGAAATGAACCAAAGGAACAACTGTGAAGAGAGGGAGAAAAAGGACAAGAAAGGAGACATAGGTAAGGTCGTCGGGTTTGGCGTCTATGGCGCCGCCTACTCCTTGGATTTGCCAAAGGAATGAAGCGCTTGTCCCAAACCATTTTCCTTCTTAGGCGGCATCTCCGTCTCTCTCTCTCTCTCTTTTTCATTTCATTTTCATATAAACAAATAGTACTACTAGTCTTTCTTTCAGGAGGATCTAGAGCCATGTCTTTACGTACCATTTTCATATAATACCCTAAATCTTGCCTCTGACATGGAAACATTTCTATTTAGGAAGAAGATATGAAGCTAAACTTGTGTGTCTGTCCAATCACAACATCTAAACTTTCTTCTCCTTTTGCATTTGTCATCTCCTGCCTTGATCATCTACCATCTTTTAATCATTGTCAAATCGTATACTAACAATGTTTAGTATATAATATTTTTCCTCTTCTTTTCCTCTCCACAAATCATGGTGTCATCGTCCATTTTCTAAAACAAAGCCATTGGCTCTTGTCCCACAAGGCATAACCCTAGCAAACAAAGTTCCAAATGAAACAGTAGAAGCTAAAGCCAAAAGAGAAAAGTTGTCTCCATGGCAGGTCAAAGCTCTGCTTTGAAACTATTGTTGGTCGTATTAGTCTAACCAAGAAACAAGAACTCCATTGCACTTTCCAGATTCAGTCCAACCTCAATATTAACCATTCTTTTTCTATCTCTCCATTAGTCTATCGAGTCTATGCGTGAATCTGTTTAACTTTCGTCATTTTCATCATTTACTTAATTGTTTCTTGAGCCAATAGATTCCTGAAATAAATAAAATTCCGACATCTTAAAAGAGAGAAATGAGATTTGGAACTGCCTTAATTTTAATGCTATTTCGGAGATTGTTCGGATTGAGACAAATCGTAAGTTGGGCTCAAAGTGTACTTGAAAACTAAACTGAGAAGCCCATGAATACTAGATATTTGGGTTGATATTAAATCCCACTACAGGAAACTAGGCTAGCAATTGACAGTGGCCCATAATAGTCTTGAATATGGTACTTTCATGCAGTTAATAGATCACTGTAATTGGGTTATCTAAAACTGAGGTTTCCGAGAAGCCTGCCCCATGTCCGTAAATAAATCACCAGGGCAAGTTTGATCCCAATTGTTTACCTTATGATTACTTGCCATATTTAAAATTTTTTTCATGGGAAATTATTTGATATACGGATAATGAAGGTTTTTTAATTCTATAAACAGGATTCAGATGATAACATATATATTATTTTTTAAAATTAATATTTTTAAATATATAAAAGACATATATTATTATTTTAATCTCATTTATGGAATTAAAAAACTCCATTATTAATATAATAATTTTTCTTTTTTCATAGATTATATCAACATAATCGTGCCTTGTGAAATTCAAGCGGATTAAAATGCGGAACTCCCTTAATGGAAAGGCTACAAGACATGTAATCTTTGTAAGTACACTAGCCGCCAGGACACCTACCTCCTAATTTTACATCAATTAAAAATTTAGTTGCAATTACGAGGAACTTTTGAGTTGGAATGCAAAATTCCCATATAAGCAACTATACTATAAATAAGCAATCCATTGCATTGCACTCTTTCATAGCTTTAGCATGAGCCAATGGTCACCAGGCACCAGCTCATTTACCTTTTTCACGGGTATCCAGTGCCGTCCATCAGGCAAATGGCAAGGTCGTGCCTGGAAGAAGCCCCAATTAACCCCAATAATTCACCTTAATTACCCTGCCAGATGCTTTTGATTCCATAATTTCTAGATAGAGCCTGAGATTATTTGAATTACCTCTCCCAAAATTGGGATTACTTTTTCCCCATTAAAAGAGGTAACAAAGTCAGCAGAAAGAATTCCAGCTTCAACCAGGAAAGGAGAACAGGAATAGTTGAAGGTTAGCTGACAGCAACTCAAAAAGTTTTTCGGTAGGTACTCAATTTTATACTTCAACAGATTCATGATTATGCAAATACCGGCATATGTTGTTTCCAAGTTCAAGTCAACGGAACTTTATCCAGTTATCCTCACTATTTCTTTAGAAGAGCACGTGAATAACTTTAATGCTTTTCTCTTTAGCCTGCATGTAAAAGCTTTTTCTTAAATGGCTGATTCATCTATGCAATCAACGATGCATGCATGAGTAGTAAGCAATGAATTCAGAGTTAATGGCTTAATTATTGGGCTGTTTCGAAGCTAAGCTTCCTGTTAAGCATCAAAGAGAGTCTGCTTATGTTAAATAATACTCGGGTTACCCTGCAAGAGTTACAAAAGACATTGTATTATTGCATAGATTCTTGGTTAGAAAGTTGGAGTTAAAAAGCAATCAAAATTTCCCTAAATTGAAGGAATTCCAATCTGCCAACTAGTCTTTACGTGCTAATTTGGGCTAGTGATTGAAGCTTATCGTAAACTTAGGCCTTCAAATCAAGCCCCACAACGAATGTGACAAATGAAGCCACTAACCCTGATAAAGAAGGGACTCCCTTCTCTCTCCTACCCATCAAGTCCACATATTGCCAAAAAACATTCACATGTCTCTGGTTTCTTGTGAAAAAGGATAAATTTCCTCCACTTTTTGCTTACAGTTGGATCTCCACCAACTACTACTACTCTCTATCCACACTACAAAACTCATCTTCAACTACATGATAATGCTTTGTAAGCTATTCATTTAAGCCAACCATTCATAGAGAAAGTTATGTGGAAGTTTGTCCCTCATCTCCCAAATTTTGCTGCCATGAACCCATTAATTCTCCTTGTTGTTTCTTCTCTTTTTATTAAAGCATTGTCTTTGAAACCTGAGCCAGCAAAAAACAATGCCCAGATCACTGTAATGGGCCTTGTTTATTGTGACATTTGCTCCAACAACAGCTTCTCCAGACACAGCTACTTCTTACCAGGTGAAGTATCTCAACAACCTATGATTATTCCAAGTTTTCTTGTTTTGCTCTTTGGATATTTTAAGTAACAAATTAAAATGAAAGCGTGGTTTCTCATTATTCAAACATGTCCAAACCAGGGGCAGAAGTTCAAATAGACTGCAACTTCAGGGCATTTGTTCCAAAAACAAGAGAACAGATATCATTCTCCGTCAACAGAACTACAGATAAACATGGAGTTTACAGGTTGGAAATACCATCAGTTGATGGGATCGCATGTGCAGAGGCATCCATTGCATCATCTTGTCAGGCAAGCTTAGTTAGAAGCTCATCCAATTCATGCAACATTCCTGGATACAAAAGCACAACAGATCAGATAGCAATCAAATCCAGACACCCCAATCTCTGCATCTACAGCCTAACTGCATTGAATTTCAGACCATCAAAAAGAGATGCTACCTTGTGTGGGAAGTAAAGCAAGACTTTCTCTAGTTATTCCTACCTTACAGCATCCATATGGATTTCTTTTAGCTACTTTTCCAATTATCTTTTTCTTAACACACTAATCCCAGGTATTGAAGATAGATCCAATCTCCTCATCCTCAGCTATCCTGTGAAGGTTCTTTCCATTTCTCAGTCTGCACATAATACAAGAAATGGAGAACCTTCAATACCCTTTTGCCTTTGCCTTCCAGCCTAATTAATTGGTGCTCTTTAAAGAAGAACAAAGGGCCACATATTACTAAGTATTTTCATTGCTTTTATGCTTTGTCTGAGTACATTCAATTGTGCCCAGAGACTTTTGTGCACATAGAGTCCAGGTCAAGCATGTGGACATACATAATTTACCATATTTATTTAGATTGGTTTTTAGTTAAAATGTATGAAATGTATGAAGTGACTAAACATAGTAGTAATAGTCTTTTGAAATCTGAAAAGCTTAACAGAGCTGCCAATACTGCATCTTCCAAGATACCCATCACAAAAAGGAAAAAACTAACGATGAGAAAGTGAGAAAGATCAATGAGATAACAATAGACGAAAGGTTTTATTGCAAAAAATCTGATTCAACAGCTTACATTTATTGCTTGTGTCAAAAGCCATGATCAAGCTCAAATCATGAAGATGCTCTTACATTCATAAAGTTCTCCTACGTTTGCCCAATACCCTCGATTGCCATGTCAATGTTAAAATCATTCTAAGGCCTTTTCAAGCAGAAGATAACAATCCACTAATGTAGCAGACGTAAAATTTGTGGCCAATCAATTCTCCTGAAACACTTTTCAAATACCATCTAACTCAGATGCTTATAGTTGTTTGTTTCCTACAAGCATTTAAAGTTTAAACTATGTCTGGAAAAGGAAAAAAAACTGAAACTTGTGCAGAAATGAGTTGTTATTGCCAATTTAGTTCTTATTAGTTGTTATTCTCCAAAAGTTTGGCTGCTGATAATGTTCACATACCTCCCAGTTCTACCATTACAATTTCATCGGAAGACCTAAGTAATTCTACTTCCACTCAATCATTGGAGCATGCCAACAGACACCATATGTTGCAGATATGTTATAAACTAGTCGCCTGTGATTCATGTCTCTTTAAAAATATGCCTAAGTTCACTAGTTATTGGAGTAGATGCTAGGGACTAAAAGGTCATAACCTCTTGATAACAAAACGAGAGCCTAGCAGTAGCCTTACTAGATCAGATTTAAACCTTTTTCTCTGTAAGGTTATTGGATATCCCAATCACAGCAATGTCAAATGCAAATCTCCTAGGATACATGTAACAGCAAGTCCAAAGAAAAACACACTGAAATGTTTCATAAAACAATATTTTTAATTTCTAATTTCCTGAGTGTAAAGCAACAACATATCCATATTGTGGACCAACAGTTCTTTGCCACCGCAGAAGAAATCATATGAACATTGCCCATGATCATCCAGGTGAAAAATGGCCATGTGCAAGTCATGTGACTTATCCTAAAGACAGAAATTACCAATAGTCAATTGCTTAAGGTGGAGGACCAATCTATTCTCTATCAGATGCTTCATCATAGAAAAAAAATCATAATTTAGAATATGTCCAAGGGCAAAAGCTCAAGAAGTAAATGCCACAAATTCCTCTTGGTCCTGAATGAGCGACCGCTTCTTGTGCAACTACCCTTGGCATTTTCATAGTTACTTTTACTTTCTCCCTTATCCATTCATTTTCTGCATCTTATTCTTCATTTGGGACAAGATGGAAACTTCCATTTTATAACAATATTTGACCAGAATATTGAATTGAAGCTTTCATGTCAAAATAATTGAAACCACCGAGTCAATTCGCTTACAAAACCAAAGTTAAGCCTAATTCTGGTTTTGACTTGTACATTGTTTCAAGCGACTAGCAAGCAATCTAAAGCCCTTTTAGCATCTCCAAAGGTCATTATTGTGGATGGTTCTTGTTTTTATTTGTGATTTTGGATGCATGGAATTGTTCTTGGAAAATTTTCATGCCAGAAGAAGGTAAACCAATAGTCTTTGGGTTTTGTCTCCGCATCCAAACCTGTACCGTAGTAAAAAGATAGCCTAGAGACTGCCCTAGACTCAGTAGTTATCAGTGGTTAACATCTATACACTTCCCCTAGTATAGGCTATTCGTTCGTTATGGCTGACATGATAGAAATAGTCCAACTAATATTTATTAATGGACTCTCCTGAACCTGACATTCGCCTTTCCTTTTGGAGGTGTTTCCGAGCTGAAGCAAAACTTGGGTTCTTATATTATTGCTTAACAAAAAGCTATAAGCAATAATAATAATAATAATGCGTTGAGGAGGCAAATAAAACAACTTTCTCTTTTTTTAGGTGAACTAACTTCTGCTTCTGTCATATGTATTTGTTTCTCCCCATTTGCCTGTCTTTTGTGTAATAGAGAGGATGGACTTTTAACTTTTTCCATCCTCAGCCACTTAATCTGCAATGTGCTTCTTTTGCAGGTTATTCATATGCAAGCAAAGACTTGTACTGTTGTGTTGAATAAAGAATGAAATACAAGAGATTACATTAAATTTTAAATCAAAGATACATAACTTATGGGGAATACAAGTTAAAATTGATGTGCCTCCAGCTTTGAAAATTATAAAATCCACATTAAAAGAAAAACGAACCACCCCACACAGCTTAGAATTTTCACCTTTGGTATCCCTCTTATCCTGTGCCAACTTTACTTGGTACTTGATCATGCATAATTTTTCTTTTGCTGATCAGCCTCATGTGTACGGACAAACGTAGTAATATACCACAAAGAGAATTGAATTAGAACAGTGAAATAGAAGAGAGAGTATAACAACATTCTGCAATTCTTGTTATCTAAATCTGCATCTGTTCTTGAAAGACCTTCATGGCAGAAGCTGGCAACCCTAAAAGAACATTTATGCTTTTCCTCTCTTTGCCATGAGATAGGAACAAGATCACTTCCTTCTCTGGCAATGCAACTGGCCCTGATAGAACAGGCTCTCCCCATCCGAAATCTGTAGTGTGGAAAGATAGCCTAGACCATGTAGTGATGAGCAGAGTGGATGACAAAGAGGGCCTAGCTCTTGTCACCTCAAAGTAATCTATGGCTGATCTCATGTAACCATCAGTAACCATCTTAATTGCATCCTGAATCAGGCCCACGGCATGTGAAAATGGCTTGTCCAATAGCTCACTTACTTCGCATATGGAATTTGTCAATACAATACCATTGCCGAAGTAGCCTTTAGGTAGAGGTGGATTGAATTTAGGCCTGCCATCAACGGCGAAAAGAAGCTTTGTTTGTTGGTCAGACAGCATGTTAAGTGCCTTGGTGCGAGCTCTCCACACGAATGCTGAAAGAGCTTCAAACGTAGAACATTTTTTAAGAGCCCCATCTTCTATAGCGTTTTTCTTTAGTTTCTCAAGCTTCTCAGGCTCAAAACAGAAAGATCTATAGAGCATTTCATCTTTGTAGAGATCACAAGTGCTGGACTTGTCCTCTATCTCAGCAAATTCCTGATGCAGGTACTCTATCTTAGGTGGGCTTCGGGCTTTCAGAATGGCTCTGTCTGAGAATGGAGGGATAGTTAGTGGCAAACCTCGAGCTGTTTCACCCCATGAGTTGACAAATTCCATAGCACCAATGCCATCAAACATGCAATGGTTCATGCACAGGCCAAGGACAAATCCCCCGCATTGGAACCTGGTCAGCTGGAAGATAAAATTTATCATTCAGAGATAGAGATAAATTAAACCTGTCCAACATTTTTTATGACTGATATCCATGGAGATCATTGTTGTTCATGATATTCAGGTTGATAAATGCTTGATGCTTATCAAGCAAAAGTAAATTTTCACATATTGAAATTATTCAACGGTAACTATAATGTGAAATAGATTATACTTCTAATCTACATATCTTGGGGAGTAATATTCATAGTACTTCAGGACTCTTACTACAAAACTAAAGTGTTTCTGGAGAAGTTTGAATTACCTGAGCCACTAGAGGTGGGATCTCTAGCATGTTTTTTGCACCAGGAATGTTATAAACCAAATTCCCAAGAGTCTCAGGATCAGGCTTTGTTATGTCTCCAATCTCCTCCATCTTACAGTTTGCTTCAGCTTCAACAAAGACAGCCCCTTGCCCGGTGCAGTCCACGATTAGTTTACCCTCTGAGCTGATTGTTAGCCGCCCAGCAAGGGGATAGTAATGACAAAGAACCTTTGTCAATGCATCCTTGATCACTTCTCCAGCGTTTTCATTCCCTTTCTCATCTGACTTAAAGCAATATATGGTGCGAACAATCACTGCAATATTTTGGTCAAGATTAGAGAGAAAGTATAGACCCTTTTCTGTCACTTCAGCAGGACAAACCAGGGTTGGCTCTCCTTGCTTCACACTAAGCTGTGACACTTTGCCATTGGACTTCTCCATTATAACACAACCTTCAATAATTTCTGCTCCCTGAATCGTAAATCATAAATCATAAATCAGATGATATATAAAATCTGAGAAACAAAACTAGTAAGAAAAAGTTGGTCCATATCTAATGCTTTAAAAGCAGAATTTACTGATTCTGAGAAAACAAACCATGTGAGAAAAAGCCGAAAGAGATATGAGAGAGTTTCAGAGTAAACTGACGAAAATTGTCAGGTCCAAGTGCAGGGAATTGCAGTAACCAAAACTTGAAAACTGTGAAAACAAGGATTGCACTAGCTGGATCAATCACAAATTTGTAATGATATGATTGAACTTGTTGGATATATAAGGGAACTTTATGACCCGAAGTCGCAATTTTGGTTTTTCTTCCTCAAGGAAATGAAAATGGCATGTGGCTATCTGTCATTGGGGTTGGCACGTGCTGAAAATGATTAAGAATAATGAATAGTATGGAGAAAAGGAGGTTATGTCAAAATTTTTGTTTTAGACTGAAGATTGGGTTGGGGTAGGCCACTGGTCAAGGGACCTAACACACCAGACAATGGAATCTAGCGTGCGCAGGGAGAGCTTGACTGGGCTTTGGTTGGTGGGGGTTGGCATCCAATTTTGCTTGTCACTCTGCTTGTATGTCTCTTATTCTTTTGTATCATTTTTTCTTGACGAAACTTTTTACCTGATTTTCGTTAAAAGCACTAGGTTGCCTTCTAATTCACTTCTGATCATGAACCGAAAGATATTTCTTGCTTGCTTGTCAGTCGAATTATTTCCGAAACATAACCCTATAACTCTTTGAAATAAGAATCGTATCACTTCAACATAGTAACCATTATTTCTTACTGTCTGACACTTTCTTTTTGCCGAAATTTATGCAAAACTTAATCATTTGTAGAAGAAATGGGCAAGGCATGGGGGTTCTCATAGACCTCCACTGGTGGGGGATCATTTGCAAACATGGGAATATGCGCAAGGCATGGGGGCTCTTATAGACCTCCACTGGTAGGGGTGACACTTCTAGTAGTATTAGTACATTTCTTTTTGGTGGAAAACATCTTGGCCTTCTATCCTGAATCCTGATGAGATTTTTTTTTATGGCTGCGAACATTCTTAAATCAAATACAGCTAAAAAAAATAAAAACAATGTGAATCAAATCTTGGGCCTTAAAATTGTTTTAAAAACAAAAGGGTGCATATAAAACATACATTATCTTGGTAGAGTAGTTACAGCTTAGCTACTTCAATAGAAATGTCCAAATGAAAGATGGCCAATCGATCCTGGTAAAACAAAAAAAAAAAAATCATTAGATCAACAAGAAATCCTAAACTTTGAACAACGGTGGGCTTTTCTTACCATTTACGGGCACCGACAAATGACACCAACAGTTGACTTTAATCATTGGGAAAAAATGGTGAAGAACTGTTTTAAAGCTGGGAACATGTGTCAATATATACATGTCATTCGCCTTTCTCTCATAAAGAATATTGCCTCAAAACAAATTACTACTTGTTATAGTATGATCATGTAGAAGGCTAGAGAATAAAATAAGAGAACTCTTGGGGTTTTAAGATTTGGGAAGGTTTTAGATTTTTTTTTTTTTTGAGGGATTAAGAGTAGGGTCGATGAGTAATATCTTGACATTCTTTTGGATTATTAATTTTTGTTAAGAACGGTTGAGATTTGGAAATTTGTTCAAAATTTAAAACGACATCGTTTTAGTTGGGTTAAGTGGGTTTTGGACCTTTTGCAGCCTAAAGGCTATAACATTAGGCCCAATTCTGAGACGACCTTTTAGATTGGCTCTGTTTGTGTACAAAACGCTATTATTGAGGCCCAATTTCATCCAACAGGACCAATATAAGCCCAATTATTTTGCCCTAACTGCAGCGACGTCGTTTAAACATTGCCGGACCTCTTCTTCACCAAACTAGGGTTTTTCCCCCTGCGCTATAATTTATAATACTCGACACAGGGAGCTTAAAAGCTAAAGGAGCCTTAGAAAACACAGCTGTAAAAAAATGGTAGACCCATGTCTTCCTCCTCTTTCATTTCCTTCTTTTTATTTAATTTCTAATTTTCGGATTAAAATATATATATATATATATATATTCTTTGCTTTTTTAAACGAATTTAGCTAAAAAAATGTTTTTTTTTTTTTAATTTGTAGGCTCCAAAACGAGGTGTGAAAGCCCCGGCGGCTGCAGCTAAGAAGAAAACGGTACCTTTACTTTGTCCATTGCATTGTTTCATGGTTTTAAAGAAATCCTTTTTTTTTTTCGTTTGTTTTTTATATCTTTGTCTGGTGTTTGGTGTTGTTTTTAGGACAAGGTGGTGAACCCGTTTTTCGAAAAGAGGCCGAAGCAGTTTGGGATTGGAGGGGATTCGCCACCAAAGAAGGATCTGACCCGCTTCGTTAAGTTCCCCAAAACGGTTAGGATCCAGAGGCAGAAGAGGATCCTCAAGCAGAGGCTTAAGGTCCCACCTGCTTTGAATCAGTTCACCAAGACACTCGACAAGAATCTCGGTACATAACCCATATGCTCCTTGCTGTCAAATTAAGCTTTTACGTGTGTCAAGATGATAGTAATGATTACATTGGTTCATTATACATGATAAATCCTTGCTTCTGTTTACTATGGCGTTTTAATGGCATAAATCTCTGGGTTTTAAAGGAAGTTTGAGGAAGCCGATAGCTGACTGTCTGCAATCAGTTGTAATTTGCAAAAGGCATTTTGCTAATGTATGTTGGCAGTCAGTAAATATTGTATTCTTATTGTTTTGTCCTTTGACATATAGAATTGTAGGGGCTTTGTATCAGCATATTGTTTTGCTAAGAATTATCCACGTTTTTTTTTTGGATGATGTAATAAGTTTCCAGTTGTTCCTTTTTTTTTTATGTTGATGCAGCATCAAACTTGTTCAAGATGCTTCTCAAGTACAGGCCTGAGGATAAAGCTGCAAAGAAGGAGCGTCTCTTGAAAAAGGCTCAATCAGAGGCTGAAGGAAAGCCTGCTGAGACTAAGAAGCCTATTGTTTTGAAATATGGTCTCAACCATGTCACCTATCTTATTGAGCAGGTATTCCCTCTTCTGAGAATTTGTTTGCTATGCTGGGTCCTTTCCTATTGTCCCAAAGTAAATTTTCCTTGCAGAACAAGGCACAGCTTGTTATTATTGCTCATGATGTGGATCCCATAGAGTTGTCTGGCTGCCAGCATTGTGAAGGAAGATGGAGATCCCATACTGCATTGTGAAGGGGAGAGCACGCTTGGGAGCGGTAAGTGGCCGTTGTATTCTTAGAAATTTTAAAGTTGAGTTGTGAATGCAAAACTAAATGGTTTTACCTCCTTGTTTGATAGATTGTTCACAAGAAATCTGCATCAGTTTTGTGCTTGACTATTGTCAAGAATGAAGATAAGTTGGAATTCAGTAGGACCTTGGAAGCTATCAAGGTGGTGTAGAGTTTCAATCTGCTGTATATTTGTCCTCCCTTTGAATTTTTGGAAGGTCTGATTTCATTTTGGGATTCTTTTTTCATATTACAGGCCAACTTTAATGACAAGTACGACGAGTATAGGAAGAAATGGGGTGGTGGCATCATGGGTTCCAAATCCCAGGCGAAAACCAAGGCCAAAGAGAAGTTACTTGCCAAGGAAGCTGCCCAGAGGATGACCTAAGAGCTAATATAGAATTCATTGCCTGTTACTTAGGGGAGGCTGTTCATTTTTGGTTATTTAAAGTAGTTCATGAAAAATCAGAGTGTTACTTTTCTTTAAAGGCTGGTTATAATTGAATTTTTGTGGTAATACTGTTCGAGGGTGAGTGGCTTTTTTCATATTAGAAACTGCCTCCTTTATTCATCAATTGTTTAGGGTTAGACTTGATCATTTTATTTCAGCTCAATCAATGTGTATTAATATAATTTTGTATCCTTTTGACATTGTCCCACCATCTGTGTCTTTCAATTGCTTTCTGATGAGTTTAAAGCAGATGGCTTTGCACTGATCTTGTTAGTGAATTTAGTAAAACCATGATAACAAAACAGCAAAGACTTGGGATTCTCTATCAACTATGTTTCTTATATTCTCAATGGTTTCCTTTCCCACCCCCAACAACCTTGTACCTTCAGATAGACCTGGCAATCTATTTTACACCTGAAATAATGTTACACCTGAAAATCAAGGGCATCCCAACCAGCTGATTTAACTCAGGTTTTTTGTCTGCCTTTCAACATTGTTAATAGGCGAGGAGAGGAAATCATATTTCAACCTGAATATTTCAACTTACGCAAAAACGCCCTAACTTGGAGGATAATGAATCATCCATGCAGTTTGAAGTGGTTAATGAGCTTCCTGAAGACTCAAGTTCTCTATTTGATTTTTGGTCACTACAGCCTACTCTAGGCAGTAACCAGATAAATCTTAAGGGCAATAATGAGGGGCATTCACTAGAAATTGTTAACCCCTCCTGAGGATTTGAGTTTGTGCTATCTTAATCCTCCGGATAATTCAGGGACCATATCTGGGGATTGACATAAGCACATGGGTTAAGCATGGATATTTTGGTACAGACTTACCTGATCGATTGGCAGACGCTCCGGATGGATCACCTTTCCCAAAACGTGGTGAAGTCATGCTACACCTAAGAATGAATTCTGGATCTGCCTCCGGTGTTAGTGCAGATACTAGAGTGCGGAGACCTGATTCTTTCACCGATCTCGTGACCGAGCCACGAACGAGTTACCAGACATCTAGAGACAAACATGGGGTTATAGAAGAAAGATGATGGATTGATGGTAGCCATTTTATCTTTCGAAAACATCTCTTTATAAAATCACAGCAATGAATCGTTTCACATTTCTCTTTTTTCTTTGCTTTAAAAAAAATATGTAAACTTCAGTTTATATGAAGGAACAAAAAAAAGGAAAGATGGCTTAAAATACGTAATAATATTCACAAGATACCTATATTTTGTTTTTCATTTTTCATTGAGGCTAATTCTATACAAACTTCTAGCTTTGTACGTTTCAGGTAAACATTACAGTATTACACTGTACATATGTTATTTACACGAGATATAATGAAAAGATGAACACATAGAAGAAGTAACTTTTGCAGTACAGTGACTGCCTAATGCTTTTTCTTTTCCTTTACAGTATGAGGACATTGGTAACTAAGCAAGGGAGAGGGTCATTTACAAAGTTTTCTTTTCTTGCTTGCTCCCCGTGTATATCGGATATTCCTATACAAATATATACTTGAAGGAGGACTATACCGGGAGTAAATCAAGAGTAAGATCTGATTAACCTGAAATTCTGAAAAGTTCGTGCTTTGAATAGGTTTCCGAAGAAATAACCCATTGTTGTCTCCTGATGAGGTGGTTTTGGTGCAAAACTGGAGTTACGTTTCACCTGCAGTACAGACTGTCCAATCTGTCGACGGATAGAATCAATGATCTGGGGATCGACAGGATTTCCTGTCACGTCTGTGACGTAGAAGGTGTCCTTGGCCTTGCCACCTTTTGTTGAAATTAATGCTCTCTTGATACTCAAGCTGTTTTCCCGGAACACCCGGGTGATGTCAGACAGGAGGCCAAGTCTGTCTTCTGTGCACAGTTCTAGCTCTAGTCCCTGTACCATGAAATGATGCAGGGTATTATATCATGAGTCTAAGCATGCTTACCTAATCAAGCTTCTTTTTTTTTTTTTCCTGTTTGCGTGTGTAATTAATGTGCACATGTGGGACAGTGGGGAGCTGGTTTCCTATACCTCGGATGCTCTCCTCTCAATGCCTGCTTCAAGGCATTGTATAACACGTACACGCTCAGCTTCCGAGCTAATGGGGAGCCCATCTACATGTCGGATATAGAATTCCTACAACCAAACATAAAATTTCTGTTTAATAAGATAGAGAAAAACGTTAATGTCATTACACAGTCGAGTCTGCAATTCTAAGCATATTAATTTGTGCTCAACTTAGTAGAATTCCAACACAAAATGGATTACAACACCCTCATCAATCTTACACTAGGATTTCAATAGCACCAACTTGTCAAATTCGTAAAGTTGATCAACTATAATATCAGTGGCTAATAGGACTGCAATTGCATTAAAAATGTACCAAATTTGTCAAAAACGGTTTGCTGTTGTCATTGCATCAGATACTTAACTAAAACTTTCTCACCTGATAAGCTTCCATCATTCCTGTGTTGACCATTCCATGAAAAACAACATATTGCATATCTGTGAGAGTGCAGACTATATCAAACAATAGTTTTGGTCGATCTTTTGACCTCATGGTAATAACAGTGTAATCTTTCTCAATATTCAACAGAGTGACTTGGGGTCTTGAGCTTCCCTCCTCTACTGCCCTTACTCCTGCCCTCACTCCTGCCCTCTCAACCCTTTCATAGTCCCTATCTGCGAACATCATTTGATGCAACCTTCTCTCCCTATGCATAACACCTGGCGTTGAAAGCATTGTTTTTGCTGTTTTCAAGTCATCACTTCCTTTGAGAACATTACAAAGTAATTTCTTTATTGTTGAGAGCCGTTTTGGATCACTGATTGCACAGCCTGTTGAATCATCTGTCACATGAACTACAGCTGCAGCCCTAGCATTATGAGTCCATATCTCTGCATTTACAACATTGCAATGAAGGTCTGCAAGAACTGCACATACTTCAGATAATAGACCAGGCCTATCAGTGCCAGCAAGTTCAATTGATGTATGCTCCTCTGAAGGCATTACCCCAACAGTGCCTCTTCGTGAAGGTACAAAGCCAGCACTAGTTTCAATTCTCTGCAAAATTAAGGAATAAGATGAAAATAGTCGAATAAAAGCTTTTCCAAACATTAACAGTTCACAAAGAAACAAACATTAGATGACAGACAGAAGAAAAGGCAGTGGTTGAATACATTGAACAATGAGGAAGAGTTGTCCTTGCCAAAACCATGAAATAAGCAAGGTCAGGAGTTTTAGGTTATGTTTGGTGCATAGGATGATAGATAGGATAGGATGATAATCATCTTATATTATGTTTGATTTGTATCTAAAGAAAGGGATAGGATTACAAGAAGGATTATCATCCTCTTGGTATAGGATGATCCAATCCTCTCAAAATGGAGAGGATTATATTTAATCCATGGAATTGAATTTACATGTCCTATTATACCCTTAAAAATTACATCAATAATTTAAATTGTATAAACTTTGAGGAAGGATAATTTTGACCAATAAATAAATTATCTTATCCTAATCCTTACACATATCAAACATAAGATAGGATGACATTATTTAATCTAATCCTATTCATAATATTATCTTATTCTATCCTATCATAATCTTGTGTACCAAACATGACCTAAGTCTATTATACTGCAATTCAAAACAACTAAAAAAAATTAAAATCCGTGGGGAGGTTAAAAGAGTACTGCCAGCCAGGTTCTTACCCTTTGAATATAGTTGATAACTTCCTTATCTGTGATTTTGTTGCCATCATTGTCAACAACATTAAAGACTGAAACACGGCAACATATGAAAAGAAATTAAGCTAGGTAACTGGTTAACCTTGGATTTAATATACAATTTAAGCAGTTTTAAGGAAAAACGGTACCATCCATAAACCATCCTCCATCAGATGATATGTATGCTTTTGTTATTATAAGATTCATATCAGTAAGCACTTGGATAACTTCCAGGAGAATTCCATGTTTGTTGACACTGTCAACCTGAGCACAAAATTCAAATTTAAATCATAATACATCTCGAACAATAACAAATGAAAGACATCAAAGTACCCATTCCACCAACCGAAAGAACCTCATTAACAGTTGGAATATATTCCAATTGACTTGACCAATCCCCACCCGTGTCCCTCCCATTTTTTTTTCTCAATTCATATGCTAGCTCCAACAATGTCTCAGAGGTCCAAAATCCAACATAACATCCTAATGCATATGATTAACATGAGAGAAACAGAGATCTATGGAATCAATTAGCCACTATGACCTAATTACAGTAAAGCCAGAGCCTAAACAACAATTTAGCAAGCCATGAACCTTACCTGGATAACAGTGGCATCCTCACAAGCGTTATTGTCAATCAGAACTCTGCAACAAAACAACCATACATCTCAAATTAACTCTACTTTTTCCAATCCCAAAAATTCAATATTAATGAAATGATAGGAGTAAAATAAAGAGCCATCAAGAAAACATGTCAAACTTGCTTCACTTTTGTAAGGAAAGTCCAATATTTGGGATTCGAAAGGGAATATTGGAACTCTAATTGGTTGCCATGAAGAAACCTTATTCGGTTATGTAAAATTCTCATGAGTCAAAAGGAGCATGAAAGAAAAAAAATCAGAAAATGAAACAAAAAAAAATCCAAACAGTAACAATAAAAGGATAACTTGCAGAAACTGCAAACATTATAATCTGAAAAACTTCAATTAAAATAGAAAATTTGACTGACCCTTCACCAAATGCAAACGAAAATTACAGTACCCATAAAAACCCAGAAACAAATTCCATGAAACAAACAAAAAAATACCTGGGTTGGTTCACCCTCCTGATAAGCTTAGCATATTCATCATCCATTTCTCCAAAGAAAATCCAAAAGAAAAAAAAAAAAACCCAACTTTTCCAAGGAATAATTGATACCTCACAAATCCCAGAACCCAGAATTTCCCAAAGGTTTCCTTTTATTATTCTTAAATTGAAAAAGAAAACAAATTGCTCTTCCAGTATCCAAGGAAAACACAAAGAGATGTATAAAAAAAAAAAAAAGTGGTACTATTATAAAAAGCAAAGTAGGACTTTAGCCGTTTAACGGACACGATATAATTAATTAATTAATTAATTGAAAGTTGAAAAATAAAAATGAAAAGAAAAAAAAAAAGTCGTTTTGTTTCCCCCAAGATGTAACATTTTGGTGACGTGGAAAGAAGTGATTGGCTGGACGGGTAGTTATTTGCCGCCAGAGATCATGCCCGTGCGGGATGACAGTGTTGTACTTTTAACTGGTTTTTTTTTTTGTTTTTACTTTTTTTTTTTTAACTGTGGTGATCAATCGATTACGGCGGGCAGGGATTTACGGCAGCACGTGAGAAGAAATAAGAAGGGTGACGTGGCAAATTTGCATGTGGCGAATACAGTTTGGTCGGAGGTTTAGCCTGTGTTTTCGACGGCAATCTGGCACACGATATTTCGGTTTCTTTCTTTTGCTTTCCCCAAATTACCCCTCTCATTCACCTAGAATTACCAATGACGTTTTCTTTATCTTCTTCTCTAAAAAAATATTTTTATTTTTCTAATAATTTTTTTTCATAATTATTCAGTCAAAGCGATGGAAACACTATATAAGACTGGCCGACCATTTCCATTTTGGGAAAGTTTCTTTTGCAGAATTAGAAAAATTAATTTATTACCCTCTATTTTTTTCCACACCAAAATTTTTTATTTTGTTTATAATTAGTCCATCAATTAGATTATACAATGAAATAAAAAAAAAGAAAATCTAAAACTCTAATTATTCAACAAATCATTATTTTTTTTTACAAATAGATATATTTTTATATAAAATATATATAGTAGTCCTCTAATTCCACGTTAAATTTTAAAAATTTTCATTTACGATGGATTATATAATTCTTCATATATTAATATATTTTATAATTCAATAAACAAAAATAAATTGAAATATTTATCTAAAATGATTTCAACAAAACATGTATATTTATGTGGAAGTCCAAAATTTCAACTTTATGATATCAATTACCCTCAATGAAAAACATTTATTATTTAGTGACATATTTCTAATTAATATATTTAATTAAAATTAAAAATAAAATTGAAAGACTTCGTTACAATCATAAATGGGTGAGAGACAGTGATTCCATAAATAACTCTTTAACAAGTGTTTTTAAGATACCTGGTTAACAAAAAATTAAAAAAAAAAAAAGAAGAAGAATTTTAGTGTTTATTTAATGCAGGTTGAAAATTGTATATATTTAAAAAGGCCTTTATGTACTATTCATTGAAGATTATTGCACTAGGCTTACAAAATAATAATGAGGATAAGAACAACCAACAACAATTAATATTTTAGTCATTTGAAGCAGGCAAGAGGCAATATCTTCGAGCAACAACTTGGATCAATTATAGAAATTTAACTTATTGAGTTTATATTTATATATTATCAATATATGAATTTTATATATTATTAATAATTTAAATAATAATTTATTAATACGATAAATTAAATAATAATATTTTATGAATAAATTTTTTTAAAAAAATTTAATCTAAGTATATTTATTTTAAATATTAATATTTATTTATTAATAAAATATTATCCAATCAAATATAAATTCTAATTTATTTGCGAAGTGGAAGGAAATATAATTTGGAAACTTAGGAAAGAAAAATTCCCTGCAGGTCAATGCATTCCCACGTAGAAGAAAAAACAACTGCAAATAGGCCAACCGAATCAATGTCCCTTTGTTAATAGTATAATATAGGTAACTAAACAACCCAAATTAAGGTTTAAACATATATAAATGTAGCTAGGCTTGACAGGACAAAACTCTAAACCTTTGTTAAGACTTGTTAAAGTTGAAGTATCGCCTTGGCAAGAAGATAGCATAGCTATAGGGAAGAGAAGAGGCACCCAATGGGATGGGACCCCAACAAAAGAAAACAGCTTGATACGTGGAAGATCAGTGACCTACAAAACAAAATGGAACCAAATATGGGTCCCAAACCTTAAATGTTGGGAATAATATACAGAGATGTTGACAAGTGGAGTTGTGTGAATTCCCAGCAAAATCTGAAGGTCACCTTGCACTTTTTTTTTGGTTTAGATATTTTGAAGAGGTAAATGACAACATTCTTAGATCTTTTCTACATTTGTCTTGGTGGTAGAGAGAAATTATTGTCCATTGAAATGTCAAATTTGCAGATATAAAAATTTTGTTTGATGATCAATTTAGAATAATGTGATTATGGGTTACATACACAATTAGAGGCTGTAGAAAGAGATAGACAATTAGACCCTAAACCAATAAAAAGGTTAGCTTACTGGTAAAAAATGAATCCTTCTCTTATTTGCCTCTGAAGCATACCTTCAAGTGTAAGGTCGTAGCCAAGCGATTGCATTCCCTCGTATATTATATATCAGATTCCGACCCTTATTATTCCAGGTTTTTATAATCTTTCATGTTGATCAACGTCCTTGCCTTGGGCACTCCTGGAACGAAATAACGTTGAAAGGAGCCGGTTTCCTGTTGAACATGGACATTGTCGTTGATCATGCATTCAACTTCTGATGATTTTATTTCTAAGTAATTCGCCAACTCTCCAGCCGATCTATCATATCTGTGTTTGAATAATTAAGGTTTTGGTTTGGCCATAAACCTGAGTCAGAGATCACAGAGAATGGCCAAGTTAGAATCATTAATTAATTCGTGGCATCAAATAATTTGCAAGATTTATCTAGAAAAAAACCCTGAAAGATTTTGTGCTATCATTGATATATGCATATAAGTTTTAGCCTAAACATAATTTGATTGGATTTTATATAAGATGATGCAAGTATCAGCGGTAAAATAAAAGTTTTTATCAGCAGAAAGGGTATAGAAAAGAAACATATGAAGGCAGAATCGAACAATTGCTGGCTACTTTACGATCACCTTCAATGACACCGGATACCCAAAGTTGAGTTGATGCCCACCAGCTGTAGAAATTTGAGTCAACCAATGAATTTTCTGTGATACATTCCACCACGGAGGGCGGCCCTTTGGATAGTCCAAAGTTTGATTTATTGGAAAATCCAATCCCTATTGATTGCTTGTGTGGGTGGTGGAAAAATAGCTAGTATGTGGGAGTGATCTGATCATTTGGAAGGGAAAATCCTACTCATAAAAGTATGTACTATGACAAAGGACAAATATTCTTTTCTTTTTGGTTTTGGATTTGGGGCTTTGGGCCCTTTCAATATGATGTGCTCAAGCCTCAAGTCTCAAGTCTCAACTCCTAAGCATCTAGGGCCTAACATTTCAAAGTTAAGTTTGCCTCTTCAACCAGAGAGAGGTACTTCCATTGCCAGTGGCAAGAACCAAGAAAGCATTCATTGAGGAATTATATTTCCCTTTACTTTTTTTAGCTATGTGCTATGATTCTCCATAAGTAGATTTGACACCCCTTTTTATGACCATTTCTACTCTTCTGAATGGAAATAAATAGAAGATATGATATATTGAGTATTGATAGCTCTGCCTGCAACCAACTCCATTCATGCTGAATTCAATAAATAAGGCACTTCCCCTTTTTGCTTGCCTTCACTCATCTTTCACGTTATCTTTATGTATTCTTCCTCTGATTTAATGCCCGTATCTGATATCTTCCTCCTTTTTCTTGTAGGCTTTTGTCAAATAAGCCAAAAAGAAATATAATTTTTTTCATCTCTTGTATGATTCAATCGGGAAAAAATTTTCATTTTAAGATTCTAATAAACAACTCAAAACTGTATAAAATAATACAATCTTGCCATTTTCTTTCCAATGAAATAAATACAAAGGGTAAAAAAGTGGGAATAAATCACAAATCTTCAACTAAGAAATTAGCCATTCTTTAAAATACAAAGCAAGTGGCTGATGATGTACCTCAACTTCAGCAGGTGGATATCATACATCGAAAGTGCTCAGCTAAAACATAACACCATGAATGGTTTTGAGCAAAGCTTTGTCCATTTAACCATATACATCACAGTAGTCTAAATGTGAATCGGGTCCCATGTAACAGTCAGGAAGAACAGAAGCTGAAATGAAGTGAATGAATTTGAAACCAATAACATGATTCTAGGAATCTAGGCAAGCGACAAACATGTTCATTAGCTTCTACTTTTAACCTCAGAGAACCTAAAAATGTTCGAATTGGCTCATATTTACACAGTGGGAAAACAAGCAACAATAAGAGCTCATCAAATTTTCAACAAGCAACTTCTTCAATGTGATGGCTACCTTGAAACTTTCAAGGACAAGGGAGCCATGCTTATGCTGTGAAACAACAAAATTTAAGCCTATGCATGCTGAACAGATGTGTAATGTGACTATAAAACTCTTTAAAACCCCTTTTGCAATGCGATATTGACGGCAGAGTGCAGACCTTTGTTGTCACAACACCAATCCAAATTTAAGAGCAGTTTGAATACAAGCAAATAATTTATTTCCAATTATTTGGAACATAAATCTTACTCAAATTTGTTAAATGGATACTTTAGCATATTAGCATCATGAACATATTATGTGATTTGTTGTTGATTATTGTAAGCCGAAAAGCAACATCAAGTGAAACAATATTTAAAACAGGATGAGATGCTCAATGACTCAAAGGACCAGGTAGGAATTGAGAACATTGAGATTTCATGATAGGTGGCGAATCAAAGAATGGAGACTCCAGTAAAAACCAATCTCGGTTTTCGTCGAGCCATGCTATTTTAAGTCAAATTTTATTACTAGGCAGGCTAATTGCACCCTAGAATTTGGACCCTAGGAGACTAAAACAAGGAGGGTGGCAAAAATAATACAATCAAATGACTGATTAAGATTCCTATAGTCATGCACCACGAGAGAGTATGTGTGACAATAGTCAACCTGAAGGCTGCCACTAGGAGTAATTAACAATGACTGCAGTATGGAAAATACAACAGGAAGTTACTCTACTAGAAAACAGCAAAGGAGGACAAAGACTTCAGTGCCAATTACAGAAATGGTGGAGGACAAAGTTAACCTGAACTGTCAATTTCAATGCACACAAGACATCCAAGCCTGAACTGTCAATTTCAATACACACAAGACATCCAAGTTCCAAAAATGTAAGGACCACAGTAATTTTACCTCATGGATATGGTCATTGGTTTCTTTAAATGACATGTTAGGAAATGTCATTCTTGCTCTATTTCCTTAAGCTTACTGTTTTAAATTCTTAACCTTACATTATTTATTCGATAAAAGTTCCATCAAGTATTTTAGGTAAAAAATTCATCAAAGTTGTCAACTTTGCTTTGTGCTTGAGTCCATGACTTTTCAAAAAACAGAAAAAACAGATGTCTTGGTATTAGAATATTCACAATAAATCTTCATTGCTAGGAAACTAAAACTTGGAAGACTATTAAAGCAGCCATAGATTTCACATGAAAACACTGAACACAAATCAACTATTACTTTCCAATAGAGAAAGCTCATCCTGAACACTAATTAAATTAGGATAGATATACAGACAACTAAAGAAAGATCGAACAACCATAAGGCAGCAGCAACAATAGAGAAGTCATTGTGCTACTTATTAAACACTAGTTTATGAAGTAATACATTTTTTTAAAAATCTACACATAAAAATGCAAGGATTTTATCAGTATGAGAAGACCTCAGACATGAATGCTCCAGTTTTCCAGTCCTAAATGTGATCCTTTCAAAGACACATGCATGAGAGTGGATAGTCCAAAACCATCTGGTAGAATTGGCTTCCACCTGATAATCCAAGTCAAGATGACACAAGTATATGCATGATATTTTCCCAAGTATACCTCAGTGCATATGGCTATGTTTCAATTAAATATCAGTACACAGTATTCTCATTTATAGTTAATGATTAAAAACTCTTAGGGAAAAAGCTAGCTCCAGAAGCTTCGTAAAAAAGTGGTTCTGTGGTTCTTTAACAGCTTTGAGTCAAGGTTTCCCACACCACTACATTGCTTCTTTAAAACATGGTACCTTGAGCAACAGTTCACAGGCAGCTTAGAAAGCTACTTAGGCCATGTCGTGCCATAAATTAATGAGAACCAACTTGGATGTTGGAAATTGTTCCTTAGATATTCTAATTTGCCTCAAGGTTAGAAACTACAGTTGACAGAGGGCAAGAGCAGGACTATTTGCTATCACCAACACTTTTATGTCGAGTCCAAGCCTTTCATCAAGTAGTAAGAATAGTCGGAGCTAGGAAAAGTAAATTATGACAGTTTGGATAATGAAGACTGCCTGAAACTCCATCATTTTAAGAGGGCTAGTCATCCTTGCGAAGTATGAATCCTTGCATAAACATAAAAGCATTTCTAGAATAATATGAAGTAGATGGCCTAAAGATATATGAATTTGCCAATAGAAATTTGCAGAAATTTTGAGACAAGGCTCATGTATATAATCTTGCTCAACATCAAACAGAGAAGAGATAAAAACTTAATGACACATCCAATGTTATATATATGCTAAGTGAAGTTCCCTAATATGTCAAGCAGTGAGTGGATACAAATTCCATAAATAAAAATTAATCCATTGCGATGAAAATTTAGGAATAATAAAGAAAGAAAAATATATGGGGTTCAACAAAGAAGGAAATAAGCTAATAGAGTTTTCCCAACGAGGTAAGATCAGCGCAGAAGAACAATTTTGAAGTGATGACAAGAGAACTAGGTTCTTATATGTTATAAGACATGCAATAGCAGGAACCAAGCATGCCTCTGGCATCCAGAGGTAATCAATAATTGGCCCTTTATGCGCAACAATATATTCATTTAGAGAAATACGAATTCTTACTTTATCTAAGATGAAAATGGGCATGTATGACTGTAAATTTCTATGTTTAATTTCACAAACAAACTGATTGCCACTCCATTCAGACCTAGAGAAAAAGAAAAAAAATAAATTTGCCTTATATCTGAATCAACACACCTCTGAATCAAACAAGAAGTTAAGCCCAAACCCAAACTACTAGGCTGCGCAAAGCTCCACCTGCACATTCCACAGCAAAAGCAACAAGGCAGAAAACGATTAACACTTCTCTGAAGACTTTGGTGGATGCAAGTTCAACATAAGGCATGAATCAAGAAAAAGCACCTCTGCAATAGAAACTTGGGTGATGCAGTGCAAAGGAAGAAGGGGGGCAAAACAAAATCCATCCAGTCCCTATAGAATTCTGAGAGGCATAGTATCCATTTTTCTCACTTTTTTTCCCAATTATTCAATACTGAAAGTGTGAAACCTCACAAGAAAAAGGCATCCTCTCTCAGGCAAGCTACTTCTTTTATCTTGCTGCCAAAGTTTACAACTTTACTGGCCTGATCCTTGGGAATCATCCTTAGCAGGGGGTTGCTGCTGGTGCTGATGCTGCTGTTGCTGGTGAAGCCTAGCCTGCCCCATCTGCTGATAAATCTGGCTCAAAGCTTGCGGATTTAGAACCCCAATAGGACCATCTTGAGACAACCCAAGTTCCAAACCAGGGAGCTGCTGGTTAGCCGCACCCAGGATTGAGGTGAAACTCATCGGACCCATGTTAGTAGCTGGCAAGTCAAAACCAGGAAACCCAATCTTTTGCAGATAATTAGAACTTTCACTACCTAAATTTGTTGTAGATGGACCAGATGATGACTGAAATCCATAACCACTGACTGGGGGCCATAACCCTGTTGCCACATGATGGGGTCTCCCCAAATTGCCGCCAACCATTGCCCAACTGGTCCTACTGCTCCCTGACCCTACACTGGACCCCCCTAACTCTTCCATCTTTTGGTGCAATCCTGCGGATAGAGAGGCCCCTTGTTGTGAAACTGAGCCTCCAGCTGCTGCCAAAACAGACGCTGGTATCGTTCCGCTCCCCGTGGCGGCCATTATTGATGGTTCAGCTTGTTGTAACAACCACTGTATTGTTTCCCCATCAGATTTGTGACCCAATTCTCTGGTCAACTGAAAGATTCTAGCTGCACATAAAGCAGGCATCCTTATCCTTCTACCTCTTCCTTCAACTTTGGTATGCCTGTCTTTGTTAGAACTTCTCTTTGGGGCCAACTGTTGTTTCTTTCCTTCTTCTTTATCTGCAATGACAATCTGAAAATCCTTGATTTCAGCTGGTTTATTCTCACCCATGTTTTGAGGCTGTTGCTGCTGTTGCTGTGGTTGTGGGTGTTGTTGATGTTGCTGGGGTTGTTGTGGCAGGCTCAAGAAGTTGGGTACTTCCTGCGGAGGCGGCTTGGAGCCCTTGGGATCCATGAACAGGTAAAAAGGGTGATGGGTGGGGGCAAATTAAAGAAAAAGAAAACAAATTGAAGAAAAAAAAGGAGTCGTCTTTGATTGAAGGTGACCTGAGAAGTCCTAGATTTTCACAAGTTTTCACTGTTTTTGGTAAGGAATGTGAAGACGAACTATTATTAGTATAATATTGAAATCCCAAAGCACACCCGATATGTCAAAATTTTTTACTCTTGGTTTTACAAGATCTCATTTTTTCTCTGTCATTTCCTTTAGCCTGTCCTTTCCTTCTTACTCTTTTTTCACTGCAATGGAGGGGTTTTGACTAACATTCTGATATGATAGCAACTTTAAATGCCAATTTCACCTCAAGACACTAGCTCAAAAGACGTAAAAACACAACCCCATATGGGGCCATATTCCTTCCCTTTCTCCTCATCACATCTTCACCTTTACATGCAGCTATATTATTGCAATAGCGATATTCCGCCATCTCTGGTAAGGAGCTCATTGTCCACGTGGATGAATGAATTTCTGACATCTGGCAATCTGGGTCCGGATAATGAGTGATTGCTTGCTTCTAACCCACTCTAGGGCCATCCTTCTGATACATCATTGAAAGAAAACTACAAATTTTTAAAGAAGAAATTCATCATAGAATCACTACTCTCGAAAGTGGAAGACTGGAGAGTCTATTCTTTAGTTTCAGTTACATAATCTGCCAAAAGGAAAAAATATTGATGCAGTTACAATTGAAGGAGTCGATGCTATACTCCACTACAGAAGTGTGTCCCTAAGGCCTAAAAACCCCAAGTGTCTTTCAGTACTTCTGACAGCTAATGGGCCATCTTCAAAACAAAATCTCTTTATAATATGTCAGTGTTAGTCTTGGCTTGCTTTTGTAATCTTAACATCAAACATGGAGTGATAGTAGATCATGTAATACTTCTCTGGAAGTACTTGACACTTTGAACACAACTTGTTCACAAATGTGTTGAAGGACAAACAATGATTTACAATTTAACACACTTGATACTCCCTTTTTTTAATTTTTACATATAATTATTCTCATATAGGATTCAGTATAGTCCTTTAACTTGGGATTGAGGAAAAGATGGTGTGGAAGAGAGAAAATAAAGAGAATTATTTGAAAATATTCTTTGACAAAAGTTTTTATAGAAGAATATTTTAAAGAAAAGAAATTATCAGAAGGAGATAAAGAAAGAACAATGGGTGTTTAGCTGTATTCTATATATGTTTATGCTAAGGGAAATGATGACAAAGTTACATTTGTCAAAGTGATTAAATCCTTTAGATTGAGTGGATGCCAATAACAGCTTGAGAAAAAGACAGGGACTCCCTTGAATTTCTCCTATGACAAAGATGTTCAATTTCTTAAAGAAGGGTAACATTTTTCAATTCTTGCTTTGAAAGATTCTTCTATCTAATGTCTAATTTTATTTATTTATATAGTGACATAGTGATTTGTGATTGCATATAAAATGCTAAATAAACATATCTAATCCAGACAAAGTCACCATAATAATTATTGATGCTTTGAGTTTGATTTGAAGAAAATTTCGTTTGTTTTTCCTTTGGCATCATATGCGTAATTGAAGGGATGAATTACCAATAAAATGTTAGTTAAACAATATTGAATTTAATTTCAAAACTAAAAATTTTGAATTCAAACTCAAATTTTAATCTAAAAGACAAAAAAGACGAATCCATAAACATTTTGGCCATTGAATAATTATAAATGAATAATTAATGGATTAGTTCAAATAAAAAATTTATTATTTGTAATAAATTCAAATAGAATATAAATAATATTCCTTAAACATTTAATATCGGAATCTATTTAAGTTTTAATAAATAATAACATATATCCAAATTTGTTGTCTTCTTATATATATAAAATATATAAAATTTTATGCTTGTGAAAGATTTCAAAAATCTTAACAAATAATTTTTATTTGTTATTAATTAAAAATGAACTTAAATTTTAAATTAAATTTTATTTATTTTATATTTTGATAAAAATTTAAATAAACAGATATTTTAATTAATTTAGATATTTAAAAGGATAGTATTTATTTAAATAGGTTCGGATTTGAATAATGATACTAAACTTAAATAAATATTTAAATAAATTTAAATATAAATATTTCAAAAATAATGAACATCTGATCCATTGCCATCGCTACTAGTAGACGACCAACACATACAAGTTTACGTCAAGGGACTGTTCATTTATATTGATTAAGATGGTGAATTTAAGGTGTAATTAATTTTGATTATTAAAATATTTTTGTCTGTATACATACGAGCAAGTTGAAGTGAAAGAAAATTTCCAACCCTAAGCACAGCTTTAACTGCTGAAATTATTGTCTCCATAGTTTTATTTGCTGTGTGATTGCTTCCCTTTTCATGTTTCTTATATCTGTTTTGAGACTGCTTGCTCAAAACTTACAAACTCTTCACCTTCTCTCCTCACATGTATTTCTCAGTTACTTTATCCTCAAATCATGCAGTCATTATTAATTCACTTCTTGAAATCTAACCACTTTTGCTTCTTATCGGGCCAAATGTTCTGTTAACATAGAATGATGCTCTTTGAATAAGTTGGTATGATATTAGAGTTAATGTTTGAAGGTTGTAAGTTTGAATAAATTTATACATATTAAAGATATCAATGAGTAAGATATGAGAAAAGTAGAATATTTTTTATCTTTATTTTCAAATTTTTATATTATATCGATCATGTATTTATATTCAATGAGTATTTTAAATTTATTTTTATTTTTATTTTATTGGTATTTAATAGGTATGAATAATTTTCATATCCATAATTTAAAAAAAATCAAAATAAAATTTTTTTTAGTTTTTTCATTTTTAATTTGTATATTTAGTTTTTTTTAATAAATATCTATTTTAAAATAATAATTTATATTATTTTAAAAAAAAATCATTTACTAATTATATATAAATATAAATGTAAGACATAGGTACAAGATATGTGTTAAATTATCTATTTCTATATCTATACTAAATAAAAATTTAAAATTATATCCATTCCTATACAATGTTTATATCTATTTTTATTTGAATAAAAAATTAAATTTTCATTAAATATCAGTAAGATCAACATTCTTAATGTACATAATGTTTACAAAAGTAAAAGATTTAAGAGTTATTAAAAATAAAAGTAAAAAACATAGAATGATACGTAAATTGCCAGCTGAAAATAGAAATGAAAACCAACTAGTACCAAGAAAAATGAAATTTTTGTTGGGGTACTTGGTCCAAACTCACTTTTACTTTCAAAGCTGGCAGGTTGGCATCATTGTTGAGACCCTTTTCACTGTTAAACAACAGTAATTCATTTCAAAAGAAGAAGAATAACTGATGACGGGGATTAACTTGTATTTTGGCTAAAGTCACAACTCCATGATAATGACATGCAATTTACTTGCTATCTGTATCACTAAATAATGCCCCATCGAGCAAGGAAAACTTGAAAAATAGTCTTTAAACATCTACTGAAGTCTTTGACCTTTTATTATTGCATGAACAATCCATGCAATTCTTGGTCACCATAGTGTGGAGATACCCTTGCCTACACATCTCTTTTTGTTTTCTTCTTCTTCTTCTTCACTTGCTTTTCTCCTTTCAAAAACTTATTATAGCTTTGCTTTGATGTGGAGAAGACCAATTCCTTTGTGTTGTGGTGATAATTATGGTTGGAGTGGGTATGGTGATTGCTTTGCTTGTCACATGTGCTTCCCATCATGGAGACAAGGGAGGCCCATCTTTGAAATCTAGCTGTTGACAAAATCAAAACCAATCTCACATGAATTCAAAAGATTGAATATGGGAAAAAGATATTTGCTTTTTGTTTAAGGGGTTAATTTAATTTTAAGACTTATTTTCCCATTAAGAGATAATCATTGGATCTTTGTTTGTTTTAATCATATATTTGTCATTTCCTAATCCCATCCTTTTCAAAAATTTTGCTTTTGCCCCCATTTGAATACCAAAGGGAGGTAAAGCAAACCATCTAGCTATAAGAAACACAACAAATTTTTTGAAATTTCCCATCAAATGCAAGGGCCTTTGAAATTAGCAACTAAACAAATAATTTCCAATTAAAAGTCGTACTATTTTCATTGTCCTTTTTCTCTAGGCTTTCAGTTGGGTCCCTTTAATTTGAGTAGCAACAAATCTTGTTAAGAAGATTTAGCAAATAGCACTGTGGATTAAGCATGTTAGTGCATTCTATCCTAGCTGTGTACTCATCTAATCTGCAATAAATGTGTTATTAGCTACAAAATTTTGACAGGCCTCTGGCTAGTTTGTTTCTTCATTGAATTTTCTCTTGTACGCTGCCATTAACTTTTATCTTTTACCCTTTTTTTCTGTCATCATCAATCAAGCTGATAGGTCCTTATATATATATATATATATATATAGATGGCCATGTGCCTGTATATTAGAAATGTTTAGAATGAGACAAGCTGAAATGATCTATATATATCAAGATCAAATTTAGAACAAACACGTATAGTTTAATGGTTTTTCCCTAACAGCTTCGTTATATGGGAAAAAAGAGTATATCAGTAATGTGCATTAGGATGGAAGAAATATGCATGCTCTGCAGGCTGAGGCTTTAACTAATAGAGAGTGGTGTTTTTGTTAAAACTAGCAAACCCCATGGAAAACAGTCCATTTTTACAGCAAAATTGGAGTTGGGTCAAAAACAAATCTGATAAACAATGTAAAGTTTTTTGACAGAAAGGTTCAGATTGTACTTGGAGTAGATCTACTCTCTGTGCCTTCCTGTCAACATTTCAATGATAGTATTTCTTGATGAATGGATTCAATGTTAAGATTAGGGAGTAAGAAAATGGGAGGGAGGAAAAAAAGAAAAGAAAAGAAAGGTATTCCACCACATTAAATTGGAGCCACACCCACCAATTGATGAGCTCCAAAAAAGCCAGAATCTCTAACCGAATAGCTCTTTTTGATAAGATGGACCTGATCACCATTATCCTTACGTCACATCTAGATGTATGAGCTATATACGAGTTATCCTTTTTTTCTGCTTTCAAAATTTATTTTCTCATTTTTAATTGTTCTTTAGTTCTACTAATATTATTTACTTTGGTTATCAATAATAAAAAATTATCTTTCACAATCTCAAATGATTTGCATATATATATATATATATATATATATATAATCAAGTGCATTGATCAGATGGGTGAAGACAGAATTGAGTGAGAAAATTGGAGTAAACAAAGATAAGCGAAAGAAAGAAATTAACCAAAACGAGTGGTTTACATTTATCAATTTATCATAATTTGATTAAGACTGATTTTGATAATTATTGGCCCTACATTTGATGTAAGATGTCACAATCTTTACCATGTGCATACTTCTACTAAAATGTTGTGTGGAGAGAATTTGGTTGGTTTATCTTTTTCAAATGGAAGAATCTAAAATATGATGAATCCGTTGGAACTACTCCTCTCTGCTTTATTCATTGTATTTGCATGCTGAAAACCCTAAACCTAACCGTCATATAATTAACCAGAAATCTTAACAACAATTACAAAGTGGGTGTTCTCATGTTTAATGATGATTCATGATAAAGCATTAAACACAACCATACTAAAATTCTTACAGAAGCTTTACAAAAGCAAGTTTATCCACATTAAAACCTCCATTCTTTTAGCTTAAAGCTTTTTTTTTAGAGGGGGGGGGGGGTGGTTTCAGCTACAGCCCATGATATTTTTGGTTGGCATTTACCAGATTTGAAAACACGAATTTATGCAAGATGTCAAGGCTGAATTACAGGCTTGGGAAAAAAAATTGGCAGTGTAATAGACTGCAAGAAAAGTTTATTTGTTCCTATGAAATTCGGACAATTTTAGGAGTATATTTCACTTCATTAATTTCATGTATTCACATTTTATTTTCAAGGTGATTTTTACAAGGATTGAACTTGATTAACAAAGGAAAAAGAATTCCCTTTTTATCAGTTAGACTAATGAAACGGGTCCTAAGTTGTTCTTATCATAGGGTACAATTATTCTTGGAAGCTCGGTGCTGGCCTGGCCGTTTGGTAAGAACACCAAACGCCCGGTACCTAAAATTTTCAACCATCTTTCACGAAAGAATAATAATAATAATTTACTGTTCAAAAGCCTGGCAACCCAATAAATTTTCCATGAGATTTCTAAATTTTCACAACAGAATATTCACTCTCAAACCTTTGCTTCGGGTTACTCTTAACTTCCAAAAATGGTAGAACCAACTCAAATTGATAGCAGAATCCATCGACTTTCTGTCTCCCCAGCCGTCATATGTTTAATTTCTGCTAAACTGAAGTTTCCTTGCTGCAAATATTGGAACATACCCTCCCCAAAGAATATAGCAAGGGTCTAGGGGTTCATAAGAAAGATTTTTATCCAAGATTTTTAAATACCAAACTCTTTACTTGAGAGAGAGAGAGAGATTTCTCGTAAAACCCACTTCGAGATTTACAAAAGACATTTACAGAACCAAATTAACCGAGTCTGAAAAGTATTGTTCGCTTAAAATCCATGTTTAGAAATTTACAAAGAACAAATGATACACTTCCAGTTCATATAATATACATCTATACAGTTACAACTTATAACATTGCCGGTGGCTTTCCTGATCAACTACCCAGAGAAGGCCCAAAGTACATGCAGATAGGTGGATTGATCCTGAGGATAGAAAGAATGGCTGATGGTATTGTCCAAATACCATCACCGCAAATTAAACCTGAAGCAACTGCACATGCATAATCCTCTGCATCCTTCCGGTTAATCCGTTCCCATATATACAAGATTACTGTTCCAACAAACATGTCAACTGCAAAGTAAGCTCCAATATAGAATGGAATTGCCATGGCCATAGGTATAGGAATAAACTGTGAAATTTTCTTGGGAGTCGCATCCCTCAGGAGGTTTACAATCAAAGCGCCAACAAAGAATCCGCAACATAAAGCCAGACAATGTTTGGGCAGCTCCGAGAAGCCCTCAATACCAAGAATGGCCATTTCCCTGAATATCACAGCATTAGGTGCTTTGTATGGACCATCAGGTGACCCAATGTCAAAAGCAGTCCAAAACAACCAAAATGTGAGTGGAGCAATGACACATCCCATTGCAGTTCCCAGTAACTGGCTCACAAACATAGACTTGGCAGATGATAGAGTGAGGTAACCAGTCTTGAAATCTTGCATTAGATCAGCTGCAGTGGAGACAATAGACATCATAACCCCACAGGCAGCCAAACCAGCAATGACTCCACCATTACTTCCAACTAATGAAGCCATAATGAAAAGACCAATCTTCCCATAACTGGATGACAGGCTCCAGTCCGTAAGTCCAGTTCCATAAGAGTTGCAGAAGGCAAGGGCGGGGGCAATAATGTATGAAACAAGAACCAGATACCACTTGAGGGGCGGAAAGATGATTGGAATAGTAGCGGTTGATATAGCAACCAAGGCCACATATCCAGAAGCAGCAAACCAAGCGGGTATCCTGTCTTTAAGAAATATCTCATCTCTTTTTCTCTGCTCTTCTAGTCTTTTAGAACTCTCATTATCTATGGAATCACAATGATACTTCAATTAACCCTTAGTGGAAAACAGAATGCTTTTAAAACAAGAAAAACAGATACTTGCATATGCATATTCAAATGAAGACATTATAGCATGCACCTATTAACGAGTTTTCACCAAGAACGACAATTTTACATGTCATATCAGTGGAAGCTACTCAGCAGCTACTATACAACTTCAGTATTTCTAAAGCTATGAAAACCATTGCAACAAAACAGATAGATACACACGCACAACAAAAGAATGCATGCAAGCAGCAGCCTAACCAGGTGTCCTCACCTGTGATCTCATTAACAATAGGGAGTTTGCTCTGTTTGGTGCTTTGGTTGCACATTTCCTTTGCAGTAATATATATTATCTTGACGAGGTTGTAAAGACCATCCCCAAGGATAAGAGCAATAGCTATGAAGACCTGTGAGCAACATGACGGCCCAGAAAATTTCTTTAAGAGTAGAGTTATGAGAAGAGAACATTTCAATTAGGACAACAGACTGAGAGTAAACCAGAAGATGCAAGGGCAGAAACATCAAAACCTTCTACAACTATGTAAAAGAACTAAGAGCAAAAAATTTTTTCACTGTACCTTATACCCATAAAGACCTTTAAAATTATTGCTCTCCAGGCCAGATGGATACCAGTCCCCAGAATGTGCAGAAATGAAGGGCCAGAGGAAACCCCACGATATGATAGCCCCAAGAAGAACTGAGCAGTTTACTATGTGAGGGCAAATAAGACCACAACCAACATAGGTTGGACTAAAGTCAAAATAGAACCTGCATAAGGGAGCGATGTGAAACATTAACAATATCAATAAAATATTTAATAGTAACATCAGCAATCATGTTAATGATAATTTACTCAAATCCAAATTACTATCTGTCTCATTATGTGCCTGTGAGAAAACACTTATTTACAACTGGTTGTAATCTTGTAATCTGTATATTTATATTTGTATCTCTAGAATTAAGTATTTGTATCCCTAGAATTAAAGAAGATTTAGTTTCCTAGTTTAACCCCTAGTTAGTTGTATATAAACCTAAGATTCTTGTATAATTGTAGATAAGCAGTTTTTCAATATACATTCAGTTTTCACAATTCAATTTCCACATGGTATCAGAGCTTTAGGCTCTTCTTGGGAAGAAAAATTTTCAGCCTTCATTGCTGACTTTTTTAGGCATTCATTGCCGAATTTTTTAGGCCTTCATTGTCGAATCCTGTTTAGGCCTTCATTGCCGAACCCTTTCAAAAAAAAATATCACTATCACCCAATTTGAGAAAATGTTAACTAGGAAAATCACTGGAGTACTACAGATGTCTCAGAAACAAGGAGAGTTCAACAGGGAAGAGATTGAAAAGCTGAGAAACTTATTGAAAATCCTTGAAAAGCCTACTATGATATGTTCTTTGGGTAAAGTTTCTAGTTCAGGTAAAGCTTCCGGTTCTCATAGATTAAATGTCTCGGCTAAGCCTATTACGAGTTCTTGGGTCATTGACTCAGAAGCCACAGACCACATGACACATTCCCCACAAAAGTTTAGTACATATAACCTGTGTCCTAGTAATAAGAAAATTGTTGTTGTTGATGATTCACTTACCACAGTGGCAGGATTAGGAGATGTTCAAGTTAATCCCTCATTTGTTCTCAAAAATGTTCATGTTCCTGGATTGTCTACTAATCTGATATCTATACAAAAACTTACCAGAGATATGAATTGCAAAGTAACTTTTTATCCCTCTTATTGTGAATTTCAGGACCAGAGTTCGGGGAAAATGATTGAACTTGCTAAGGAGAAGGATGGACTATACTATCTTGAGACATCAAATAACACAAGTAGTATCAAAAATAGTTTACTTTTGTCATTTCTTTCTGAAAAATCTTCCAATAAAGACAAAATCTGGCTTTATCATTTTCGTCTTGGACATCCTTCTTTTGGAACCTTGAGAAACATGTTTCCTTCTTTGTTCAAAGAATTAAATGTTGAACATTTTCATTGTGATATTTGCGAATTTGCAACACATAGACGTGTGTCTTTTCCAATCAGTAACAAAAGAAGTTTTACTCATTTTTACTTGATTCATAGTGACATTTGGGGTCCCTCTACAATTCTTAATATTTCTGGTGCGAGATGGTTTGTTTCATTCATAGATGATTGTACTAGGGTCTCTTGGGTTTTTTTACTTAAATCCAAATCAGATGTGAATAGTGTGTTTTTAAGCTTCCAAAACATGATCCAAAATCAATTTGGAGTAAGAATCAAGAGATTTAGGTCTGATAATGCAAAAGACTACTTCAACCAGAATCTATCCACCTATTTCCAAAAAGAGGGGATTATCCATGAGTCATCTTGTGTTAATACTCCACAGTAGAATGGGGTGGCAGAGAGAAAAAACAGTCATTTATTAGCCACAACCAGAGCCTTTCTTTTTCAAGCAAATGTACCTAAATCTTATTGGGGGGAAGCTGTTCTCACTGCCACACACATTATAAATAGGTTACCTTCAAGAGTTTTGGGATTTAAAACTCCTATGGAACTACTCTCACAATTTTATCCCAACCTCAATACCACAAACAATCTCACACCTAGGATATTTGGTTGTACATCATTTGTTCATGTTCACAGTCATAACAAGGGAAAGTTGGATTCAAGAGCGATTAAGTGTATTTTTGTGGGGTATTCTTCAACTTAAAAAGGATATAAATGCTATCATCCTCTTACCAAAAAATTTTGTGTCTGCAGATGTCACTTTTGAAGAAAATAAATCATTTTTTACTCAACCTTATCTTCAGGGGGAGACTTCATTCATGGAAGATAAGGATAAAGACTTCTTTTTGCTTGATTTGCCCTCTTCTTCAACATTTACACCCATTAATTCTTATGAGTCGAAACCTGTTTCTGCTGAGCCCAAGTCAAACATTGAATTTGAGTCTGAGCCCATTCCAAATACGAAAGATGTGACAAAGGATAATATTGTTCTTGATTCTATGAAGGAATTACAAGTGTACTCAAGAAGGAAAGTTTCAGATCCTGAACCAGTGCCAGTCCAAGAACCTGATCCTAACTCTGGAAATGAGGTAACTACAGTTTTTGACTCTGTTTCTCAAAATGAGCATGAATCTCCTAAAACTATAACTAGTGATTATGATTTGCCTATTGCCATTAGGAAAGGAACCAGAGAATGTACCAAGCATCCACTATACCCAATATCTAATTTTGTGTCATTTGAAAAATTCTCACCATCCCACAAAAATTTTCTTGTGAACTTAAACACTATTTTTGTTCCAACTACATTATCCGAGGCATTATCCAGTGAGAAATGGAGGCAAGCCATGAAAATAGAAATGGAGGCCTTAGAGAAAAATCAGACATGAGAACTGGTAGAGTTGCCTAAAGAAAAAAATCCAGTGGGGTGTAAATGGGTTTTCACTGTAAAATACAAGGCAGATGGTACTGTTAAAAGGTATAAAGCCAGGTTAGTGACTAAGGGCTACACTCAGACCTATGGAGTGGATTACCAGGAAACCTTTGCTCCAGTTGCCAAGATGAATACAGTTAGGATTTTGTTATCATTAGCTGCAAATTACAATTGGCAGCTTCAACAATTTGATGTAAAGAATGCTTTTTTACATGGGGATTTGGAAGAAGAAATATATATGAAGGTTCCACCGGGATTTGAAGGTCATCTAGAAGCAAACAAAGTATGTAGGTTAAAAAAGGCTTTATATGGCCTTAAACATCTCCTAGAGCTTGGTTCGGGAGATTTGCCAAAGTGATGCTAGCAATGGGATATAAACAGAGTCAAGGAGATCACACATTGTTTATCAAGCACTCTGATTTAGGGAGAGTCACAGTTCTATTAGTGTATGTTGATGATATAATTGTAACTGGAGATGATGAAAAAGAGAAAGAATCTCTAAAACAGTATTTGACTAGAGAATTTGAGATAAAAGAGCTAAGGAGATTGAAGTACTTCCTAGGAATTGAAGTAGCTCACTCACGGCATGATATTTTTATCTCACAACAGAAATATGTGATGGATCTTCTAAAGGAAACTGGGAAGCTTGCATGTAAACCTGCAAATACCCTTATAGATCCTAATCATAAAATTGGAGAAACTAATGAAGATGCTGCTGTAAATAGAGAGATGTACCAAAGATTAGTTGGAAGACTCATTTATCTCTCACATACTAGACCTGATATAGCATATGCTGTGAGTGTGGTAAGTCAATTTATGCATAGTCCTAAAGAAGTGCACCTACAGGCTGTCTACCGTATATTGCACTATTTGAACTGAAATCCTGGGAGAGGTATCTTATTCAAAAGAGATTCGGGGTTAGTTCTAAAAGCATATACAGATGCTGATTATGCAGGTTCAGTAACTGATAGAAGATCTACCTCAGGCTACTGCACTTTCTTAGGTGGTAATCTTGTGACTTGGAAGAGTAAAAAACAGAATGTGGTGGCAAGATCAAGTGCTGAAGCAGAGTTCAGAGCAATGGCTCAAGGAATTTGTGAACTACTATGGTTAAAGATTATCCTAGAAAACTTGAAGATCAAGTGGGATGGACCAATGAGACTCTACTGTGATAACAAGTCTGCAATAAGCATTGCACACAATCCTGTGCAACATGATAGAACAAAACACATTGAAGTAGACCGACATTTCATAAAGGAGAAACTAGACAGTGGGTTGATTTGTACACCTTATGTATCAACCAAGGGTCAACTTGCAGATGTGTTGACTAAAGGTCTCAGCAGTGCAACATTTCAAGAAATTATTTCCAAGCTGGGAATGGAAAACACCTATTCACCAGCTTGAGGGGGAGTGTGGGAAAACACTTATTTACAGCTGGTTGTAATCTTGTAATCTGTATATTTATATTTGTATCTCTAGAATTAAGTATTTGTATCCCTAGAATTAAGGAAGATTTAGTTTCCTAGTTTAACCCCTAGTTAGTTGTATATAAACCTAAGATTCTTGTATAATTGTAGATAAGCAGTTTTTCAATATACATTCAGTTTTCACAATTCAGTTTCCACAGTGCCAAGCTACTAACATACATAAATCAAGAAATGACATCTTGCATGTACCAGAATCATAGACATATGTATGGTTTTGGAAACATGCTAATCAAGTTTTATGTCTTTCTATTTTTTCTGTTACTTCTTTTACCTCAACTGGGAACATATTAATCAATATGGAAAACCAATTCACCATATGCATAATAACACATTGCAAAAATTTGATTACCATCAACTGTCCCCTCTGGCTAATGGTAATACAGGTTCTATTGCCCTTGAAACATGAATCAAAAAGAAATATGGAGCATTCTCATTAACATATATAAGCATTCTTTCAACAGGGAAAGATAACATGGAAAACTAAATATGAGAGAAACTTACGTGTTTTTGAACAGCGTTAAGCCAAAACTGGGAAAATTATCAAACCCACACGAATCTCCAATACCACTGAAAAACCACTTGAAGCAGCTCCAAACTAAACTTATGCTCAGATATTTTCCAAGACACGTGACTTGCTTCCTGTAACAAACTCAAAAAAATTACATATATAATCGGAAAGAAAACAATCTAGTTGTTAAAGATCAACACTATCTCTCTAGTTATTTATAAAGCCAATTTTAAGATTTAAGCAGCTGTTTCATTCAAGCTGTAAATGCATGATTGTTAGAACTGGATAGACCTTCCATTCTTCAATATCTAGTTTGACAACTTAATTAGTAAAATGATTTTCCTTTCCACTAAGCTTTCTAATTAAGTGCTACATCAATGGAAACTGTATGCAGATCTATGAAAAAATAGTGAGCATAATGTATCTAATAAGTACCCTGCAAGCTCAGCACCATAGTTGGTATGAAAACTATTTATCAACATTGGAAACTGTATGTAGATCTATGAAAAGATAATGAGCAAAATGTATCTAATAAGTACCCTGCAAGCTCAGCACCAGAGTTGGTATGAAAACTATTTATCAACATTGCCGTGGCTGTTCCACTGGGATATGTAAGTTTATAATCCATGACCATTACCTAATAAAATACATAGATAGAATTAGAACGCTAAATTAGAAAATTACAATCACATACTGCAAGAAAACCTTCTTGTAGTGTACTCACATTGGTAAAAAGTTGGTCAGAACAAGAAACAGAATATTTATTACATCTCAAAAACCTAGGTTTTCTTTATCAAAGCAGAAAAAATTACAGATAAGAAAAAACCTATCACATCTAAACTTGATTCAACAACGAGGGTGATTATAAGCAATGCAAATATCAAAACCAAAATTACAGCCACAAATGCTTAAATCTAATACAACTAAGTATATAGAGAACATTGTCATGACAACAAAAGAATTCAACTTTAAGTAAAGTCTAAACTATCTCATAAAAGGAGTATATAATAGGGACAACAGCTATACCTTACGAAGCGGAGCAAGACTAAACAGCCCAAGGAAGCTGACAACAAAAAGAAAACCAGTCATCCACCCTAACCCCGGTTTCTTAATATCTACGGCTCGGTTTCCAGGGTAATCAGCACCAATAAGTTCATATGTTCTCTCATCCATTGCAATCATATAGGATCCAAAACCCCCTAGCAAAACAATCAGATATTAAGGCAGAACAGTGGAGCTACCCAACCTAAGATTCAATTTAATTACTTAATTTAACACCAAAAATTGAGCTTCATCAACACTTTGAAGTTAAATCAATAGTATCAAATTCTTACAAGCTTTAACTTAATTATAATGCTAATAATCACTTAATCATTTACAGCTAAATATTGACTAATTTTGGTAAAATTCAGAGGCCTTCCATTCCAAAGTGAGACCCTAACAGCAAAAAAGGCTTTAAACTAAACAGAAGATAGCTAATCACTTGTTAGTCATATAACGAATTAATCACGAAATAAAAATTTGCCAAAAATCGATCAAATTCGTTAAAATTTGAAGGCTTTTTTAGTTTTTACCACTAAAAGCAAGGCCGTAACAAGCGACGACGCAAGTCTGAATGACGGTGTTTTCTTGTTTGGTAAAACGTGAAACTTGAAACCCTAACTTAGACAAAAAACCGGTCCACGATTTTACAAAGAAGAATCCAAGCAATCCAGCGCCGACGTTCATCGACGGAATAATCCCGACCGTTAGATTCAACTTGTGTGTGATGATACAAAAGAGCGTCCCTAACAAGGCGCTCACTACGAGCCCCCTGATCGTTATCTGATCTTTCCATTCGGGGACTCGTTCCGAAACGACGCCCACTCCGCCATCACCGATGGTTTTCTTGTCGAGAATCAACGGCTCCGATATCTCGGTACCCATGATTTTCGGATCTGGTCGGACCTTTTTGAGTCGTAAGAAACTTTGATATTTTTGGGGTTTAAATTAGGTGGAAAGAAGTTCGAAAAGCTTGCACGAAAATCCAACCGCGTTGGCGGTTACGTTATAGAGTGGAGAACTAACACGTGGCTAAAATTATTTCATTATAAAGCCCAGAGATGTCGGAGGGGTTCCCGCTAAAATAATGTGAAAAAAAAATAGTAAATTTATATTTTTACTTATTAAGATTTTTTTTTGGTCAAAATTTTTAATTGTACTAATAAAGTTTGTAATTGACTTTTGTTTCAAATGGATATAAATAAAGAAACTATTAATTTTGTAAATAGTAATAATATATAAATTTATTTATTTAAATTTAAAAATTCAACTTGAGTTTAAAGCATACTTTTTTATGGAGTATTTATTTGTATTGATTATTAGGATTTTGTTATTAATGAAAATCAATATTTCATTTCACTAATATGTTAATTAATAAAAGTTTTCCATATCTAATTATAATTACTCTTTATATTTTTATTAAATTTAATAATTTTAAATACAATAAAATAATATAATACAAAAAATGATGTAATTTAAAATTTTAACAAAAATTATATATAAATTTAATAAAAATTAAAAATATATATTTTATATTTTATACATGTCATACATAAAATAGATAAGACAAGGGAGCATTATCTTGTTTGGGAAGCCAAATATTAAATCTATAATAAATTAAATTGGAAGGGGTCAAGTGTTAAAACAACAATACTCGAAACATGGCCAAAACAATAATTTTAAAATTATTTCTTTTGTTTCAAAATATTTGTTATGTATTAATTTTTATAGAGTTTAAGAAAAAAACTTTAATTTTAATATATTTATTATTGAAATTTGAATATTAAAAAATAAAAAAATTAAAATATTATTTTAAAATATAAAAAGTAAGAGTTTTATATGTTTAAAAAAGAAAATAGGACAAAATTTTAAAACATATAAAAAAAAAGATGGATAAATAAAATTAAAAAAATATCACTTTGGATTTATATAGATTAGGGGTAAGCAAAAATTAGTTTAAACTGGCTAGATAAATTGAAATCAAGTGAATTCGATTGATTCGATTTGGTTTATTCGGTTTTGATTATAATCGATTTTTAAATTGATTAACTTTGTTGGTTTTCTATTTTTAAAATTAATAATTGAACTGATTAAATTAATCGACTTTTTAATAAGAAAAGATAAAAAAATTGAGATAAGTATTTTTATCTATTTTTTCTTTTAAAATATTATTGAAATTATTAAATCCTTTAGTGATTTAGTTTGAATGATACTTGATTTTTAGTTTTATTAAATTGAATTTATAGCTAAATAATTATTTATAATAAAAATAATAATAAAAAATTTTGATTATTTAATCGAACCAACCCATTTTGATCAATTCGACTATGATCAATTATTTAAAACTTTTCGATTGATTTGGTTGTTTGTTAAATGAAAGTCGATTATTAATATTTTCAAACCGAACCGACTAATTGTTTACTTCTAATATAGATACACAAATTTAAATTTTATTCATTGTCATTATTTTTTTATTATTTTTTATAAAAAATAATTATCTAGTTAATGACAACATGGGATTAAAGGATTTAGGTCTATTTTACTCCTAATAAAAGTGGGCCAAAGACACAAGTTAGTTTAGGCCCAATAAAAGTGAGATTACATTTAAAAGAACACTAACTTTTAAGTAAAGGCTTGGGCCAAATTATTCAAACTCTTTTTGTTACATAATATTGACCCAACAAATATCTTAAAAAGGATATTTCATATTATTTGTGTTTTCACTATTTCTTAGTAATCATATTATCTCAGGCTTATTTAAAGATGCTTTCATATGTACATTGCAGGATGTTATATATATATATATATATATTATGGACAAAAAGGGCAGAGTAAAATTTGGCTAAACCTGAAAAAAATGACAAAAATTGAATTTTTTGATAAATTAGGTTAGATTAGTCAGGTTATATGGATATTTTCATTATTATCTCAATTTAAATAATTAAAACAATTGATTTTTGAATTTAAAATTGAAAACCGACTAAATCAAAATAATTGATTTAAATCAAGGTAAATTTGCCCTAAAAAGACTAAACAAACTCAACATTTCCTGATTTTTCTAATCCTACTTTTATTCACTGACCCACACCCATTTTCTCTATTTTCCCTTATTTTTCCTTACTGCCTTGGCATTTCACAACTCCCTTTCCCTCTCTCTCATTATTGTCGATCTCTTCTCTCTCTCTTATAGCCTCATACTTCTTTCTTTTTCTTATGCTCACACTTATCTCATAGTCTTTCTCCTTCTCCTTCACTATTATTGATATTTTTATCTTTCAAAGCTTTATACTCTAGACACCCCAACTTATTCAGGAATTTTTTTTGAAATTCATTGGGTTTCGAATTTTGGTTTGATCATGTAATTGGGCTTTAATACATAAATTGAATTTTGGGTCCAAAGACTAAAAGTACAAAATTTTTAATTTTAATTTTAATTTTGATTTTGATTTTAGTTTTTATTTTAAATTTGGATTTGGATTTTTTAATTTTAATTTTTTTTATTTAATCTTATTTTGGTCAAAATTTATCCAAAAAAAAGAAAAAAAAAGTGAGATTTTGCAAAAAAAAAGGAAAAATCTTAGATTTGATTCTATCTTTAGATTCAACCCCAGACTTTGAATTTATTGATTGATTAATTATGGAAAAGTTTGAGCTTCAATATATTGCAAAAAGGAAATATCACAAAAAAATCACAATCTTGAAAACTTTGCTAGATTTGGAGAAATATTGATTTTCCAAATTGAGTTGGGATGTAATCACTATAAAAGTACCCTAAAATTCAACCTCAAAGGGAAGACAGAAAGCAAGAAGCAATTTGATAATAAGCAGCAAAAGATCAAACATACAAAAATAAGTTTAGTTTTCATAAGCAAATAAGCTCACTGCAAGAAGAAGGATAAGCATCGAGCAATCAAATAATCAGCAAAAAGAAGCAACACATCAGCAACGTGAGGCAATTATTATATTGTGAGAAAATATATTAAAGACAAGCAACAAACAAATTTCTTAGAAAATTTTTGAGACTAGGAACAAGCAACTTAATGGCTTTAGCAGTAATAGCTTGTGGTAGAGTTTGGAGTCTGTTTGAATAAGATAAAAGAGGAAAGTTAAAAAAAAAAGTGAGGTCTAACAGTTAACTCTTGACCTAATTAGTGGAAGCTTAATTCAAGTTTCAGATTTGGACTAGGCCAAGATTTAAATTGACTAGGCTAATAATAAGTTCAAGTCTTGTCTAGGCCCAATTTTGGTATTTTTTCTTATTTTGATTTTGTTATTTATATTTTTATGAATGTCTTTAAAATTAAAAAAAAAACTTTGATAAGATATTTTTGTGACATCTTAATCTTACATTGAGAGATTATAAGGATTTGCTATAATATGTAAATAGAGGCTTAAAACCATGAAATTTTCAAGTTAAAACAGACAATATCTCATAGATTAGGTATGAATCTCTACAAATAGTATCAGAGCAATAACTAATTGTAATACCCCAGCCCAAATAATAATTGGGCTAGACTAATACTAAAGTCCATCAGTTTATTAAGATATTATTTAGTAAAAGAAAAATGACTGAAGTATTAGATGAAAGAAAACCTAACTATTGTGAAACAGAAAAGAAATAGAGTTCTTTCTCCTCATCTTTCTTAGGGTTAGAGAATATGAAAAATCAAGTTGGAGATTCACAATCAGAGGCTACAATCAAGTTAATCCCTTAAAGGTAAGTACATGCCCTCTTTTTATTTGAAAAGAAATATCAAGTTGATTGCTATTATTTGGAGTTAAAATTTTGAGAGAAAAACCAAGAAAAATCATGAAATCCTTCATTAATCTTGATGATCTATTTGGGTAAATTACTGGGCTTTGTTTATTTCATGTTCTTAAGATTTATTGATGATTATTGAATGGTATTTGAAGGCTGAAAGTAAGGATTTGAGTTTTTAAAGATTGAAAGAGAAATTCTATTTTTGGATGAGATGTTATGATTTGTAATAATGAATTAAAATAGAGTTTTGCATTAATGGATAGATTATTGCTGTGATTATTATATATCATTGGAAAGCATGTTGAATCTAGTTTCTAATGGAACAAAAAAAAGTCAAATCCGAGTTTTCCATGAAGAATTGTCTGATTTTAACTTAAGGATATGCAGGCTGTAAGACAATAGCATTAGGGTTAAATTACGAAATTCTTATTAATTTGTATACAAGGATTTATCGATTAAGCCATATATTTTTGGAAAGCTTATTGAGTCTACTTTCCAATGAAATAAGCGAAATTGAATTTGGAGTTACCTATGAATAAATACGTAATTTTTATGAAAAGGTATGCAGGCTGTCTGGCAGCAGCATATGACATGGATTGCAAAAATTGTTATAATTAATCCACAAAGAATCACGAGATGGACCATATATGATTAGAAATCTTGTCAAGTCTAGTTTCTAACGCATTAAAGAGATCATAATTCTGATTTGGATATATTGAGATATGACTGTTTTAATGAAAAGAGGTCAGGCTACCAGTATTAATTAGTTAAGTTAACCTTTTGTGTAACTTAGTTGATTTTTGTATAAATGGTCTCAAAAAGGGTTGATTAAATTCTGATCTATTGAAATGATCTTAAATAGGCCATTAATTATTTTGGGGGGAAAAACTAAGTGGTGAAATCGAATGGAGGTAAGTATAATCTCACACACTTTGTTTGTTTTCGAATCTATGTATATATATGTGTTTCTAAATGAAAGAATGTTTTATTTCTTTATTTTCAATGTATGAAAATAGGATCAAGCATATGATTATTTTGTGTTTCTCTATATAAATGATGGATCATGCTTATGAATGAAATGAGAAAATGATTTATGTTTAAAGAATTATTTTATGATGGCTACGTTTTTATATCCCTGGGAAGTGGGATCATCGACACCAGAACTTAGTTCTACGACCCTGGCTAATGGGTAATAGTAGTTAGCAAAGACATG